AATATTTTAAATATAAATATAAATACAGGGTGTCCGGAAATTAGGCGCAAAAAATCCAGGGGGTGATTCTACATGATAAAATAAGAATTTCATTTCATATGTACGTGGGTCATGAAATGCATAGTTTTCAACATACAGCGTGTAAAAACTTTAAAAAAAGTTCGGTTTTTTATGAATATTTCAAATGTCCTTCCACCGATTTTCTTGAAATTTGGCAGTGATATTCCTTGTCATAAGGGGCTAATATAGCGATGATTCAATCGAAATTATGAAAGCCAGTGGCGTCCCAGGGGGCGACCTACCGAATATTATTGTCAATAAAATGTGCGCCACTGATTTTTTTGAATCATTCATCTTCATAACCTATTGACCAACTAAAAATACAACTTTTTGGTTTCTTGAATTGTTCTGAAAATTTGCTTCATTTCCATGGAAAAAAATAAATACCAATTTATTGCATGAATTTGTGCCAAAAAATTCCTTTAAAAACTGGGGTGAATATAAAAGCGTGATCAATGTCCATAGACATACAATAAGTATGAAGATACATTTTCTTCAAATATTGCTTGATACATGTTTGACACACTCTACACTTTGTATATAGAGAACTATGTATTCTCGCTCCAGGGAGGCGCAGTTTTCGATAATAGAAAGTGTGTCAAACATGTAATATGGAATATTTGGAGAAAATGAATCTTCATTCTTATTCTACGTCTATGGACATGGATCACACATTCAATTTCACTCCTGTTTTTGAAGCTTTGTTTTGCACAAATTTATACAATAAATTGGTTTTTATTTTTTTCCACGGAAACGCAGCAAAATTGCAAAACAATTCAGGAGACCAAAATGTTGTATTCTTAGTTAATCATCAGGATATGACGATGTAGAATTTGAAAAAATCAGTGGCGCACATTTTATTGACAATAATATTCGGTAGGATGCCCTCGGGACGCCACTGGATTTCACAATTCCAATTCAATTATGGCTAAATCAGCCCCTCATGACGAAGAATATCATTGCCAAATTTAGAGAGAATCGGTGAAAAGATATTTGAGATATTCATAAATAACCGAATTTTTCTAAAAAGTTCGACACACTGTATCATGAAAACTATGCATTTCCGGACCCGAGTATATATGAAATAAATCTCATGTTTGCTCATGCAGAATCACCCCCTTGATTTTTTGCGCATAATTTCCGGACACCCTGTATATTTTAAATAAAAATGTTGACACCTACCTACTGAATAAATGAAGTATACGTTTCTGTACCTACCCTAACCTTCATCAGGCACGGTGGAAGTTGACGATGATCTCAGTATTTTTTGTTTATCTGTTTGAATAAACAGTATTCATTTGACATAATCTGAACATATTTTTCGATCCTCTTGTATACCAACATGATCTTTATAAAAGAATCACTTTTATTCCTTGCTTTCTCATACGCTATAAGACTGATCTTATCGAAATATACAATACTGATGAGAATATTCCCATATATTAATTTACATTGTTTTTCCACGCATTCATTTTCACAGGAAAGACAAGCCAGTAGGTCTCTCAGTGAATATTTTCCAATAATAATATATATGTGGAAAACTACGTTTTTCCTGTTGGTCTCGAAAAATTGCTGGTACATACCAAATACGAATAAACTTGGAAAATAATTGACGGGAATGCGTAGCCATAAACTCAAACTGCAGGCGCCATCTATTGAAGAACGGTAAAAGTTTAAAACGCGGAATTGGGTTTCAGCATTGCCGCCATATAATAATATGATACTCTCAACTTGAAGAGACAAAAAAGTCCATTTCTGATATGAATATGCATGCAATAAAAATAACCAATATTTTAATTGGAAAATTTGGAAATAGTCAGTCGTATGAACCAACCGAAGAATCACATCTGAGCATTAGGCAGGGATACAAACAAATTAGATAATTTGATTGTCTCTCAAATGCTTTATACAACAGGCCATAAATCAGGTGCCCACCTCAACACTGCAAAAATAGAAATTGATATGGAAAATAGAACATTGATGGAAAATAGAACCTATGAATTCATCAATATCTTGATCAAGTACCTATTAAAAATTAGTGACGATTTCTGATAATAATAAGTAATATCACGATGTTCTAAATATTTACTTATAATATCACGAGAGCTTCAATTATTTCCGGAAATTTTTTCGAGAACATGAATATTTTGAAAATTCTCCCGAGTCAACTCGGGTTCTCGAAATAATTCCCGGATATTAATTGAAGCTAAAGTGGTATTCGGTGGGAAAATTCCACACTAGAATATTATTAAAAAATTACTTGGATAATGACGATTTTTGATGGTTTTGACATTTGAATAGTAGGCTTTGTATGTTAACTCAAAAGAATAATATATTTTTTTCTGTGACGGGAAAAATGTTTGGCATTTCATCTCTGTTGGCAGGTCAAAAAAATGTCACATTTCATAAATTACTTTTTTCCCGTGGGAAAAAAGTGAGTACTTTTTTCCCGGATATATATCACATATATATACACTGTAGATGGCTTTTGTTGTGCTATAGTTCCGAAAAATGAGCCAATAATACTGTCTCCGAAAAAGAACTGTCTTTTATCTTCCATTCGACTTCGCGGTTACGTAAATTACTAAACAACCACTAAATTCGCAATTTTTTGAATCAAATCACAGAATTAGACTGACAGAAGTGACAGCAGATATTTGATTACTTCAAAAAAATGATAAAGATGCCTACAACGCAGGTGTCCCTACTGGTAAAAACTCAAAATTACACGTCGATAATTTTCAGATTTCAAAATAATGTAATATCTTCTGAATATTGATTCGTTCTTTCTTCTGTCACAGAAAAAAATAGTGTATTATACACGGGAAAAATATTAGATTTTAGCTCACGGTTTTTTGTCTCCCGACGCGGAGCGACTAACCTGGAGCTAAAATCTACTACTTTTTCCCTTGTATAATAAATTACTATTTTTATCATGTCAAAACTGAAGAGAAGGTATAATATCATAGTGTTTATATGAGAATGATGGCTGTTTGTGATGAAATGTAAGAACTAACATATAGTAACAACATATGTATTTGTAAATTTCGAATTTGCAAGTATACCTTACATAATGTTGAATGTAAATGTCATTAAATCTATGAACTTAAAAAACTTCCAGTGTAATTTCATGCTCCGTCTCCCAAGGAAGAGGAAACAATTTCCGAGAAATTTGTTTAGTTGCTATGGTAACGATACGAAATACAGGCTTTAAATTGATCTAAAATGTTTGGTGTGAAATTTTCGAGATAATTCTGTCGCTTCATTATTCACGAACTTATGTTGCTGTACGCAACACAAATTGTTTTGTTTTTATCCATCATTCGGTTGCCCCCTTGCGAGCAACCCTCAGAAGTCTTCAAGAGACTTGTGCGAGCAAAGAATGACGGGGATCTTACCTTATAACTCGTGATCCCAAACACTTTCTTAGGCCATCAGAAAAATGTCTGCGTTCGTGGTGGGAATCGACCAACGTGGACAAAATACTGACGCTTCAACCACGAGGCTACGGTGGCAAATTCAGTCAACAATGGAAGACAGAATTATGAGAAGATCACTTTGCTTCACTATCCATGGTTACATCGTTGAAAACATAAACGCTGTCAGACCAATCAGAATTGAAAGACAGCTCATGTTTTCGTGATAAGCACGCGTTGTACGTCTGTGGCTTGTGATTGGTCAGGTTATGTTGAGTGAAATAGTCAATAAAATTGAACCTGTGAATCGGCAATAAATCAATAAATTAACCAATTTCAAATCATTTGAAGACAGTCAAACTGCCGATTTCTCCTTTTCTTCACTGATAATTAAAAAAAAAATGGGCACTGAGAGTCCCTTTCTCTTCGTGTGGTTCATTATTGACATATTATGGCTGTGTTTTTCCGAAGAATATTATACACATATCATTCAAGTCTGTGTTTTTATTAATAAAAATTGTGATAAAAAATTATACAAACCTAATAAAATTTATATAAAAATAATAAATATTAGACTATTTAGACTTATTCGATTGAATCCAGCACCAATATCGTTAATAAATTAGATAGATTATAAATAATCAAGATATAAAAAAAACGTTAAATAAATTATAATAAATAGGGATATTGAAAGAATATTGAAGAGGAGTATAGAGGGTGAGAGAAACTCGATGTCTCAGCTTTATTAAATGAAAAGGAAAACAGCAAAAACAAGAATAGAGGTGGTATTGAGTAATGTTTATTTTAATCCAAATTCGCAGAATATTTCGAAATGAAAACTGAATGAATGAAGTCATAGAAGTCATTTTTCGGAAACATACCATCACCTATATTTTTGCTCATTTGAAAAATAAACCTCCTGTCCATTTACAATTGAAATGTTCAATCACAAAATATGGAGATTAGAATGAATGAAAATATAGGAGTATGAAGAGAAAAAGAAAATTTTCGAGAATATCTAGTTTTTATTGTTTTTTCCTCCTGTGAAGTCTTATAATGGACTTAGTCGATCCCATTTGAGAAACTCTACAGATATTTACTATTGTTTTTCCATTGCTCATGATATAGCTGAGACATGAGTACCTAGTGTCTTTCTTTAGTTTTACAAATTAAACTTACTGTGAAAGAAGGATAATGTCATAAATCACTGAGCTTATTGGACTATCGTTGCACATGTGATGCTACTTATGAATATCTATAACTTTAAACAATGACTTCTAGAAAGTGAAAGAGCGAGAACACTACATATCAGAGAAAAAAAACTTCGGAAGTTATGTAAAAAATATCACCTTTGTAAAATCCTGGATGAATGTTGTGCACTGACTTCTCTTGAATTAAGAATCTTTTTCTTTGAAATCAGATTTTATTCGAATTCATTATTTTCTCTTCCAACTAAGATATTTTCTCTGAATTCAGACTTTTCACTTGGAATTTGAACTTTTTTCTCTGAATTCAGCCTTTTCTCTGATATTTTTATAGGGTGTTCCAAAAATTCACGGTAAAGAAATTAATGTTCCTACTACCATTTTTGTATTAATTCAGAAACTAAAGTCTGAATTTGAAGAAAAATCTGACTAATAGTAAAATACACAACAGTGGCATCTTTACCCTTTCATACTCATACTTCAATACGCTTTCAACATTCCCAATAAGTACCTTTGGTTTAAAGCGTTAATAACTGGAGTGAGTTTAATACTGAGGTTAGTGGATATCTCAGTCTACTTTGTTCGATGAAATGTTGAAAAATCGTGGTAACGGTTAACAAAAACTAGCGTCTAGAGACTGGGCGCAACAAAAATTGAACAAAAAATCAACATAGCAAACCACTATCGGCTCCAACAGTGAATGCCTTCACAGTTATTTTTTTCAGGAAGGGAGGAAAACAGCCCTTCTGCATAAGAAATGAGTACTTTTTCTAAACAATCTAACCTTACTAGGCCTTAATGAACTTTCTTCCTAAAGAGTACATTTTTCGGAAAATCACTTGTGAAAACAAGATAAAAGCCTACCATCGCATGAATTGAACCTGAGCCGCCGGCGTGGCATTCTGACATACAGTCCACTGCGCCCACATTTACTTGAAAATTGTATTAGGTAAGAAGCGAAAATTTAGTGGACATCAAAGTGAGTAGATTAAATAGAGTGGCGACAATAGACCTCAAAAATGACTGCAGTTTCCGGAATGTCATTTGTGGTCAAGTCATCATATAAATTTCCTTCCGTGCGCCTCAAGAAATGAACAAAAAATATAACTAAAAATCTGAAGGTTCATCTCTCATGAAGTAAATTACTTACTGCATTAGTTACTACCAGTTATGAATTTGCGCCTTCGAAGTGCCTACCTCAGGTTAGATATTTGTCATTTTCATCATCCAAATAATAAGAGACTTATGAGTCCCAACAGAGGGATTCTAATAGTTATTATCCAAGGTTTTATATCTGATTGTTGAATGTTTTGTGTCAAAAGAGCGAGTAACAGTGACAAAGTGACATAGAAAACAAGACAGGCGGATGGGAAGCATCTCCATATTTGAGGTCTACCAATCAAAAACTGCATCACTATCACCATTGTCGCCACTCTATCTATATAGAGTCAGGCTAGACGGAAATCCTACCCCATGGATTATTTGTTGCACCCAGGCTCTTCTGGACACTTCTGTTATAAAATCATCGTTTTTGTCATTTATTCGCTGCCCTCGCATTGGCTTGCTGTTGCACACTATCGTGAAGCTCCTGACCCTTCGTTTCGATTGGTAAGAGCAGACAGCCAATGGCAGCCAATATGGCAGCTACCGCATAAATCGTCGTCGAAAATGTTATCGAGGATTTCAACAAAACCTGAATAAAAACTAAAAGTAATTTGGAGTTGGCATCCTGGAAGATATTCAATGATTCAATGCATCCCGCTCATTGAGTTAGAGTTTCAGTGATGATGTGAAGAACACTTCTTAATTCGCCAAATTAACCTCAACAAATCGGCGCCCTCTGAAAATAACCTGACTAACCTCGTGACATACTAGACAAGAGTTTCGCCTATCCTACTTTAATTTTTTTCCAATGAGGGCTAACATTTTCACTCCCACCAGTTGGCGCTACTAAGACTATATCCGAATTCAACTGACAGTACTGAATCTGCAGATTTTTCATTCCGAAATCAAAAAATTCACTAAAAGTGACAGATAAGGTCTATCCACAATCAATTCAGTGGCGAAGTGACACTTCGGCACGCTTGCTAGGACAATGACTTTCAAACGTGAGTATACTCAATTCAATTTCATGCTGTCATGCGCGCCGACTTATAAGTGCAAGCTTGCAAGCTGCAAGCTTTTTCGTTGCGCGCCGAATTGTGTCATGCGCAATGGAAAAATGATTTAGGTACCCTACCCTAACCCCATTATTGTTTTTGTGAACAATCAAAAATACATTTATTATCTATATTATTTGTTGTCTTGTCTTTGATAAGTAGTTATAGTACCTAGGTATGGAGCGGAATGTTATTAGTACTAAACGAGAGCAATCGAGCAATTATTGTTAAACAATTTGTTTCATTGCTTTAAAAAAATAGGCGATTAGTTAGGCGTCCTCGAAGGTTTAGACCAAGAAGATTTGGGGTACCTACATCCCATATTTGCTCAGGAAAAACAGGGTTTTCATGAGAACTTAAGGCGGATTTAGCGGGCGCACAAACACAATTTATTTCATAACTGTAATTTTAATGTATTATTCATAAAAGTTGAACACTGTAGTCCATATGAGATGATTCATCCAACTCATAAGTCCTAGTGCATAGTGCATAACCTTGAAGTTCAACATTTTTAACTTTTATGCATTTCACATTAAAGTTACACATTGTGCTTGTGCATTCGCTTAATCCGACTTTACTTAAAGGAGCTCGTTTGTGACCCATTAATTTTTTTATAATTTCAGGAGAATGTCTCCTAGCAGTTTAAATTAGCTTCTATCTGTAGTAGGGTTTATAGTTTATTATACATTGTAGCAAAAACTTATGCGATTATTTTCATCATCCATTTTTTACTACTTTATTAGTCTTATCTACAGGTTGAACTTCAATAACCTCAATAACAAAAACGAAGAAAATGCCATCACGTCACGTCAGACATCACATTCACAGAACTATTCATAGTTCTGTGGTCACATTCAGGCTGACTGAATTGACAGGATTGAGGAAGTGTCACTTCGCTAGCAGATTGATTGAGAATGCACCAAGCCATATAGTGCCGCTATTACTCATCCAATTATAAAAAACAAACGTGCAAATGAAATGACTGACTCATCAGAGAATGAGTGGACCCCGATCAAAATTATTTAAAATTTCAACTGTAATGTCAGCAACTGACAATTTTTTGTTTGAAATGGCACCATATATTTTTTCAATTCCATATCAGATCAATATTTTTTGAGAATGCAGTGATGTATGACGACACAATCATTTGTAATAAATAATAGAAGCTCACTTGACATGAAATATATATTTTCATAAAATTTTGAGATGTATCAACAAATGTGGCAGTGAATGTCACTGAAATGATTATCGGTTTTTATTTGATCTCCTAATTAGTCTGAATGGCAAATAAATATGTCAATTGAGCTTCAATTGCAAAAAAATGCAAATAACCTAATTGACAGTAAAATAACGAAATTCTTATTTTCACTTGAAAAGAAAAAAGTCCGTTTGATCATTTCATAGGTTATAAACAGTCAAGGGGTAGATAAGATTATTATGTTTTCTTACCTGTGCTACATAGGGGGTAATCATAGCCCCTAACCTGGCCATGGCGCTACAAGCACCTACTCCTACAGCCCTAAGAGAAGTCGGATAAACTTCAGGGGTGTACACATAGGCAGCTTGAAATACTCCTGCTATAATTCCACGCGCGAAAAATAGCATGACTGTCAAAAAGACTCGCCTAGAAATTGAAAATATCCCTCATAAAAATGTTGGTTTAAAAAATCTAGAGATTTGAAACTCTGTTTGATTTATCTTGATGACAACCTGTAAAGTTTTGATACAGGTAGGTACCTATACTTACTTTTGTGAACAAACTACCAAAAAACAGCAGCATACTGCATAAGCTATGAACTGCACCGCCATGGTTTTTTTTCTACCAAACCTTTCAATGGTCGCAATTGTAATGAAAATTCCTGCAAAAATATTTTGACTTGACACGACCCGAATGAGTATTCAATGTCTGACCTGGAAATTCTGCCAAGGTTGTCCATAACAAGTCCATGTAATCAGTGGTTTGCAATACCTTACAATCGGCAGCACATGTATCCAGAGTCTGAACTAGCACAGGCTTATCTGAACACAAAATTGCAGAGGTTTCAAACAGTTCTGTGGTCATCAGCACTAGACCATAGTAGCAGAATGCACAAGCCATCCTAAAACCATTTGTAATCCTTGAATAAATTTCATCACTATAGGTCATTCCAACTAAGAAGACAGTGTTGGAAACCATAGGCAAGCGTTGACCTTCACTTTGATTGGTTAATATTCAAGGCAATATAACACCTTCCTAATACACAAACTGGAACAATTAGGGGAACGGGCAAAATTTACACTAAATTTGACATCAATTTTCTCTCGAACCGATCGCTCGATTTGAATTTTTTTTCACGAATTGTAGCTTTATTCTTCACGAATACATCTGAGAAATAACCACCTTCAAAGGATTCGCCTTTATATCATATACAGGGGTGTGAAGAAAGTACGGATTTTTCGGTATTTTTTAAGATGTCCTGTGGAGTGAACCAGTGATAATTGAAACAGTTTCTCAACATCAGATTGTAGCCCAATCTATTACGAATATTCTCGTTTTTTATTCATTTTGATATCTATATTATTCAAGAAAATACAGTTTCAAAGAAATGATGGATATTGGTATTAATTTTACCACCTCGAACTCGAACTGGGGATAAGAACGTGTCGTTTTTCAACTTGTTTCAGTGAGGATTTTTACTTCAAGATAAAAATTGTTCACAGTTTTACCTATCGGTTCACTGTTTAATGACACATATACTAATACTCTTATGAATATGCAGGGGTGATAAAAGTTGCTTCAATGGTCTTTTGGTGAAATGCTATTTTTGTTAATCAACGTTGGCTATTTTTGTTTATGTCATTAATTATTATCAAAGTCAAGCGATTCACAATTCAAAATTCATAAATTTGATTAATGAAAATTCAACATGAGAGATTTGACTCCTACTGACAGCGAGGGCTGTAGCATTTATTGAAAATGGTAGATCGTACACTGATGTTGCTGACATGCTGGAAAAATCAAAATCTACGATTCATCGGAATGTGAGACGTTGGAGACAAACAGGAAGAATACGGTCAACCACGGCTAGAGATGACCGATTTTTAGTCTCCCAAACACTACGGAACAGACGTACAACCGTACCCCAATTGGGAAACGAACTGGAAGAAGTACGTGGAAGACGCTTGAAGAAGTTGATCTGAGGGCCTATAGAACGAAGGAAGCTCCACAACTCCAGTGACGTCATCGGGTGGCAAGACTCAGCTTCGCTAAGCAGCATGTGGATTGGGAAAATTACCAGTGGGCCAACGTTCTTTTTACAGATGAGATCCGCTTCTGCATCAATTCGATAGATAGCAGGAAAAGACTATATCGTCGCCGAGGTGAACAAAATGAAGAATTCAATTTTACTGCTACTGTCTCCTATGGCGGAGGTTCAGTCATGGTTTGGGGTGGAATATGTTTAGGGTTAGGGGCACGAACAGAGTTGGTAGTGGTTAATGGCGCTTTAAATGCAGATGGCTATATACGAGATGTTCTTCAACAGCATGTCATACCATTCACCCCCCATATCAAAGAAAACTTCTTGTTAATGCACGATAATGTCCGCCCTCACGTGGCTCGTTCAGTCTCCAACTTCTTAAATGCAGTCGGAATAAGACCTGGCCTGCATGTTCACCAGACCTTAATCCAATCAAACATGTATGGGACATGTTGGATAGATGAATAAGCTCCAGAATTCCCGCTGTACAAAATCCCGAGCAAGTAGCAGCAGCTCTGGTTGAGATTTGGGAAAATCTTTCTCAAGAAATGATCGAAAATGTCATCAAAAGCATGAGCAGACGGAGGACTGCTGTAATAAGAGCGCGTGAAGTTCACACACGTTAATGAAATTATTGTTGGTGTTTTAAATCCGTATTGTTCCTAAAGTTGATGTTATTGTTATTGAAATTGTTGTTCTGAAATTGTTCTATCCGTCATTCGGTTGCCCCCTTACGAGCAACCATCAGAAGTCTTCGAGAGTCTTGTGCGAGCAAGGAATGACGGGGGCCTTACCTTTCAACGTGTGATCCCAAACACTTTCTTGGGCCATCAAAAAAATTACTGCAGTCGACGGGAATCGAACCCACGACCGGCAAGCGAATGCGGATTAGAATATGGACACTCTGTCCGCACGGACCTAGCCCCACCTGAATGAAGGCTTTGAAAAAAATACATTTCTTTTTAATCATATCTGTATATTCCTAAGAAATCTTCTCACAATGGATTAATAAGTGAAAATGACAGCAATATTCAACCTGAAGGGGAAATTATCTCAGAAACAACACATTTTCAGGTCCAATTCGAGTTTCGAAGTGGTAAAATTAATACCAATATCCACCTTTCCTTTGAAACTCTGTATTTTCTTGAATAATTGAGATAAGATGAATAAAAAACGAAAATAATCGGGATAGATTGGGCTACAATTTGGTATTGAGAAATTGTTTCAATTATCAGTGGTTCACTCCACAGGATATCTTAAAAAATACCGAAAAATCCGTACTTTCTTTACACCCCTGTATATGATATAAAGACGAATCGTTTGAAGGTGGTTATTTCTCAGATGTATTCGTGAAGAATAAAGCTACAATTCGTGAAAAAAAAATGTAAATCGAGCGATGGGTTCAAGAGAAAATTCATGTCAAACTAAGTGTAAATTTTGCTTGTCCCCCTAATTGTGCCAGTGTGTGTATTATAACTTAGACACGACTTGAAGGTCATTATCACATTTCCTTTCATTGTTGTATTTTTTTATATTACAATAAATCCTGAGAATAAAATCAAACTCAGAGGATTTTGAATTAGATGTCCTAAATATATTTCGTCAGTGTAAACATTCATTCAGAAGCAAGCCACCTACTATCTTCTTATTTGGAATGTAGTATTGATGGTTAATTCAAGTAGTTTAACTTCCTGATGAATAAGTCCCATACCATATAAACCATAGGAGAAGTGATGTAGTCCTCAAAGAAGGTACCAAAAGATCTCGAAATCTACCCCTATGAGGAGGAGTCATCATTGAATCATCAACAACTAGTCGACCTAGAAGCATGGGTTTTCCATTGTCTTTGGCAATTTTTTCCAAGGTTTCTAGAGCTTTTTCTGTCTGTCCACTGGCCACATGATATCGAGCAGATTCAGGGAGCCACTGAAAGAAGTTCATTTCTTTTGCATTGAAAAAATGGAATAATATAGTGTTTTAGAGTTGAAATGACAGAAGCCTAGGACAGAAAAGTTAATATGAATATGGGTTCAAAATTGCTTCATTTATGGGATACAGAGAATTCTGGTACTTTTAATTATATTTGTATGTACCTGTGAATTTTAGGAGACAATCTGATTTTTTGTTTGTTTTTATAATTAAACACACTGTGGTCAATATAGACTTCAGAGACGTGCGATATCGTGAATTTCTCTTGGAAACAAAGTTAGACACAAAAAAAGTGGAGACAAAATTGTTGTAATTTTAGTGGGTTTATCTAAATGATTGATATGATTTGCAAAAACATAAGATCGATATTTTTTCTGCCAAAACAACCGACTTGCAAGGTGATTTGGGATAAAATCCAATTAGTCCAGTAGGTGGTGTAAGAATTTAATTGAAATCGGCCAAATTGTTTTGAGCTGTTTCTGTCAGATTTAACCCTCTCACCAACAAGCACCTTCAACTATATTTGATGCTTTTATTGGACACATGGAATAACATAATATGTTGTAAAGTGAAGCTTTCATTATTTTATGTTATGCTGATTGTGCCTCAATTGATTATCTTAAATTATCAATCTTTGAATTCAAGCTTATTGATTCTGAAAATTCTATGTAAAATTTGTGAATTGCTCTGCCACTTGAAAGTTGAGAACCAACTCTCTGAATGTCTAAACTTGTGCAAGGTTGGAAAGAAGCTTATAAAACTTTGAGATCCTTTCTTCCTAAACAAAGATGCAAATCTCTGGACAGAAGTAATTACCTCTGTGAATATTTCTAGGTAGAACATTCCAATGAGATTTGAGATATCCCAATGAACAAATAATCTCAACTATCTCCAAGAATGTGAAAACACTTCAATTATTGTTTTTTAAAGGATGAGTTTGACCATAATGCTTTGGAAATATCATGAAACATGAAAATGCAACCCAAAATACAAAATACCATATTATACTAGATATAAAGCTGTACTCACTGGGCATATTGCTGCAAAAGCTAGTAGAGGACCTGTGGACAATGCTAGTAGCCAATGCCAACCAAGAGTAGGCATAACAACTAGTGCTAGTGTTACCTCAAAACATGCACCTAGTGCCCAAAAACACTAAAAAAAATTGACCATAACAAAAGAAAATACAAAACCAACAAACTTACATCAAGCAAAACAACACACTTAGCTCTTTGCTTTGTGGGCAAAAATTCCGCATACAAGGTGACACTAAATAAAAAAACAAAATCCAGAAGCTTGAATGAATTGAAAAAGTATGGTTGGTACTTACGACTGAGGTGTACATCCTATGGCAAATCCTACAAGTCCTCTGAGGAGCAATATCCACATGAAACTAGGAGCTATAGAACTTAGGAGCCCATAATAGAATAGTAATATAGCACACAGTGTCAATGCCTACAAATACTCAAGATTGAATTATCTAAAAAAATATTCTTCTTTTCTATTAATAAAATAAAAGAAGGTATTTGAGGAGTACTGAGTAGGTTGGTTCTTATTCACATTTATTCAATTATACATATTCTACTTGCAACTTGTTTTGCAAGTACTCTTGTCCATAAATTATAGGTAAATGATTTGATGGTAAAAACTTTCAATGACTGATAATACTTACATGCTTTCTTCCATATCTATCACTCAAGTTGCCCCAAAATGTTGAAGATAACATCATTCCTAAGAATACAACTGTAGTAGTTAGGGCCTGTTGATATCTGCAAACTCATTCCTTACAATGACCTATCTGGAAAAATGAACATAGACAAGATTTTCACCTGGATATTTGCCAATCACAATGCAATGCAGGTGAGAGAATTGATAAAATCGTCATTTCCATGCTATCGGCCATCCAGCAAAGGCCCGTCCATAAGGATAATTTGACTTGAAACCATCCAAATCCTAGAGCATTCACAGCTTGTGTCACAGTAAAGGTATCTACAGAAGTGATGGAAATGTTTCGTCGTATAATAAAATTATTATGTTAGGATTTTCTTACCATCAGGTACAACAGAAACGGATGCCATCTCAATTTCTTGAGGCATTACATTATTGATACTATTGAGATCTGGGGTAACGTTGGATGGAAGAGATCCATTGTTGTCATCTATATCTTGGTAACCTTTTGTTCGCTTTAATACCATTTTCTGAAGCTTTAAATTTGTCCAAAAAGATTCTCTTTCCACCTATCCTATAATTTATTTGTTTACGCAGACGATTTTTCACATAACCTCTCTATTCTGAATTGTCAAGAGTGGTGTGAAATTAGCTATCGAATCTTCTTCTTCCCAATAGCCGAAGCTAAGAACGTCAAAACTGCAGTGTCAAGTACATTTAGGAACTCTAGCCGAAGCTACAATGGAACATGGCTAATGGCTATGCATCACATCAAGAACGAAGAATATTGAAGTTTAAATGCTCCATTTCTTGATTCATGAAAACACTACTTTCATGCTTTTGTAAGCTCATACTGTTATTTTGATTTAACGGTATTCAAATGACAATTGGAAAGATAATTTAACAGCCTCCGTCCGTTAAAATCGTTTAACGGCCGGCGACCGTCATCTGTTCCATAACAACACGATGTTGGGATTTTTCTGTTCTTTGAACATTATAGGGATCTCCTTTCGTGCGCTCCAAGCAATAAAAAAATATTGCGAGGTATGTGGTTTGTTCTGTCCTCGGAATCAAAATGAAAAATCTCTCAGCGGGAATACGAAATTTCTTGAACGATACACAAATAACAGATTCGATAGTTATACTATACGACATTGTGTTCAAGCGGCAAGTGGAACAAGAGGAGTTATGTTACAAATATGAGTTCTTGAGAAAAATAGGTTTTAGTAAAGTTAGCTGGCATTTTTTAATGGAAGCTAGTTCAATAATTTGATTAATGCAATTGTGAGGAATAGTTTTAGGTTGATTTTTCATGATTTACAGCATTTTGCTATCATATCATTTTTTGATAGACATCTGGATTTATGCATACAATTTCTTCCATTCCGTGACATGTAGGCAATGGGCACACAGCCCCTTCTTCCTCTGTGTATCTGCTCAGGTATGAGGAACACAAACAAATCCTGACGGGGCAAGTTACATATGTACATAACCTTCTTCCATGACAACCGAATATTTTCGGAAAATGTTACTTGACCCCTTCTTCCACTTGCCCGTTCAACTATTCCATTATATTGGGTATAAAATGAAAGAGGATAAGAGCAAAAAATGCATGCTTTTATATTAATTTATTTACACTTATTTTTGTGAAACTATAACTCAAAGGCGTTCAAGAAAGTTGATACAAAATTGTGATTTTGTCATATAAATGTACAAAATACAAAATTCAAACTCCACAAGTTCAGGTCAAGGATTGAAAAATTGGTACCTACACATAATTATGCGAAATTCACAAAGGTCAGGTTCAATATTGATATTGGTTTCTTAATGTTATGGAATGTTATTTTTGAAAAAAAATCTGTCCTATTCAACCAAAATACCTGTACTTAAGTAGAGTCCAGATGAAAGAATAAACAATTTTATTGACTATACATCAGTTACATTTACCTACCTTAGATAATAGATAACAGAAAATACAACCACTGTCAGTACATTGAATTTATTTACAATAAAATGAACAGAATAGTTTGGCCAAAATATACTGTCACAACGAAAAACTCAAGCTCAAAACAATATTAAGGCAACATTTCTAAAGCAGGAAAATTAATATCAATCATTTAATGAAACTATGCAGTGAACAATCGAAATATATTTTGATTTATTCAATCATATCTATTTTTTGGTCCACTTCTTGAAATATTAGGTAAAACACCTTATATACTCAATTTCCTGCTCACGAAATATATTTATGAACATGTGCACATTTAAAATATTATAAATATTCCTACAAATACATTGGTAAAAAAAATTACCCTTAAATCACAAAAAGTATGTATCAAAATTAGGCGACATGCCTCAATTTGTCGTCCCGATTACCAAAAATCCCAATAGAAAATTTGACCAACACTCAAACTGCTGAACACATGGAAAGGTCCACTAAAACCCAGATCTCAAAATTGTCATACTCAAAATTATAAATTTTTCAAAACGCCTGTAAAATACATTAGAGTAAATCCGAAATACTATTTTATTTTACAATCCTCAGAAAATATATCCCGCAATATCCTAACTTTCATCAAATGTCCCTCAACGAATGCTGGTTTCTTCTTCTTTCTTCTCGATTTTAACAAACTGTCACATGTATTTTCTAAAAGTATCATCAACATCTTCTACTTGTACTGAATTTATCAATGAAAGAAGTTTCTATTGGTGTTTCAGAAGGACGGTGCTCGCTAGAATCATATTATTCAACAGCACATTTTGTTGGGCTCAGATTCATTTCTGAAAGTATCCCACTATGACGAGTTTTACTGCGACTTGTAAAATGACGTTTCAAACTGAACTTTTTCAGTCGATTTCTCGACAGAATGCACTGTAATGTGTGAAGTCGAATAAACTACCACACTGGAGTATTTTTTTCAACAAAAGTCATACTCGCCTGTATACACTCTCATGTCATTAGTTAATCTAGTCTTCATGGCGTATTTTTTCACAAAAATCACATTCGAACGGGTTCTCGCTAGTATGTAATCTGATATGTTAAGTCAAAGTCTTGATGCAGAAGTTTTTTTGACAAAAAAAAAACACTCGAACGGTCCCTCGCCAGTATGAACACTAATGTGTTTAGTCAAACCAGTCTTACTGAAAAAAAAATTTCCTCACAAAAATCACAATCGAAAGTCGAAAGGATTCTCGCTAGTGTGAATTCTTTGGTGGCGAGTCAAATTATGCTGCTGTGTAAACTATTTTTTACAAAAATCACATTCGAACGGTTTCTCGCCAGTAGGCAGTCATGTGTTGAGTCAAACCAGTCTTAATAACAATTTTTTTGACAAAGTCCACATTCCAAATTTTTTTCGCCTATATGAACTCTTATGTGTTTAGTGAAACCATTCTTACTGGTAATTTTTTTTTACAAAAATCACATTCGAAAGGTTTCTTACCGTTGTAAATTCTTTGGTGGCGAGTCAAATTATTCTGCTTGTTAAACTCCTTTTGACAAACATCACATTTGAGTGGTCTCTCGCCAGTGTACAGCATGATGTTACTGCCAAAATACCCTTCCTGTCGAATTGCAACTGGCAAATTCTAATGGTGTTTAGATAATGATGATTTTCTGCTAAACTTTCTTAGGCGAATATGGCATCAATGTATTTCTCTAAAGTTTGCAACACAATCAGCTGAATACATATTTAATTGTTTTTCAAATGTCAAAATAGTGATCCAATTTTCTTTGGCAGTTGGATCAGCTAGTCGTCTCACAGGTCACAGGTAACTTTATTGGGATTGTAATCAGTTCATATCTATTAGCCTCGATCTCAGCCTAGGTTTTAGCATCACTTCAAATAATGAATGGCTCCAACATGGCTTTCAGTGTAATAAGTTTAGAGCCTTCATTGCAAGAGATCCAGTTCTCCATGAGGAAACACGATGGCTTGAAATGGATATATTGTATTGTTCAGACGTGAGAGGAAGTGCACTACATCCGAAAACTACAATATAACTATCGAATGATCAGATTTTTATAAATTTTAGTACCTAGACCGCTAACGTCATAAAACAAATGCTCATCCAATCACAATATCGACCTGGACTATTTGTTTTGTAAGGTTCACGCATCCTGTACTTTTCAAAAAGATAATCTGATTGACACTGGCGAATTTTAAAACCGTCAGAACAGGACCTAAATTGTCTGAAGTTGGCAGACTTGCACTGCCAAAAATGTTCTGGTGGAACACCTCATGTATGTTCAGCAGTTTGAAATAACAAGAAAAACTACCCTGATCAAGAGTGGTCTGGCATGTCAGATAATTTAACGGACTACGCCATGTTATTACGTAAGGTAGAGTGGCGTGGCGCATTGGCATTTTTCGTTAAAGGGCGCAAATGTGTTGAATGTTACGCATTGAACCACTACAGCAATTTGTCAAAGTATGGTGCATCTCGAAATCCAACTTGAAGATTTTTTTGTGGGCTCGGATGCTTTCAGTTGGTGACCGCCTTTGGGAGGATTGCTAGCTTCCTGTTATCAAAAAACAAGAAAATCAAGTCAAGACTGGAAATTAAATAAACAATGGGCGACTGGACTGGTAGTGAATATTAGGCATTCAGTTACTCAACTGTGTCACTGAACAACTTTCTGAAAGTTGTTCGATGACTGTGTCGATACGGTCCTGAATCAATTTTTTCCTACGACTACTACTGTAAGTGACGGATATTTTACACAAAACAATGACAGTAAGCTTTTCCTTACACACGTGTGCGTAAAGAGAGCGATCGCACGGTTTTCATAGGTATATTCATTATTCCAAATTTTTTGGGATTTTCTCTCCTCGTTTCTATAAAATAAAAATATGAATATTATTTCAATATACGTGTAGTAAGGACAAATCAGATGATTTGCCCCAAAATGTCACTGCGTTTAAAGAATTTTCCTATCAGGTATGTTGATAGATGACTTTGTTTTGTTGCTTAGGCGATGTGTCAATAACAATTAACAATTTCATTAATGTCACTAGCTAAGTGGGTAGGTACTCATTTTTGTATCAATTGATCCAGCTATCCACCGAAACCGAAAGCAGGTAAGTTATATTTTTTGAAAATATGATTATATTTTCTATTGATAATTCTCAATTTCAGTTAAAAAATGATGTCAAGCGATGACGATGAGCTGATTATTTCTACACCACCAGAAATGTTGGAAAAAGCTGTTTATGTTCGGTGCCGCTAAGTCTCGTGAATGATACGAAATAGCGCATCAAAAATTCCTGGACTTGAGAATTAGAAATAATACCGTGTCATTTTCGGAAAATATCCTTTTAGAATAATTTCAAGAATTATCAAATTCGATGAAATCATCATCACTCTGGTCGATATATTCCATGTTACGATCAACACTAAATATCAATCACTATATTAATATAGCAACTTATCCCATTTCCTCAAAAGGGAAGGATGGATTCCGAAGTAAAAAATCAAAAATACTTAATGCTGAACAGATCAATTATTTGCTGCAAAATGCTCCTGTTGAAGGTAATTTTTCAAATAACATACATACTCAACATTGAATTGATTAATTCCTTTTTCTTTAAATAACAGGAATAATTAAAAAAGATCAATATTCGAAATTATATTTATAAAATATATACTAATACGGAGAAATGGTGATAGCTCAGTTGTTGGAAGCGCAGTTGGAGAACTTTTTTATCATTATTTTAATAACGAATACAGAATCTCTCGTGCTGCACTGTTACAAATAAATAACCATTATGAATGTTAATTTTATATTTTTATACAATGTGTTTTTGGCTACCTATTAATAAAGTTGTTTAGATATGAAAAACGGCTCCATTTCAGTTCGAATTGAGAAAAATATCTCGGTTTGCAATGTATCAATAAACAAACACAAGAATTGTGATTTGTAACTTTTCATGCAGCTGGCTTAGTGACGGGAGACGTTTTATATTGGTATTCGTTATTTGTGCCTTAATACAATATCTGCACTATCCGGAAGAAAATATAGTGTAGTCGTAGAAAAAGTATAGTACAATTCTCGAGTTGTAAAGCAATTAAGCACTTGTGGATTTACACACTCGCCGCTATGGGGCATCGTGTGTAACTGTGCTATGGTCGACGGTCGTCCCCTACTTAGTGACGTCAGTTTTTATTTGCGGTAAATTTATAGCCGTTTGAAAATTACCGTGACAATATTGATCTGATTGAGTGATGATTCAATTAGAAAAAGTGTCCAGTAGCCCATTGTGTTTCGAATATCAAGCAAAAATCATCATTCTTCTGCACACGATAAGCCAGTCTCCAACTTCTCAGTTGAGGAAGAGATATGAGTAAAACTTGAAAATCAGAATAGTAAATTGTAATTTTGATCACAGTTAATGTAATTCAGATTGGTGAAATGAAGTTACAAGAATAAACAAGATGCGGAGGTCAGGCATGATGCGACCTTGAAATAATAGGATGAGGCAACCAGTCTAGGAAATTATGTTAGATGTTTTTTATTGTACAAAATCTGCATAAGGCCAGGTGTCTCATTCTTTTTATGAAATATATGACAGACTAAGAAACTGTGAGACATCTACAGGATAGCTTTAGAAAATCGATGGAGAGTCAAGCATTGACTAACTCTATCTGAAGGCAAGAAAGAATAATTCATCTGATATTCTGCGATTCATTGTTATTATTTTATATAAGATTATTATCAGTTTCCCATCATCTATCTATACTAATATCATAAAGAGGCAAGATTTGATTGTTTGTTTGTATCTATTGAATAGGTTCCGAAACTACTGGATCGATTTGGTTGAAAATTGGTGGGGAGGTAGCTTGGAACCAGGGGAAGGTTATAGGATACTTTTTATCCCGGTACCATTAGGAAATTCAAGATGGCGGATCTAATATATCGGACGAGTTTTGTAATTATGGTCCAATTCTATTCAAAATTGGTATTTGGGGGTTTACGGGGTCGGAGATTGTTATGTAGGCCCATTTAGTGTGAAATGAAGCTCTACTAATATAAATGATTTGTTTATTCTCACCACTGTCTAAATATCAACTGCCCGATCTCTGCTGCCACATATCAGCAGGTATCGAGCGACTTTGTACAAAAAAGGTATATAAAACAACTCCTACAGAGTGGAGCTTTTTTATTCTAAACAAGATATCTAACATTTCCCCCCTATACAAATTTATTACACATAATTCAAAGAAAATATTTTTTTTTCTTTCATCGAGATATCCAACAGAGATTATGACTCTTTCGTCAGAATTTGAAAATTCGGGCGGAATTTGTAAATTCAAGATGGCGGAACCAATATGGCGGACGAGTTTTGTAATTATAATCCGATTCTTTTCTGAATTGGTACCTAGGGGTTTTCGTGATCGGGGATTATGAAATTCATGATGGTGGATTTTGTAATTAGGATCCGATTTTATTCAAATTTGGTGTCTGGTGGTTCTCGTGGTCGAAGATTATGATTCTTTTGACAAAATTCAACATGGCGGACCCAATATGGCGGACGAGTATTGTAATTATGATCTATGACTCTTTTCAAAATTGTTATCTGAGTGTTTTCGGGGTGGGAGATTATGATTCTTTTGTCAAAATTTGGAAAGGGCGGGATTTGGAAATTCAATACGGTTGAACCAATATAGCTAACAGAAAACAAATACTGTTCGGCTAATACCAAAGAATATCTGCCAAATATTGGAAATACCCAATTTAAAAAAATATGAAGAAATATCTAACAGAAAACAGCTACTTTTCTGGCTAATGCCACAGAATATTGAATGTGATGTACGGAAAAATAATATACCTAAACCTGAGAGAATATATTGATGATTTTGAATTTTGATAAAAATGTGTTCATTAACGCTTTTATAACCCTTATCAGGGATATTGAAAAACAAACAATACATAGCGTTTTCCTGTTAGTGATAAATGCTCAGTAAAACATGCATTAATCTAGACAGTTGAGAAGTAAATCTGCAAGCAATGTACATGCATCAATAGAAAATTATTCATTCTACATGCAGCATGGCAACATCATTTCATAGTAATGTTAGTGATACTACACTATATTAGACCAGACAAACAATTAATGGTTCATATTAGAAATATGGTAAAATAAATAATATTCAGTTGTCTCACAAAATTAACAGGCCCCTGGAGCATCTAGAGGGTGATCCACCATAAATTCCCCCCCCTCCCTTGAAATTACTTCATTAGAAAGATATTTGAAATTTTCAAAAGCCAGTCTTTTTCAAACATCCTCAGAGTGTAATATTCAAACGCCTACTTTCATTTAACTTGTGACATGGCATTCTGTTTAGTTTTTTCCTTATTTAATTTGGATTTTCCGTAAAATCATGTTATGCTATAAAATGTTGTTTCTGGAGTAATAGGAATTGTGAATACAAAACAGAAATGTAATTTCAATTCAAACTTGATACTGTAACTATTACACTCTATACGGTATTACTAATTTTATGAAAAAAACACCCTGTATTTGCTACACCCAGTATGTATAAAATAGAGGTTTTTATGTGAATACAATTTGTACCCAAATATTCAGAATCAAAAGGAAATAACCTGTCATTCAAAACAAACAATGTCCAAATATGAGAATTACTTTTGATAAAAATGTTGCCTAGACTTTTTGCTACATTTTGGTGGTGCTAATTTCTTGGAGAAGTTTATATTTGAACTCAGGGAGTAAAATGGGAAATGGGAATTTATGGTGAATCACCCTGTAGTGTATAGGTTGCAAGAATGAAGTTTGAAAATAAAGCAAAATCTCACAAAACTGAAAATCATATTATATGAACCATAAATGGCTTTTTATAGATCAAGCATGCCTACAGAGAAAAATACTATTTACCTTCTGCCAAGAGTAGGGTGAGCAAGAAAATACAAGATATATTAGAACACATTAAATTATTGTATATCCAGAATAAGTCCAAGTCTTTCCTACCCAAATGTTAGATCACATAAAAGTAGAAATTTAAGTTGAAGATGTGAAACTCATCACACTGATCTGATCCCACATTTTTGTCAGTATAAAATGGAAAATTTAAACTTTAATACCTATGTATTTTGTTAATCTTTTCTAATTTCAAAAGGGACAAATGACCAAGCATTGTTGTTTCAGATAAAATTGTGAAATAGTATGTGATTTATTGAGAGGGTTATCTGTCTTGTCATGTCAATAGTCCAAAATACAAGGTGTCCCAGAACAAGATGCCATAAATTCTACAGAGTGAACTATTGATCCATTAGTGCATAGAGTTATTAGAGAGATTTGAAGAAGGTTTTTCTCATCTCCAAATTTAATTTTTTTCTCAATGTTTTTTTTTTAGGAATGAAATGTGGATATGAACAGCTCCCAGATCATATGATGATGAGCTTGCAAAATGATGAACATTGATATTGTGGTCAATACCTCAACACGAATGAACTAGAAATTTGTAAAACATGATAGGTACTCCTGAGATTATAAACACTTATCCAGAAGTACCATAATTGATTTTGTTAGATATCTTGCAAATTATAAAAAAACTGCAGTTAGATAAACATGTGATAATCGATTTTGACCTTCATTAAAATATAGAAGTGCTGTGAATGGCACACTTCAAAAGTTACTTCAACTGTTATGGAAGATAATGCAAAATATTTATCTCCATGTATATTCATTGATTTGGTATGACATGTTTTTCATGCCTATTCACAATAGTAAATTGCCCTGTGAATTTTAGAACAGTACCTTTCAAGGATTTTAAAATATTCAAGAAAACCTGGTAGTAAAATCATTCCTGCATTTTCCTTTAGGGAGAATAGATGATTTTATTTGGCATATTTCTGTGTCTAGCTCTCCCAGAATAATCAGTATGGTGTGGTATGTTGTTTTGGGATGCCTGGTATAATTGAAAATATGATAGAAGAACACTCACCAATTTCTTCTCCATTTTTGCTTTGATGTCCCTAGCTAATGTGAAAAAGGCATCCTCAACACGAATACTGGCTTTAGCACTAGTCTCTATGAATTTAATACCATATTCAATAGCAAGTTGTTCTCCCCTCTCCTTTGAAACTTGTCTTTTTTCCTCCAGTTCACATTTGTTTCCTAACAACATTTTTTCTACATCTGCTGAGGCATTCTCCTCAATATTTCGGATCCAGTTTTTGATGTTTTCAAAACTCTTTTCATTAGTTATGTCATATACAAGCATTATACCCATTGCTCCTCGGTAATATGCAGTTGTGATGGTTCTGAACCTTTCTTGACCAGCTGTATCCCTAAAAAAATCAAAAATTCATCAAAATCAGACATCAATAGTTTACTGGTGTTCTCACCATATCTGTAACTTTATTTTTTTCCCATCTAGATCTATTGTTCTTATTTTGAAATCAATACCTGAAATAATAGTATTTATTATAATAGGGTAATTCCTATCAAAATATTATTTCTGTTGGCAACCAACATTTGGCAATATCATCTAAATTTTCTTTTCCAGTACAGAGCTGTATCTATGGGACTAAATATATTCCGATTCAAATAAGGCTTATTTTCTTTATCATAATGCAGCTTTTGTTCTCAAAGGGAAGGTCAAGGTAGAGTCCAATACAATAATTATCATGTGTTCTGTCAACACATTGAAAAATGTATAATGTAAAGAGTTATTAAGATGCAAATGTTTGATAAATAATGTAAACTAGAAATCAAATCACAACTAGAAATACATAAACAATTTATGACACAACTCCAAACATAACATAATCATAATTAATTTGTTTAGGTCACCAAATTATAACATAGTACTCATGGTAGAGGAGCATTACTCATTCCAGGTTTCAAAGAATTCCATTGGGATACTGACATCAATTAATTATAGATTATGTACATCATATTCAATTGAAGGCAAGAATAATAATCTTCTTTATATTCTTACAATCCTCTGTATTAGGTGTGGTTGAAAAAAAAAACAGTGGCCTAACCTACAGGAAATACAGGAATGGTATATGATCCCAGACGATGTTATTATAATGTTATCGATGAATTTTAACCTTCGATATCATATGTTTGAAGGTCTACAGGTGAAACATAATATTAAAATACCATTCTGACTCACCTATTGTGGAAATAAAGGTTGTATTGAAAGCGTCTTCTGAAAACCTGAAGAGAACGCAAGTCTTCCCAACTCCCGAGTCACCTATTAACAGTAATTTAAACAAATAATCGTAGGTTTTTGCCATGATTTGCCACAAAACACTTTTTGATCTAACAACCCGGGCACTTTTTGAGCACGACGAACTTACAACTTCCTTTTTTACATCTATAAATATCACTAGAATATTTCGTTTAAAACAAAAAACCCTGACACTAGTGTGACACTTCACGATCGTGTACACGTCTTCCGTACGATTGGTTGCCTACAATTCGGAACAGTTTAATTGAATCTGACGTTAATCGTGCTTCAATGGTTGCATAATGACGAGTAAAATTTGCCCCGGTCGAAAGAGACCAGTGCAAAACTAATGTGGTGCTGATTCAGTAATATATCTTCAGTTTTACACTGGTCCATCGGATATTATCTTAGATTAGAGGGGCGAATAATTCTCGGAAATATTTCCGTTCTTTCACTAACTCAGATCAGTTTGTGTCGCGGCACGTTTGGATATTCTCTTTCCATTTACTTTATGTTTCAACTCGTTATCACATGAAGAATGTATGACCGGAATAATGGCAGGAAATAAATCGCTTTTGCAGCCAGATTTTGGACTAGTTCTACATATTATGCATAAAATATATTTGAATAAGGAAGCAAATAACAAAATTTCCTGAAATGTAGAAATTGCCGCCTTCTTAGCTATTTGGGAAACTTCGATGAAATAACGCTATAATTACTTACACCAAGTTTACCTACGACAGCGGTCAGATTGATGCTTCTAAATGACTGATGAGTTAATTAGATTCCATAGCTGCTATAAGAGTGTAGTTGAATTTTAAAATTTTTAGGTGCCATTCAATACACCTGTAGGCTAGAGCAGTAAATGTATACAACTCGATCATTAGCGCGCAAGACCTAGGTATATATATGTAATATCATAGATTAAAGAGACTCTCCAATATTAATTAAATGAAGTGGATTGAAAAAGAAGATGAAATGGGCTTGGATGTGAATAAGTGGAATAGCGGAATAGCGAATTCAATTTCATTAATAGGTTTTTCAATCACCTGTTGCCAAGTTATGGAAAATTGATGATACCTCTATACGATATTATTGTGAATAAATTATCTACCCATCTTTATGATTCATTAATTTTTGCATAAGCCCAAAAAATGTAGATACATAATAAAACATGCTAATAATCTGGCCTACTCAAACTTCCAAGATTTTATTATGAATTAAATGATTCGACGCCACGTAAGTATAAGAATGATAAGTAGAGGTATAATACCCAAGTTTTTTCATGTGAGAAATCGTAATTTCGTATTAATTTCCATGTAACATCTACAGGGCTACGCTGTCATTATTTATTTCAAATTGCCCTAACATTTTTGACGGTAAAATTGTGGCTCTTTCCATGAAAAATAGTTATTTGTTTAACTAGGCAGCAAAGTAGTAGATTGACTGCCGAGGCTGAATTGATAGCCGAGCGTAGCGAGGCTAGGAATCCAGCTAAGGCAGTCAATCTACTTTGCTGCCGAGTTGAACATATAATTTTTTCTCCGATTGTGCATAATGATATATATCTCTTTATTTTTCCTGTAGTGTTCAATTACATAAAATTTGTTAAGAAATCGCAGTTGTTGGAATGGTTGGTTGCTATGGAAATATCCATTATAGTTTGACAATTCATGAAATTTCTGACAGTTGTGCGAAAAATATCGGTATATTTAAATTATTATATGATGGACAGTGATAGCGACCTGGAAGTACTTAAACCTCCAGAAATAAGGGAGGTGGCAAAAAATATAGAGTTGAATTTGTTGCCGGAGAAGTCTCGGATGAAATATGAAGGAAATTATAAACGATTTATGGATTATTAATTTTGCTGATACATATCAATCAGCAAAGTAACCACTTTGCTGCCTAGGCAGGAAAAGTAATACTTTGCTGATTGATATGTGTCAGCAAAATTAATATTTGCTGCCAATCGGAGAAAAACCTTATTTCCACACTTTCTCCAAGTAAAGAAGGTAAACTTCCTCAACAACGCTTGAGGTGATCGTTTTCGAGATATTTAAAATTTTCTATATCGCTGTAGGGCGCCAAGTGAAGTTGATGAGAACATTACGAAAACTAAGTAGGTATGTATATGTGGTGAGTCTCGTCAAAATAAACTACTTTTTTCCCATGAAATGTTTACCGTAAAATGATTTTTTCCCTGTTATTTCAACACCCTCTATCTTCGGAATGAAGAATTTTCGGACACATGTTAATGAACAATTTTTTCTTAAAATTGTCTCAGGAATACGTCAATTGAATATTTCAACGTACCTTTACACCCTGTATACAAACAATTGAGGGGATGCTGAATCCAACGATGATTTTGAATTTTTTGTAAGAAAATCGCTATTGAGATTTCCTGAATTTCAACCTCTGAAAATATATACTTATCAGTAGGCCGTGTTTTTTTTTAGAAAAAAAAGTACAAGTTTATAAGTTCCACATGTCGAAAAAATGTTTGTCGAAATCGGTGAATTGATACAAATTTCATTTTGAGGTGTCCCGTTATCAAGTGGGTCACACTGTGTCTCATATTGGAACCCTATCATTGGGACCTCGGAAAGTAGAAGAGATACCAGATCGGTTAAATGGAGGCAAAACATTCTCAAACACACGACATGTTAATTTCGCTAACACAGTAGCTTCGTCAGATGATATACTGGTACAAAGAACTCCATCTTTTGTGAAGTTTTTACAGCAGTCAATCTACTTTGCTGCCATGTGAAACATATAATTCTGTCTCCAATTTTTTTCATGTTCTGGTTCCCACGAAAAGGGATATCCTGTAATGTTCAGAGAACATCGTGAGAACCAAGGGAAATAAGGTAGGAATTGGTGTTCTTCTTAAACTGGAGGTAATATGCCTCGGGGAACACCTCCCTTGGCAATGTGTTCCATAGTCTCGCTGTTCGTTGGATGAACGAGTTTTTGAAAAAGAGATGTTCTGCAGGTTTCCAAAGGGACCACGAAGGGGTGCGAAGCCTCAACTCGACGGGTTAATCCGTGTTAATCTCGCGGGGACTGCCAAGGGAGGAACAATTATTGATATTTCAGTAGAGCATCGCCCATGAAAATATCTATAAAATAGAGACAGATCGCCAACTATTCTACGGTATTCCAGAGAAGAGATTGAGTTTGTGGGCGAGGCATCACACCCACGAGACGAATTGCCCTTTTTTGTACAGAATCCAACAGTTTCAGGGTATGTTTGGGTGCTGCACTCCAAATATGGGAACAGTATTCCAGGACAGGTCGGATCTGTTGCCTTATAGATCATAAGCAGCTGACTGGAAGTTAAATAGCTCCTGGCCCGAAACAGAAAACCAAGTTTTTGGGACGCACTTTTAGCAATTAATTGATCTCACGTGATTTTCCCAAGAAAGGTTATTGCTGATAGTAATAACCAAGCATCGAAATGGATGTCTTCAAAGGTATGGTTACTCCTGACAAGCTTATGTTGGGCACAGATGAGGGATCGGATTTTCTAGAGAAAAGGCATGCTCGTGTTTTGTTTGCATTGAAATCTACCAAGTTATTGGATCCCCATTCGACAATTGTTGCCATATTTATGTTGTCATCATTTCTTCTTCGTTCGTTTCTGATTTGCCTGGCTGGTATTGGAGCCCTGGAAGAGAAGGCAGTATGGATGGTACTATCATCCGATCTTGCATGTATATATTCTACTTCCCAAGATCCCAATGATGAGGCTCGAATTTGGGACAGTTTTTGAAGCTCCATGATGTAAAAAATCGACATCTGTGAATTACAAAGTTCATTGAGGTGTCCCGCTTTCAAGAGGGTCACTGTACGTATATTAAGCGATACTTGTGGGGGGAAACATCTGTATAGTATTATATTGCCCCTCTTGATTGCCCCTATGGAACCGCCGATGATTAGGATATTGTTTATATCCTTCTGCGAACGAACGAAAAGTGCAATAACACACATAATATGAATATTTCGCGCATGTCTATTTACTCAAAACGTATGTCGACGCTACGGAGTTTGTTTATACAACCGCCGCGACGCTGATAAAGATAACAAGCGAATATTGTGCTCGCACAGCGTACTTTTCGCAGTTTTCAGGAAATTTATTCATTCTGAATTACGGAATTATTGAAATGGTCGAATCCACCAGTACTGAAATTGTTTTTAGGAAGTGACGGTGATTTAAAAATTACTTTATGTAAGGTAAGTAAGTATCTACTTTTTTAATTTTAACCAAATAACATTAGTTATTTCTATAGAAGAAGTTAATGGTATGAAGTAGTAGAAAAATTCTCAGTCATCAGTCGATTTTGTGACATGTAACATTAAAGTTAATCTTAAAATAAGTGGAATTATTGAGAAGAGAAAAGTTCATTCATGCGTAATCGCAATTGAGTTTGAGAACAAAAAAATTTATGAATTATCAAATGCTGAAAGCACTTAGCTGATGATGAACCAATATCGATTAGAAACATGTCCTCTTAAATCGCCTTAGATTTTCTGTGGATTTGACAGGATGCTTTTCTGCTACTTCAATATTATAGTTTTTTTTTTTCGTTTTTTTACTGCAAAAACACAAAACACTGCTATTCCTTAACTGTTTTTAATAAAACAGTGAGGTTCATGTGGGTTTGTCTTCCAATCTCATCTTAGTACCTGATAAAAAACACTATATAGTGTGTTGTAGTATTCGCGCCTATACGGCTTACCCATATTGCAAATTCCATATACTCGTGAGAAATGATTGTCATTCCGTGATCGTTAAACAATATACTATTTCCACTCCAACACAATGATGTTATTATACATGACTTATTCTAATACAATGAGTATTATTTCTGAGCTCAAAATATGAAGATATAACTCAAATTCCCTACATAAAATATGTCTCCTGTCTGAGTTACAGGGTGTTTTATTGAAAATTTAAAAATTGACGTATTATAGTCATATTTTGTGGGAAGTGTAGATACTATACACCCTACTTAATTATGTAAAATAAACTTTTCTGGTTATACTACCAGAGGCATACGACAGGGGCAAGTGACTGCTTGATCCTACCCAAATTCTACGCCACTGACGGAATTGCCATTTTATCACAATCTGTCGATTCTTCGATACTTTCTAGGTAAATTCATTATTTTCCGAGTTCAGTCCATTGTACCAGTATATGATCTGATGAAGATACTGTGTTAGCGAAACATGTCGTGAGATTAATTATTTGGGGAAATCTTATCGTTTGTGAAGTTTTACATTTGCCATGGATTTCCATAAAGTAACAGCCGAGTCAATTCAAAATTCAGTAATGAGAGTGACAATTTTACTATTCAGATAGCCAGGCGGCAATCAAAGCAGTCAACTCTATGCAAGTTAACTCAAAACTAGTATGGGACTGCTTAGAAACCCTAAATGCACTGGGCAGTCAGAACAGATTGACTCTAGCATGGGTACCAGCACATACAGGGTACGAGGGCAATGAAGAGGCTGACTCACTTGCCCGAGCAGGAGCAAACAAAGCTCTTAATGGCCCAGAACCCTTCTGTGGTATTGCAAAAGCTATACAAAAGACTATATAGTATCAAATCATGGATGCAAACTAAATCTCAAGAATGGTGGAACAACTCGCCAGGAATGAGACAGGCAAAAGAGTTTATTAAAAAACCATCGCCAACATTCACAGAATATCTACTAAGCCAGAAACGAAGTTCAACTAGAATACTAGTGGACTTCTCACAGGGCATTGTAGGCTCAACAAACACATGAGTACGATAGGTCTGACTGAAGAACTGCTGTGCAGGTTCTGTCAAGAAGAGGAAGAAACAGCAGTACCTACACATACTTTGCCACTGTGAGGGCTTGTCAAGACTAAGGTTCCTTACGCTGGGTGAGGAAAAACCAGGAGCCCAGAGATACACAGGAGATCTGAAAGCTTGCCTATGGAGTCTCATAGAGAAGGCGGGGCTAGCCGAAGAACTCTAATCCATTTTGAGGGCAGGCACAATAGATCTGAAAAGGTCGCAGTGTGGAGGCAGATAGCCCGAAGGCCCCATTCCAAATCTAAATCTAAAATCTAATCGTCATGTAGAATTGCATCCTGAAAAAATGCAATAATCATTATTTCCATAGCTTCGATAACGTTTCGAGTGCTAATCAGTTTATTAGAATAATTCTAAATTGATTTTCTAAATGCGGAATAAAACGAATGACAGGCTGGAAATCGAGTAAATGTTGTTGCTATTGAGGAGACACTCACTCACTCAGTGATATGATTGAAAACTACTAAAGATCGAATATGTAGCAATTTGCTAATTCGTATGTTAAATAAGTAGGGCAGTTCATCTTTTTCTAGAAAAATGTCAGTAGGTTTCATTAATTTTTGTCTTCTGGTTCCTATATGTTCATTATATTTTCCCAGACTTCAAAGATCGTTTTTTGTTTTTTTCACGACAATGATTCGCTATAAAGAATGAACTTATTCCAATACCCACGTCTAATACAGGAAAATAAGCACACCCTGTTTATACATAGCTGTTAATCTTTTCGCATTCACAAATTCTCAACCATCATCCGACTACCAATAATGTTTTTTCAGTACTCTAGGTGCACACCTAAACATTTCCACCCACCACACCATGCTCGCGCTCCTTCGAATGACCCGATAGGCTAACAAACCTTCGAACTCCCGTCCACCGAAAATGTCTTCTCAAGAAGACATAAATCCGGACAGTTCGCCGGACTCTCCCGGCTTCAACAAGGACGCGGCCTTCGAAGCGAAGCCGAAGCCGAAGGCCATCCGGGTTTTGACCGTGTTAGCGTACGTCCTCAGCGTCTCGATGGCCGCCATCATGCTGTCCATTTACTATATTTTCATGTGGGACGGCCGGCCCCACATAGGGGCCAGGCGTGGTGGACCCGAAGCGGGCCACGAGAGTTTCAGGTGAGCCAAAGGAATATAATAATATAATGCTCTTCCGCAGAGCTATCGTCCTATCAGTCTCCTGCGTGTTCTCCATCTAAGATAACTGAGCGAGTGATTAAACAGAGGTTACAGGAATTTATCGAGGTCAACGAGCTGATACCAGATGAGCAGTTCGGTTTCAGAACTGGCCACTCAACTGAACTATAAGTCTTGAGACTCATTGAGAACACAATATCGTTGAGAAATTATAGACAAAAGACCCATCTTGCTCTCCTTGACATAGCGAAAGCATTTGACAAGGTGTGGCATGATGGTATCTTGTGCAAAATGTTCGATATGGGCTTACCCGACGATTTGATTCAGTTGATGTGTTCATTTCTAAAAAATCGAACTTTTCAAATGAAACTTGATGATCAACGATCTGGTATCAAGCCCATTGAAGCTGGTGTACCTGAAGTCTCTTCAGGAGTACTTCCTAAGATGGAAGATCAAATTGAATCCTTCAAAAACACAATTGGTCGCACTCGGAAGGGAGCGGAGGCCTCCCAGAACTAGAATAGTCCTGGATGGTCATGAGTTAAAGTGGTCTTCACAAGTTAAATACTTAGGTGTGTGCATTGACAAAAAGCTCACCTGGGCCCAGCACATTGAACAGCAAGTTTCAAAAGCTAAACGAGCCATTGGAGCCCTGTATCCATTTCTGAACAGACGAAGTAAATTGGGTTTGACAAAAATTGAATATTTACATCATGGCATCAGGCCAATTTTACTGTATGCCTCGGTAGTCTGGGGCCACACAGCTAAATCTCATATCACCAGATCACAAACATTATAAAACAAAATCGAGAATGGTGAAAGGATCTCCTTGGTATGTTCGGAATAGCCAGATCGCCAGGGATCTGAAACTCCCTTTAATCGTCTCCGTTATTAGAGAACGAAACATCAAGACTTTCGAAAAAGCTGAGGTTCAATGAGAATCAGCTTCTTCGAAAAGCAGTTGATTGGCCCATGTGATCAATCAAAGTTCAAAAGACCATAAACTAGAGAAAATATCGATATTATGACCAAATTTCTCAAGTTTTTGATATTTATTTATTCCGTTCGATCTTTTCCAATTCTCAGAATGTATTTCTGAAACTTAATTTGGGGCAGAAGGGCTGTTCTACGACACTGACTTTATTTCATATCGATTGTACATATCGACTTCTGTCTTAGTTCAAATTTTAAAATTTTTATTCGAATGGGGACATTGAACATGAACTTTCAATGAATGGGTCACTTGTTTTTATCTCTTGGAGAACACGAAAGGAAATTCCTATAGTGTTCGACGAACATCGTGCGTTCCTAGGGAGGATAGGGAGAGAGGGTAGGTGTTGGAATTTTGTTGAACTTTATATCCCATACGGACGCCATTGGTAGGAATATTGAAAAATCTCCTGCTGTAAAAAATGGCTATTGGTGCTTAGTGGGTGCATGTCATGAAAACATCTAGAATTTATTTCGAAACTTTGATGAACGATTTTTGAGGAACGTTGATGTTATCGCAAAAAAATCCAGAGCCGGACTTGGAAAGCTCATTTTCTTTTTAGATGTCAAAATTTCGACCTTCTGGATCGTATTCTTCAACAACAATTATCCGATTCAGAAAAATCTGAAAAAACCCTACAAGTGTGGCTCTTCAATTTGTACGGCACACTTTGACCGATTTGGTAAAAAAATATTGAACAAAATTCTGATGAATATTTCTTCAATTTTGGTCCTGACACACTACCTCCTCTCTACATTTGACCAAATATATTCAAATAATTTTGTTTGTATATTGATATATAGCAGCTGAGAGTTGAGAAAAGTTATTATTCAATAAAAAAATCAGGAATGGACTTGGTTTCTGGAAAGGAATACAAAACAATTATAATTTCTGTATCCTCCGGGATTTCGAAAATTGCTTGGAATTCATCAATTTATCATCAAAAAGAACAGTCTGAAAACGAAATGCATGACGTCCACTAGGTTGGACATATAGTTTTTCCGATTCTGACTGAGGTACAGTGAAATATTTTGTTATTATATATTTTTACATTGCTAACTCTAGGTTACAATAATCAAAATGTCGATTTATTAAATTTTTTCTAGCGCCTCCAACAAATGTTCTGTCAGGAACAACATTGAAGTCTTCAGCAACCATTTTAAATTAGTGCAAATATGATTCAAAATATAGAATGAACCCCTGATTTTTTTCTCAGAAGGTGATGGTAACACGTGGTAACACCACCACACGTAGGAGATATGTCAAAATATGTCCAATATTACCAGCTATGTATAGTAATGATAAAACAAGAAATATCTCCATTGCTTACAACTACTTATTCCTCCTGCCCACTCTAGTGGGCATTATGCATGAGAGGGTTAAAATAGATTAGAAGAATTCAAAAATTGTGAAATCCATTGATGTACAATTTATTAAAAAACGTAAAAACGACTAAATCGTCAATTTGATTTTTTTTAGCATTCCAATTCAGTTCACCGAATCAGTAGAAAATTTCACAGAACCTCATCACTACATGCCAAACCTCATTTATTTTACCAGAAGAAACTCTTCAGCAAAAATAGAACAGTGGAAAGCTAATGAGAAGCCAGTTGAAGGAACAGAGGGAATGTTTACATCTTCTTCTTCTCCTTCATTCTTCACACATTCAGTTGAGAATAATAGTATTGATTCAGTTGAAAATAATAGTACTGATCAGAATTATACATATTATCATGAGACTACAGGTAAGAAAAATCAGTCCCGAATTTTTTTGTAATACTTTTATATTTTCACCGTCAATGCCCTTTTATAAAAAGAGACCTCTAACAATGTTTAGTTTATCAATTCAAAATTTGTTATTATCTGGTGGTATATATGTTTTTCTGCTAAAACACCACGTCGAACGTTGGTTGAAAATCGTACTCATAAATTTATTTGATAGGTTTCTCCCGTCATCTCGGTAATTTGATATATTATATCACCCCCGTCCTGCTGTGTATTAAGGTCACATTTGTTACATAAGTCTTAATTGAATTACCTACTACAACCTACAATAAGTTATATCCAGGATTAAATACAAGGACGTCGGCAAAAAGGGAACTTTTCATGCGGGTATAGATAGTCCTCTTCCCCATTTTTTATAGTATAAATAAAGTAGTGAAGCCAGCATTATTCTGTATCCTGTTAGATATCAAAATGATAATGATGATTAATTTTTAAACAGTCCTGTCAGCCAATTGAGCCAATCGTGATGAAAAAAAATATCAAATCGACCAATAGCATAAATTGATTTGTTAGTAGCAAATCACAGCGATATCATTCTTCACATTAAAATGTCTTCGTGAGGGCTTCAAATATAATACAGGTATTGCTAATGCCATAAGGAAATATTCAATCATCTTTGTGCGAAAAACAAAATATTGCGATGTGACGAATTGATTATATCGATTTTATTATTTTTAGCTCAACAAACATTCTCCTGAGTATTCAAAGGTATTAGATAATCTTGTAACTACATCATTATATAGAGGATATTCGGTTAGCAAAACCCATAAACAAACCTACTGGTATACATAACGATCAGCAAGTTCTTTTGATATATAATTTAAATTTAAGGGTGAGGTATGGGCTGTATTTATAGGCTACATTTAAAAAAATGTAGCTCTCAGAGAGACATCAAATTATATTATGAATTGTGTTTGATATATTTCATGGCATCCTGTGCACAAAAATCATCAGGATACTTCTATTTCAAAAACTGATCGTATTTTCTCTTTGTTCATGTCCCCGTATTCGCAGTTTCGAAAAATTTTATGTAAAGTGTTGGACAAATTGGACCATTTTTGAAGGATGGGTCTTTACTAATTTCGAATTACAAAGATGTGAACCCGATGTCTGCCAAAAGGTCAATTTTAATTACAAAATGATAACACCGCAAATTGGTGTGTCATCGTTTCAGAGTATCAATAAGGTACCTATACTTATATTTTTCTAAAATGTGCATTTTTGAAAAGTGAGTGAAACTATTTTTTTTTTGCGAACATTTTCTTGTTTTCATGACAATGTCAATACTTTGGAAATACTTTCATAAGAACAAATAACTTTAGACAAAAAAAAGTTTCTACGGTCATTTTTCAACAAATGCACATTTTCAATTCACTATGATTCACTTGAATTCATTGGACTTCCCCTTCAGAATTTTCCAACTTGGCTCACCGTGTACATATTTTGATGAAACCCCATATTCGGGTATCTGAGACATGAACAAATACATTGTGCAATCATTTTTCAAAATAAAATAATGCCTAGGTTCTATTGTTTCCTCATATTTGAGATGTAATTTTCATCACAGGAGGCTATAAAATATGATATATCAGACTCAATTTCATAACATTTTTTAATAATTAATTCTACTCTAGAGTGGTTACACTTGAAGCGTGCAAAAACATTAGAAAATTAATTAGAAAATATTGCGTGCGATAAAGACATTTATCATAAAATTGAAATGGTAGCTAGTCTCTCATGCATAAAGTTTATTGGTTGTTGAAGGGTTCAGAGATCGGTTCTATGAAAAGACATATACAGGGTATCCCGTGATTCGAAACACATAGCTTAAGGGCACAACAATTTCAAGTCGAAAGTGCTTTACAGTGGCGAATACAGGAGGGCGGGAGGGCAAGGGTGCAATTGCCTCTTCCCCTCAGAACCCCTAACCCCCAGAAACATTCTGGATGTCTGCAGATTATAATCATTCCAGAGTATAATTCCATGAAGTACCAAGAAAGTTTAAAACGAAAGTACTAAATTTAAGCAGCTATGTCAGTTCTACCACGAAGACTTGGAAACTAATTCATATCCGGTTCAGGAAGGAGAATTCAAGCTATGGTACAATATCTTTGCCAAGGAAAATATAATTACCCACAATCTGTGAAAGAGGCTTTAGAACTGTGCAATAAAACTATCTTTCCAAATATTGATATCCTTTTAACCATATTCTGTAGTATTCCCGTTTCCACATCATCTAGTACAGAAAGGACATCTTCAGCAATGAAACTATTAAAAACATATATCAGAAATTCAATGACCAATGATAGACTAAATGGCCTGGCTTTATTTATATATTTACCCAGATGTAACTGTATAGATACCGAGGAAGTATATTAGATTGTCTCGCAACAAGGAAAAGAAAACTGGATATTATTTTATAAGTGTTTTTTTGTTTTGAACTTTTATTTTATGTTCAAATATGGTTAGAGATTGTTTTGTTGGTTCAAAGATTTTATTTGAATGTTGAAGGCTACTTCACACCTCAACAGCTTCTCATGATCTAAAAAGCACAGATACCGTCTGTTCTAGAATGATGTACCCACATATGGGGTTCAGCACCCCAAACATACGCGGATGCTCTTAGATTCTATCCAGAGAAACGAACCATTCGTCTAGTGGCGGGTGATGCCACGCTCAGTAACTCTTTGACATCCATTTGAACAGAAAAGTCGGCGATCTTCTACTTTTCTACAGATATAAGATACTTCCACGGGAAATGTTTTTCAGAAATCTCTGCTCTCATTCCTTCACTAGCAATACCAGTCAGACGTAACTCGACAAGCCCATCACCACTTTCTTTCGTTGTTAATCTAAAATATTATGTCGGACAGCACTTTATCAAAACTCGTTTACATATAATCTCCAAAACAATACCTACCTCCTCTACCTATGGTCTCTAGGTAGGCACGATGTTCTTCTAACATAATAGAGATTCCCTTACGTGCGCTCCAAGCGTTAAAAAAATAATAATAAAAAAAACTTTGAAACAACGATAGACATCACGAGACACATCTCTATTTTCTTCAATCCGATAGCAGTCTCATATGCACATGTTGAACTTTCCTGAATCATGAGTTTGACTCAATATTTAATTCAAGAAATACATCGTTGAAATATGAGAAATATGTTTGAGTGTCACAAATGGATAGGTATGGAGTTAGGGGTGATTATTCCTTGGGGGTGGTTTGGTGGGCTTTGAATTCCATTTTCAAGATCTCTCTTTAATACAATCATTATTATAAAACCGACTGAACATTATGGAACTCAGGAGTAAACATCAGACTGATAATATCTACACTGAGGAAAATTGTGCTATTAGAGTTTTTGCTGAGATATTTCTTGCTACCATTACAAGAAATCCTATTAGGTACCGTTATACATTTTCTAATAGAAGCAGCACTTTGAAATCCTATGATAGCAATAACAACTTTCGTTAAAAGTAAATTTCCTGCCAAAGGAAGGTATACTCTGCTGTCGCTATCAGGCAGCCACTCTGGGACAGCATGATTTTTTTTATATTTGTCTAGCTGAACTACTACTAGTGAGTTATATGCTTGTGGCTGCGAGGTTCATCGCATAGAACTGCACTCACTACCACTAATACAACTTTCAGTCTGCCACGAAAATAATATTAGACGAACCTACTTGGGGTTATTTAGAGCCTACTTATCGTTATTCGATATTTTGCTGATTTGTCCCCCTCTATATAAGCATTTGTCAGCCATCTTGCTTGATCAATCATTCACAGTTGGACTCTTGATACATGCAAACCCATGTACAGGACGACAATCTCGACGACACGACAGTCACGAATACTTCCCCTATTGAATTCAATTCATTATTTAAAATCTGAATCTGAATTCAAATATAAAATGGAAACATTTTTAAACAAATGAAAAAATCTTCTGTGCCCCTTTCAGTGCTTTCGTAGATCTGAGTGCTTCAGTTATTACCATCAGGATTGATGGAATGATGAAGGTGAGTTTTTTCGAGGTATTTCGACTGAAATTCAAATATTTTACATTCAACACTTCCTAGTTTTTGGTACCATAAAACTTCAAAATTGTCAAATATGTTCCAGAGCTCCTCTATAGAATGTGGTCTAAAAACTTATTGTGAGCGAAAATATCCAGGTTATGAAATTATTTGAATAATTTTACTGGTAACATTTTGTTTTCCTGTACGCATCTGTGATAACTTGTCTAGTTTTCGAATTACAATGGTTTCAGAATGTTTCAGAAAAATTATATGTTCTTCATTAATTACTCAAAAACTTTTTGTTTTTCCTGAGGGTGCATGAATCAATTGATCTATTGAATTTCAAAGATCATTAGTCCGAAATTTTCTTTATGAATCAATAAACTGCTATTCATACCAAACATCAGGATGGAAATTATGGAAAGTGAAATTGGATATCAATCAAAATTTTATCTTTCTTGATGACAACAATTCTGGAAAATAACTGAATAACTATACAGTGAGAAGATCATGCAACTATCTATATGATAATCCATCAAGAGTAGCAAAAAGTTCCCTTCCTACGATTTACGATTATAACATTGCCCTACTCCCATTATTAGATGCACTCACTAGCGGTAGCAAAGTCAGATACCTACTACAGAAACATCGCCTAATAGCAACATACAGATGCACCCGCTAGTGGCAGCAAGGTTCTATATCTAATAATCGCAGGTGGGTTATAATCAGCAAAGTCCACTTTATAATCACAGGTGATAAATCGCTTGTCCCCTATGCTATTAGAGTTTCTTGCTGGGGTAATTCGATTTCTGACTATGGTAAATACGAATTTTCTTCAGTGTAGGTATTTCACTCTACCCCTCCAAGAAAAACGAACTCTTGAGGTCACACTACCAGATGAATTAACATTAGAAAACAATAGACTGCCTCATCCACGGTGTCCACGTCTTCATCTTAAACGACTTGCATATTTTAGTACTTTTGTCTTGTTTATATTCTGCTCTTGCGCATTAAATCTGGACCAGCTGTTCGTATTGATCATCCGGCACCACAACGAGACAATTTTCCAATCGAAAACAATCGCGATCTCAATTCGAAAATCGCCAATGAACCCGAAAAAAACCTTCCGAAATCTAAAACAAACGCAACTAACAACATGTTCGACACAAAACGAGACCAGTTTGTGTTAAACGCCTCAGAGAAAACCACCCCGACAGGGTGAAAAACCTCATTAAATTTGACCCAAAAGAGTACGCTCGGGGCATTACAGTAGGCCGTGGAAATCGTGTCAAAACAGTGATTGAAACGCGATCAAATCGTTCGGCTGTGGCCGGTTGTTCTCCAAAATGTCTTGCAAGACCTCCAATGGAATCAAACTGACGAAAAGCGATTCACAGCAATGGAAAACCGCTTCCTTCCTGGACTCCTCCGTTAAATTAGCAGGAGAGGAGGCCAAAGACAGACTTTACGAGCCCAAGCACAAGAAGAAAATTGTTAGGGTACTGACCGTCATAGCGTATGTGTTCTTTGTGTCTCTCGCGGCTATCATGTTGAGTTTGTACTATGTATTTTTGTGGAACGGGGACCAAAAGGCCGCCATCAAGTATTTTAAGAATGTGCAAAGGCAACAGAAGTTGTACGGGCCAAGTTGCGATAATATTCTAGCAGGTGAGATCCTCAATAAAATCTTTTTTTTATAACTTAAATTAACTGAAAAAATCATCGAATCGTTACTTCATTCCTCATTCTTCAATAATTTGTCGAAAAAATAAAAATCTGAAACTTTTCTCAAAGAAATTGCTGCTTAAAATCTCTTCCTCATTTTGAAATTTGTATCATCAGATTACAGTGCATAAAAAGGATAGTAAATTCTAAGAACATTTCAAAATAAAAAGATAATTGGTACAAGAATAAAAAGTCCCCGAAAAAAGCGTTTAGTTTTTCGATGTTGTAACAGTTTTTTCTAAGATTTGATCTATCCTATCTGAAAAACTTTGATGGCTTTCAAAACAAGAAAAATGCAGTCCGTTTTTTCATTGAAGTTATTACAACTTGAAAACTGCCAAAAATTTCATTAGTCCATACATGTTTTCTTGACTATTTTTGACATTTTCACGAAACGTATAACATCGAGAATTAGATTTGCACTGTTAAACATTTTAATCTCGATTTTAATATACCTCTACTTTTACGATTTTTCTATACATTGGAATTTTCTTAAATATTTGGTTTGAATTTGAATAATTAAATACAATATGAACTTTTATCTGCTAACTGAATCGAAGGAAGACTTTTGCTTGGTGGTTTCCAGACAGCATCAGATATTCCATGAATCTCCCTATCGAGCAAGGAATGCCGGGGGTCTTAACTTTTAACGTGTGATCCCAAACACTTCAATCATATAGATTATATGAATTGAAGACAATTTGGTGCCTCATTTCTAAATTCAAACGTTTGGTACGTAAAAATGACAAGGTTCGCGCATTGATAACAATATCCCTATTTTTCATTTTCCTATGTTAAAATGATACTAAGCGTGAAATAGTGTGCGAAATATATATTTCGCGCATTGCATGTAAACTATATGCGATTTTTGTATTTTAACCTTTATATGGTTCTCAATCAAGCAAAAATCTAAGAAATTATTTATTTCTATATGTTTAACAATAATTAAGGATTTTCAAGCCAGTTCAACACTATATTTTATATTAAGCTAAGCTGAAAGTATATTTTTTGACGTATGTAAAAATTTGTTTGCAACTAATGCGCGAAATACTTTGGTGACCTCGACTATTCTCGATTACCAAGACCATTCACTAGCACACTGTTGACATGTTACGAAATGTCACTTTTCATAAAATTACTTTTTTCTGTGACGGGAAAAAAGTTTGGCATTTCATCTCTGTTGGCAGATTATAAAATGGTACTTTTCATAAATTACTTTTTTCCCGTGGGAAAAAAGTGAGTACTTTTTTCCCGGATATATATCACATATATATACACTGTTGATGGATTTTGTTGTGCTATAGTTCCGAAAAATGAGTCAATAATACCGTCTCCGAGAAAGAACTGCAAGTCCTTTTATTTTCCATTCGACTTCGCGGTTACGCATATTACTGAACAACCACTAAATTCGCAATTTTTTGAAATATAATCACAGAATTAGACTGACAGAAGTGACATCAGATATTTGATTACTTCAAAAGAATGATAAAGATGCCTACAACGCAGGTGTCACTACTGTTAAAAACTTAAAATTTCACGTCGATAGTATTCAGATTTCAAAATAATCTAATATCTTCTCAATATTGATTCGTCCTTTCTTCTGTCACAGAAAAAATAGTGTATTATTCACGGGAAAAATATTAGATTTTAGCTCACGGTTTTTTGTCTCCCTCCGCTACGCGTCGGGAGACAACACAACAGCTAAAATCTACTACTTTTCTCCCTTGTATAATAAAAAACTATTTTTCTCAGTGAGTATACTCTCTTCCAGGATATATACACTGTTGATGGCTCTAGTTATTGTGCCATTTCCGCAAAATAAGCAAATAACTCTCCGTCTCCGAGAAAGAACAACACATTTTTTTTATCCTCTCCTCCATTCAACTCAGCGGTTACGTAAATTACTAACCAACCACTGTTCGCAAATTTTCAAAATCATAACACAGAATTAAATTAACACATATTCCATTACTTCTAAAGGTTTCCATAACAACAATACAGGTGTACTACACCAGTTGAAAACTTTCACATGACTAATTTTCTGTTTTTATTATAATGTGAATATCTTCTCAATATTGAATCGTCGTTTTTCCTGACACAGAATAAAATACACACAACCTCGAGCTAATCTAATACTTCTTTCCCTAGTATAATAAAGAACTATCTGATGTTGTGTATTCGCCATAGAAAATAAGCGTACGCCACCTATCGGAGTTCTTGGAAGCTGTCAAAGCGACATGTTAACTTTGTTTTCATTGGTTCACATTTGTTCTTTGTTCGTTCTTATTGGTCATCATCAAAACAAACCAGTCAGAAGTGTTTAAGTTACTGCCGTTAGGTGAGGCAATGACGGCTAAATATCAAGTGAGCTGCCGACCTGATCATGACTGTCCATTTAGCGGATTTAGTGTTTAGGGATCTGTTTTTTTGTTACCATGCCACGCCCATTCCCCGTATACTGCGACATCTATTGAAGAAATTTGAAGTGTTTTCATGCTAACCTAGAAATTGAGAGATACCACTGGTGACAGATACAGATACCTACATCTACAGAACTGTTATTCTTACCCATTCCTTCCGAAATTGCAGAAAAAGATTCTATTCACAAACTGATGTCACTGGGAAATTCGAACAAATTGATTCCATCCCAAGATCCCAACCAATATTATAATAATACGAAAAAAGAATGCAAAATAAGAGGAAATATCAATGAAATTACGAGATTAGCTCAGCAGCAAAAGGCAAATGACAACATGTTTTGACATTTCATGAGATACATAACCAATAATTTGAAAAAATTCTCGTAAATCAACAAAAAACAAATGCAATCTTTGCGATTACCCGTATGTGCTGCCACCAAGCAATCATACACTGAACTTAGTTATTGGGCTGTCATGACACTTGATATTTAGCCGTCATTGGGTGAGGCGACGTGTTATTTTTTATCGCGAATTGTATAAAAACATGTGTTTCCAGAGATGCAGCAACAATTGGCAGATGGCGATTCCGAAGCATTGAAAATCCTTCCGGCCTATGAGACTGCGACTGAAACCAGTTCTACTGAAAACACTACCTGGCCACGGGACTATGAAACGCTGGAAGATTTCAGTGGGGCCAGCCCTTTCATGAAAAAACTGATGGACCACAGATACGAGGAGGACTACTAGTTATATACTAGAATATGACAAACTCTCGTATGCATAGCGAAATTACTAGATGTGATAGAACATTATTTCGTTAGATGAAGAGCAATCAACAAGAATATTAATAAATTAAAAAAAATTTTTTCATACTGTCTGTAGGTTCATCGGGAGCAGATTCGTTCCTAATGTATAGAAAGATAAATGACATTTTATATTTATATTCTTCTTAGTGTTTCAACTATTAGTTGAATTTTTCTCTCAGATTTCCAATGGTGGAATTTCAGAAGCAGTGACATATATAAATAGGGACAAATTAACTGATTTATCCTTTTTTATTAATGTTTATTTATAATCTAGAGAAAAGTTGTTAACCAATTCGAAAAATTCGAAGAATTATTGTTGGTGAGAAAAATTTACTACTTTCCTAGAACTTCATCTATTGACAACTCAGTATAGGAATCAAAAGAATCTGAGAAGGAAATGAATGAAGGATGAAATCATTGGTAGGTGTACCTTATAGATATAATAATTTGCAATTTGCATCTTACTGTTTGTGGAATATTCTTGAATGTTATAAATTTCAATCAAGTAACGTCCAAAAAGCAACTAAAACAAAAAAAACATGAAGAAATGTAAGTTTACACTTGAACCCAATAAACATTTTTATAATTTGAGAACTAAAAATTCATGAATCTCTAAATAGATGTCTTCTCGATTGCTGTTCACATTTTTTAATATAATAGGGAATATTTATACAATATATTATATTAATAGTTATACAATATACACCCCGACTATATCCAGTGTATGAGAATTATTATTATGAATTTATAAAATCTAGTAAATTTCATTGTATACCTATTCCTAATAAGAAAATAACGGAAAAAAACTTCTTAACGTCTCATTTTTCAAAAATATATAGCGTAATTCTTTATTCGAAGAATTGACTCTCAGTTAAGATCACATACATTTTCTTGTTTCTCAATGTAGGCAAATACTAATCTGGTCCAAGTGTTTTCAGAAAATCCAATTATTTTGAAATTAATAATTCATCTTCAGAATATGTTTTGATAACATAGAAATGAAATTCAACATTGACTTTATTAGAAAAAATATGTACAACAATATTAAATGTCATTATGATTTTTTCACCCTCCACCCGTGACCATCATATGCACTTTTCTATCAGACTGACTCATTTTTGTAGCTTTTTCAGTCCCCACTACACTCGACAACTGATACAGGTCATACTTGGAATAAATAACTGTCACTGTCATATTCGACTGGCTACCAACCTTTTTGTTTTGGTAAGAGTCTTGCATCAAATTGCACATTTCATAATAAAAATGTGGAAACACCGGCAGTTGATAAAAAAGGATGTGTCTGATCCCTTTGATACGTTTTCGATTGAAAAAATGGTATCTTTCTGTGTATAAGAGGAAGTGAGCATCTCCGTGAAAGAACATGTCACGTGCTCTTGCCACTTTACCTTCCTGAAAAAAAAAAAATAGCTGGCAATCACATTTTGACATAGCCCAAACCTATTTCCTATCTCTACAACAGTCTTTGTGACTCTCTTGAAGATTTAAAACTTGCTTAGTTGATAATAAATTTTGTGATTCGTTAACCTCTACTGCTCTTGAATTTTGTTAAGGCAATTATCTGGCAACAATGGTATGAATTTAAAAGCAGAGACATTTGTTACCTATTTGCAGAAGTACCTATCAGAATTCGTCATTCGTTCCTGCTACTGACAGAACCTACTATCTAGACCCCTGATGCCATAAGAAAGAACCTATGCCTCTCACGAGATCTAACTGAAGAACATGAATCATGCGCATTAAGGACATGTCATATATCTTACTTCAAACGACAGTTTGGAAGTTACTGGGATATGACATATATAGCGGTCTAGCTAGTAGTTATGTCGGTGGTTCCTGCTAGCATAAAAGAAAAGAACAGTGATAGGATACATTGAATCTGTAATTCACTTCACAAATCATACCAAATACCTGAGTGTTGAAAAATAATTCAATAATCTGGAGATTATCTTTGAATTTTAATATCCACTATATTTGATGAGGTTAGGATGGATGGAATATTTTCACCGATTTTGGGAAATCAAAGTTCTAGAGCTCTTATTTAATATTATTCTAATCTTTGCATTGGAAGTACCTCAGTAAATATACACTAGAGTTCCTTAATGTACTTGACACTGCTGTTTTGATGTTTTTTGTATATTAGAGTACGGACACTAGACAAGCAGTGACAATCAAACATAATCACAAACGATTTTGAAGCAGATCATATGTTTTGCCAGACAAGGACAAGAATATGTATTTCGCTTAGATAATGATCCTCGCATCTTCCTTCCTCCACAAGTCCTGGGAAGAGTACATCCATATATCTTTGTCTGCCTTTGATTTTTGTATGAGAGTTCAAAGCGTCTCCTCGAGTGGGTAAAATAGTACGATAAATTGATTAGAAAATTATTTCTTTATGAAATATTGAATGATAAGGCTGAAGGACCTCAATGGAGGTCGATATCAAGTTGGTATGTACATATATATGTCTTTTTCTTTCAAAATATGTTCGAAATGGATTTCATTATCTGCAAGTTTTTCGTTTCTTGTTGGTTCTAAATTGGAATAAGGTCCTTTTCGATACTCGCTCAGTTTATAAATTGTGGGTTCGGCTCTTTCTGTCAATACGATCATATTCTTCAACATCAAATCTTCCGTTCTGAAGTGCACCTGATGAAAATGCGTTGCAAAATATTCTATATCATATCAAGAAATTTGAATACATCGCAGATTTTGTGGCCTGAACCTATATTCCATGCCGGCCGCATCATATTCTGTTTCCATTTTTGTAGAAATACGTTACCTATCGGATGGAAATTCGAATAGACTGAATTGATTTCCCGTGTTCTCATCTTCCTCCTAATTCTCTCAATTTGTCAAACCTTTGAAATTAATGTCATGTACGTCCGTGTACTGTCAGTTCCCGCTTTTTTCATCAATTTATTTGTGGTTATGTCTGATTGTCAGTGCTTGTCATAGTGTCCGTACTCTAATATACACTATCGAGTCATGGAAACTATCCATTATTTTCACAGTGGTCCAGAATTTATCATAAATGAGAGAAAAAAAAACCGGCCACCAAAGAACCAAACTGTTCACCCTGTCACTTTTTGAATACTTGTCCGATTTTTGTGAAATTTCGTTCAAATCGTAGATTGATGTTCCCGAATGTTGGCCAGAATATTAGTTTCCGTGAAAAGCTGATGACCAGATCATTATACAGGGAAAAACTTAAGTTACTCTTTCGCCCTTTACTTCTTAACGCCCTGTGGCGAAATTGAGTGGATGAACTTGGCTTCATCATGTTTTGCATTGAAGTGTGATCCTTTCTTAGTACAATTCGCGAGATTCACGAAGTGGGCGACATCTAGGTTACATGATACGAACTTCAAACTGGGGGAAAACAAACTGTTGTCTATGGATAAAGTGCATAGACTACATTGCATTCAGTTTGCTGTAGCTGTAGTCAAACTTGTCAATGACATAAAGTGTTGGCACTGTTGGTAGTGATGATGGTTGAGTTGGTTAATTTTTTTACATTATTACATTTTTATTAGTTTAGTGAACAGTGAACGGGTGAAGAATTGGGGATAGTTCAAACAATTCAAACTAATTATGAGGAGCAAATCAATTGACATATAAAAGAACAGCTACAACATGTTTACAATACCCAGATTGTCCTGCTCTGCAGGCACAAATACAAATCCATTGTTCTACAGGAGTTCCTCTAGACCCCAACTTCAATTTCACTTCATGTGGGGAAGATTTCATCGCCGAAGTTTGTGCAAAAATGTGCCTTTTATTGAAGTCTTCTACTTCACACAAAATCATATGATAAGCACAGAGAACTGCTTCTCCTTCCACTACTGGTCGGCTTTTTTCATCTGAATAGAGCAAAATAGAGCAAAAAAGAACATCTACAACAGACGTTATTAGCGTTTTCGATCGAATATTGACAATTAATGTCAAGAAATTTGAAAACTTATCACTCTTATCAGTACACAGTACACAAGCTAATGGCACTAATGGGATTGAGTGAGGATTGAGTTTGTTTTCCCCCAGTTTTGACGTGACGTGACTTTGACATGGAACGATGAAAACCGAGCGCCACCTGGTAACATTGATTCCCGCGAATAGTTTTTGATTCACGTCATGATCTTATTTTTATGAGAAGATACGAGTGTTTTAAGAAAGTATGGCAATTTTCAAAGCTTATGTACAATAATCAGAACCTACATACTTATTGATTGACAACTTAGGAAATTAATATCACTTATTTCTATTTTTTTTTATTAGCACTTACCGGAAAAACCCTTAATCAGAATGAACAAACAGCAGAAAAAATTCAATCAATCATCAGATTGGCGGCCATAAGGCCATTGTGTCAATTACCAACACTGTCTCTAGGTAACCATTTTGAATATCTTGAATATCTTCTCTTGTTAGACTGTTAGACAACCTTCTTTATTTCAGCATGATGTATAAAATATTCTATTTTTGTAAAATCAGACTAACCTTGGAATATTCACAAATCTGCACAAACCCAATATCCTCCTTTTTGAAGTAGTTTCTCACCCTCACATAGTCGAAATAGCTAGGCACAAATATGAGCGTCTGCTTCATCAGACTCTCTCTCTGCTGAGGCAGAATTTTGCTAACAAAAAAGTCAAACCTGGCGTCTATCGCCTCTGCCGCATTGCTGCACTCGAATCTGTGGAAGACGTGGGGCACCTGGACCACCACCCGGTTTATGCAACCCACCTCCGAGGGGTTGATCACCCTCACTTTGCCAGCATAGTTGTGGCACTTTTTGTTGAAGATCGAGTTGATTTCTGGGAGAGCGATGGAAGAGAAAATGAGGGTTTGGCGATAGTATTTCGCCCAGCCATTCAAACTCCAAGTCCTCACCCTAGAATATTGAAATATGTGGTGAAGAGGAAATATTAAGAAGTAATGAGAGGAATACCTTATATTAGAAAACTCCAAAGTTTATTTTTTTATTTTTTTGTTTTGGCATTCGGACATGGTCCATGCAACCAGTCACTCATGTCTATTTTTCATTGATACTAAATTCTACCAGCAAAATTGGAAACTTGAATAAAAGAGAACACCAGGAAAAACATGGGATCACAAGGTTTCTTCTCGCCAAGGGGTCCATCATAAGACAAACTCCAAAAGTTCTGACTTATAACTCGAAATTTTGAAATTCCCACTAATATCTTGGAATTTCAGTAGTGGAATTTTATAATAGAGTTCCGAAGTTCAAGTAGAAATTAAACATTTTTGAGATATGAGTGGAAATTATACAGGGTAGTCCAATTGACTTCATTTGAATGAATGAATGAATGAATATCATTTCGATGTAAAAGAAATAACAGACACATTTTTGTATGCAGTCTTCTCGGCAATATTAAAAAACATTCCCCATTTTCCCTTTCCCGGATATAAGTGTATTCAGAATCTGCCATTATTTTAGTCAGGATATTCAGGGCTTTGTGAAATAAAAAAGAGAAATAACCACAGAACTGATAACCTTTATACAGGGTGATCCACGGTGGATGGCCTATTAGAAGTATCTGGAGAACGAAAAGACAGAACATTCTGAAAATTGGGATGCTTTGATAATTGAACATGCTCTATCCATCTAAAATATTTATATTTGTATTGTGAATTTTAATATTGCAAATAAACTTTTGTTTCTATTTACCTTGAAAAATCAGTTCCATGTGAATCTTTAGGCTGTAAATGCATGTGATTGAAAATGTGCACAACATGATCCCAATTCTGCATTAAGAATAACTCTGTCTGATCCAATATTAGTAGTTCTATGGAAGCTAAAAAATCATAGTCCCTATCAGGTTCTCCTTCAGCACCAATAATTGTCCTCAGTCCCAATGGAGAGGCTATGATGATATCAGAAGAGTAAAACTCAGCATAGAGCTGAAATAAATGAATGCAATTGATCAAATCTCTCATTTGTGGATAACTTGTGCAGTGAAAAAAAATAAGACATTTATATTAGGAAATGCTTTTTTTTTGCAAATTCTTCTGATAAACTTTTCCCAATCCAGTACCACCTAATAGGTACTGCCATCTTTTATTTGAACTACCTACTAATTTTCACCAACCTTCAAGCTCTTTTTTGTGACTGTTATGCCCATTTTGAAATCATCATTTGTGTTCCCATGAAAAGTGAGTTCATAATCTTCTGGTTTTGGATTTTTCTTGGGCATGATCAATTCATTTCCAGTATAATCTTCTATGAATCTTAGTTTGTTCATGACATTTCCCTTATCCTGGGGCAGTATCAAATCTATCAACATTTGTACAATTTTGTATGCTGCATCTTTGAATGGTACAATTATAAGCACCTAAAAATGTGTTGACAGCATTAACATTGATATTTGAATAATTCATTTCCTTACTTTGGGTCTGACTAATCCTTGATCTCTGAATTCTTCTGGTACATCATCCTTTTTAGACAACCTAACATTATGGTGTATGACTTTCAATCTTGTTTTTAATACGTGATTCACAGCATGTACACAATATACAAAACGTATCTCCTCTGAATTAGAAAATGTCCTTCCTGAATAACAAAAATCTTGATAATTGTTTATAACTGAGAATATTTCTGCTTGCAAGGAAGTGAAGTTTTCACTTCCAGTAGTTTTTTTATTTAGCTTCCCCAAGTTGTTGATGATCTGGGTTTTGATAAATAACTGACTAGGTTTTGATGACTTAGATACACTTTTAGGGACAATACCCTTAGCAGCAAACATTTTTTTCTCTACAATACTGAATGTTGAATCTTGTGTTGAATTTCCTTCCAAACTGATGGAGTCACATTTTGGTATCTGTATACTCAATTTACCCAAAGTTGACCAAGTTTCTGTGAAATGATCTAATGAAACTGGGGTACTTTGGAGAGCTTCTAACATACTATCATGCAAATCATAAGCAATATGTTTAATGAATGGATCTTCAGTATTGTCAACCTCATCAATATCAGTTTCAGTATCAACTTCTATTTCAGAGGATTCAGATTGTGCTAGAGATTCTGTATCAGTTTTTTCTGAATTTTTATCTTCTAAATCACTTTCCACCTCAGAAATGTTTCCGTGATCATTTCCACCTGAACTTGTTTCAAGCATGCCATCATCATCTATCTCTGAGTCTATTTCACTTTCTCCATCTGCTTCAGTTGAATTTTTCTCAACTTCATCTTCATTTTCATCTTCACTCTCACTACTATCTATGGCTGAAGATTTCTTAGTATTCCTTGTTATGGTAAAAGTGTTCCTTAAATTGTCTAAGGGTGCAGTTTCCTCATCAGAAGAGCTTGATTCTTCTATAGCAGGTGGTGCTTCATACTTTAGTTTTTTCGGATCCGGTTCTTCTACAGACCTTTCAGAGTGGAATTTCCTTTTGGGTTTAGATTTTTTGTTATCAAATAAACTGTATGTTCTCCTTGAGTGTTGTTTTTTGGGTTTCTTATTGGATTGTCCCTTTTGTCCATGAGGTTTCTTGACTACATCTTTGAATTTCAATTTACCTCGACGAGCCATACTTCAATGTAGTTATAAAATTATATATATTATTAGTTAGACCTTCGAACAAACTATCTGAAATAATGCATTAAAAAAAGAGTGAAAGAACGGTGAAAGCTAAAATTCATAATGTAAATCACATTCTGAAGTTTCTGACTGAACATCAACTTTTATGAGGTTATGTGCATGTTTACATGTTTTGATTGACTTTTGAGTTGACAGTCTACAGAAAGAAAGTTATGGCCGTGGATATTCGTCCTGTAGGCAGGACACATAGCTGTTGGTGGTTATGTTTATAAGTTGACGTTGCCAGACCTACTGTTTTAACACTAGGTTTACTGTTTTCGTCTCCGTTATACTGTTCTCAGTGTTCTCCTGTTTGAGGCATGAAAACTACTGTTATTTTCGTTGAAATTTAAAAATGATGAAATTTCACACGAGCTGTTGTAGAAATTGTGTAGCGAGCACCCGATTATTGAACCAGCAACAATTCTCAACTCACAGCAGTATTAAATTTTTATTCTGGCTCTGTATCAGTAGTGAGTGACTCTGACTAGTGGCCTAGCCGCCTGAGGTAGTGGCCACACAGCAATGTGGGTTTGCTCCATACCAAAAATTATTTATCTACAAGGCAATAATCGTTATATCACAATATAGAATATTAGAATGTAACAAAAAATCAATTAATAGGGCATCACAGTGAGAAGATGATCTGTTTTTCCCCACTCATCTACTGCTCCAGCAAATTTTCATCTGGCAACACTGAGTAAGTAACTAATACTAATGTACTCAATGAACTTTGAGTTCATTGAATGTACTATACTCATGCATGAATGACACTTGACACTTCTACCACAGTAGAGAGCTTCTCTACTGTGCTACTACTAGGAGTAAGCAATCTAAAACAGAACATCAGAGTGGATTTTCCAATATTTTATTCCAAAATATTCATATAAAAATATCAATACAAAAATGAAAAAGGAGAATTTCTTATTACAATTGCCCTGGAGCAAGCTTGCTTCTAACTAACTTTCCAAACTCTTCAGCTCCTTTCTGATTGGATTCCTCATAATTGGGAATAGCAATGGCACATCTAGCAACCCAAGTAACAACATTGGAATAAGCACTCAAATCCCATCCAACAGCCTGCAAAATTCAGAGGAGCTTTACCTATCAGCTGTATATACCCATCATATTCCTTTCAGGTTCACTCACTGCAATGCTGGAAACTGAAGCCACCAAAGAGCAGTCTGCAATTGTCAAGTTATTTCCACAGACAAAATTATTTCCTTCAAGAAAAACATCCAAAAATCCTAATGCTTCTTCTAGAGGACCTTTGTGTTCATCAGGAATGATATCCTCCCCCAAGAATAGTACAGGAAACTGAAAATAGTAAGTGATATTAGAGGCACTGGAGGCACTATAGAGGTTTATCACATACACATATGGCTCTTATTCTAGGATACATTGTACCACAATCAAAATATAGTCTCTGATTGACTAGTGCCCTAGTTTTGGAGTCTTCTGGATATAAGCTGTCATCTTTTCCATAAACTGAAGCCAGATAGCAAGCAATAGCATGACTGTCCCATATTGTCAATTCCCCATCTACCAAAGTAGGAATGGTGTGTTGTGGATTGATCTATAAAAACATAATAGAACCATAACAATATTATCAACATTATATTGTGAAAGCATCTCACCTTTTTCAATGCCTACTTACTTTCACAAAGTCCTCTTTTAGCTGTGCTTTCTTGAACAGATCCATAATTTGAACATCTACATCAACTCCTACTGCTTTGGCAGCCAGAAGGGCCCCTCTAGACGGTCCACTCAATGGGAAATGATATAAAATAACACCCATTTTTATGAAAGAGAAGTGAAAACAAAGGGAACAGGAACACTTCAAACAAATCAACACTACAACTATAAAAAACAAAACAGATCAATCAACTGTCCCCAAACTATTCTTAAATTTTCCTAAAGAGGTACCCCAAAACACCAAAGATTCTCTGCTCCTACTGTTTTGAGTGTTTTGTTATTGAAATCATTTTCCACCACAATATTTTATTATTGTGAAATAAAAATTGAAGTTGAAGACGGCTGTGGTCAAACAGGTGTAATGTGTCATGTGTCTTTACAACCAGCTTGACGTCGAATTAACATGAATTCCAGTTCAATGTAAAGAGCAATGACGGCTAATATTATTTAGGCGTCATTGGTAATAGTTCATCAATGTGATGATGATGAAGATGAGTGAACATCATGCTGAAACAACTTCCCTGGAACCGTGGATTACGTCCTCTATGTTTCTTACACGTCCAGGCGTTTTAATAGTCACCACTAAACAAAGGCTTGTTGGTTGCATAAAAAAAGGAACACTGCAGGAATAATTTCAGTCACGATCATGCGCAAACAAAATATAAATGTGAGTTGTTATATTCGGTGGATTATGATTTCAAATATGATTATTCTGTGGTGTTTTTCATTGTATTTTGGTGAGTTTTTTGTCATATTGTTAACAGCATAATTCCCTGCCTATGAAACGTGAACCGAATAGAGGATACTTACAAAATGCCGATAACATTTTGTGAGAGATACCTAGGTATATGGGTCGGTGTTTTATAGATGCTTCCCCAAAATTGGAGGGTTGAGATTTCTTCACATTATACCTCTTTTACAAGTACAACCTGGGAGTACAACCAGGTATAACTCAGAGATTTTTCACGATACAGTTCGATATCAGTGTGTGAAATCTATGTGGTTCAAAAGTAGGTATATGTATATATAATACCTGTTGATCGAATTTTTCACACTTGGAAAGACACACTTGGGTGCCCTTTCCCTTTGAAGTAGGTAGGTAAATATCTAAATATATCTCAACACGCTCTTTCCATCATCGACTTTTAGGATCAATTTCATTCGATCAAAGCTCATATCAGTGGCGCAACTAGAAATTCCAATACCCTCTCGTAAGAATTTCTCATGGCACTATAAAAAAGCTAAAATTCGACGTATATCAATCATCGTATAGAGCGCGCGGAAAACTATTTTAGGGCAGAATTCTTCAAGGACAAATTATGAATCTTAATTTCTTTTTTTCTGCACGAAAATTCTTCCATCACAAGCAAATATCAAATAAACAAAAAAACAAATATCCAATATCCAATTGGAATTCACACATAAGTTTTCCATAACATGATTTGTATACTTATCTACGGTGCGAGCAAATAAAAGGGCTATGACTTGGCTATGACCTCGGCTATGACTTTCTTTCTACATAAATATATATGAAAAAAGTTATTATAAGAAAATTTGATTTTTCCATGGAATGATTCTTGTCGACTTGATATTCATTCCATGCACACTTGAGTATTCATGTCCAAAAAATAGTAGGTGCCATATTTGATAAGGTTGAGTGTTTTTTCAGCTAGTCCTAGACTAGACACGTAATAATTTGAATAATGTGTATACCTCTAGCTATGTATAAAAGTTACCTGTGAATGTGCAATATAGTCTCACACTTTGTTGAGCAATTTCTAAAAGACTTGACTCGATGACTTGGAATGAAATTAAATTGTAAGAGCAGACTTGACTAATGGAATTTGCACTTCAACTTCAAAAGAGTTTCAATTATTTTGATCTAAATAAAAATCAATCAAGTTCCTTGACAGACGGCACTAATATACACTGTGTCCAAGATAAAGATGTCTATCATGGTGTGATCGTTTTTATTTTTTTGCGTTATCCGAAGAGATATAGGAAAACAAAAGACACTTCCTCATTGCCACTTTTTGAGGTCTACAAAAAAGTGTTTCGTTTCGGAGAAACCATCATCAAATTTACCCCATGATAGACATCCTTATCTTGGACACCCCCTATGGAAAAATACGACTGAACATTATTCACAAAAACATTATTAATTTCCAAATTAATAAATCCCATTTTTTATTGACAAATTAATGGCCATGCACTGGACGGCGAGGCGATTAATTATAAGTTTAATTACACAAAAATATTTCAAATTCAATTTTTTCTTGTAGGCATCAATTTTATCAATGACTATTTTCCATTTTTATCACCACAAATTTACCTACTATAAAAACTCCATGTCGAACTCTTGATCGATATCTTGACCCAGTAGTCTTTATACGCGTTATACGTACGTGTTATGTAGTTGATATTGGAAATTTTCTCAAAAGAACATACCTAGTGAACATTTTGTTTTGATGTCATGTGTATCTCTGTTGACTGAATATTCATAGAACAGTTTCAACTTTCTAGAGCTATCCGGTATAATAGTGCAACTAGAGTCTAGCCATAGCACCGTAGCGAGGAATACTGGCCCGCTGCTCGCTGGGCGCCCAATTTCCGGTCGAGAGCTATCAGTGAAATAGCTAATCACTATCCAGCCTCACCAGTAAATGCCTCCACAGTATTTTTTCGATTAATCACTTCGAAAAAAAAATTAAAAAAAGATTAACTGCAGTCCGGATTCGAACCCCGACCTTCTCGTTCGGAGGAAGGAACGCTCTAATGACCGACCACTACGCTTCTGGCAAATCAAACTACAAAACAATTTTATAGCGAATCCCATTCGTAAACCTGGTGGTGCACTGGCACTACTTTGTTTTTATTCTCGGTTTTCTCCAAATTGTGAACTGGTGCATTCCCAACGGAATTCGAAATAACGTTATCAAATAATTGTTAAAGGTTAGATTCGTTAAGTTGATTTATTTTTGCTTCTAACTTCTTTAATTTATATGGAATTCGTCTTATGGGTGATTTATTTCCTGCAAACCTATAAAAAGAAAAAGTTCATAATAGGAATTGGTCTAAACTGGTTCACATATTTTTGAGCTCAGTGCAACAATTCTCGCACGAGCTCTAAGTCAGTGCAGTTTGGGAAATGGCGGATACATTGTGTTAGCATCTAGCAACTAGATGCGCTACTGCTCAGTGGAATGTGCTTAGATCAGAGCCTATGACAGACGTGTGTAAAGACTGGCTCATATAGTGTTCGGCAGACAGCCGAGTTAAGAGCAAGTATAACTCTTGCCCATGTCATTTGTGCTCGTGTTTATTGAATTATGACTATAATATAACACATTGAATATGAATAGTTTGAAAACCACATTGTTAGTGGCAATCTAATCATCATCATCAAATGATGATGAAATGTAGGAGGTTCCAAGAAAATAAAGGAGGTCACTTTCCAGCATTCATAATTTTATTGAGTGTTTTGCACTAATGATGATGAGGTACCTACTAATCCCACTAATCCATCTGCTTTGTTTTTGATTGAAGTTAACGAAAAATTTCAGGATGCGGACAAGTTATCAAAGACAAACCAACTTATCCGATTCAACCTCCAACAATAAAAATGTATTATAATATTATTTCGTGTTCTCCGAGGCATATAACCGCCAAAAATTCAAGAACACCAATTCCTACCTTATTTCCCTTGGTTCTCACGATGTTCTCTGAACATTACAGGGTATCCCTATTCGTGGGAACCAGAACATGAAAATAAATTCAATTGGGAATGCTCCAGTTCCCATTTTGCACCACCAGGTTAACGAATGGAATTCGAATCTCTGTACAATGAAATACAGAATATGCACTCAGTGCGAGCCAGTTTTATCAATGGAATGCGCTCTTGAATCACTGGCAATATTTCCCGTATAGTGGTGCTATATGGCTAGGCTTTAATGAGAGATCGTAGTAGGGCTTTACAGTCTATTGCAATTCTTTGTCTTTCAGTATCAGACAAGGTCGCTGCAATCCAAATCAACTACATTAAAGTCCCCATAGCAGTCAAAAACGATTCCAATCGTCCCGTCATCATGGACTGCAACTACTCGCTGCGTCCAGACGACTCGGACCTGGTGGTCAAATGGTACCTGAACGACGTTTTGGTCTACCAGTGGATCCCTCCTCAGCAACCACAGAGTTTCGGACCGCTCAAGGACCGGCTCGATCTGACGTACAGGTTTTGGTCAAAGATTAACTTTGGGTTATAAATCAGAAGAAATAGCTCTATCGATTGGGAAAATAAAATACAGGGTGTTCTATTCGAAAAATACCTGGGGAAATTTCAGGTTGACGATGCTTTTTTGCATCTTCTAGTATAGTTTATCCAAAAACAATTGCAGAATCTTGTGCCGCTTCTGATGCAGTCACTTCAATATTCTGAATGCATATGAAAAATACCTCAAATTTGCTCATTCGAACGTTTCTGTAAGACCAATATTACCTGAGAAAGATTGTATAAAATATAAACAATCACCCTGTACATACAACTGATTTCAACAATATCAAGGATGAACTGAGCAAGACAGTTCCAAACTCACCTCTTGTTGTTTTTTTTATGAAATGGATATTGGCATGACATACATATAGATATCAGAGTGATGTCATCAGAATTTGAGATTCATCGAAATGGCAAATATACTAAATGTATTAGTGATTTATAGCGAATATAATAACATTTTTATGAGAAAAAGTTACATTATAGATTATTTCTATCATGGAAACGAATTTTCTATATAACACTGCAGATTTCATCCTCACAAATTATTTCAATTTCGAGTAAAATTTCAAGTACCTATACGAATCGAAAGTAATTTTTTTCCAATTTACGAACAGGGCGACGGACGATCCGAAGAGCGTATACAGGGCGATGAAGATCGTCAATCCCACCGACGAAGTCGCCGGAGAGTACAAGTGTTTCGTATCGACTTTCACAGACGAGGATTTTTCCGTCAGGCATATGAAAGTTTTCGGTGAGTCTTTCTGATACATATACAGGGTGATTCACGGTGGATGGCACATTAGATGTTTCTGGAGAACGTAACTTGGGATTATTCGGAAAATGTCTTGCCTCGGATAATCAGTTGTGCTCTATCGACCTAAAATATTCTCAACGCTGAGACGTTGCCGCTTATATTGAAAAGTAGCAACAACTTTGATTTTTTTAATGGAATACCCTGTATATCATTCCATTTTCAGATTCGCCCTGAAGAGCTAATTTCATCGATCCATCACGCTTGGGGTCTAGCGGGAATGATAACAAAGATATAGGGTGTGAAAAATCGAAATTTTTCAACTTTGAGAATTTTTTGTGTCGAAACTATTCATAATAATTGATCTAAACGGTTTCCATGTCCCTATCTTAATTTTCCATGCACTATCAATTAATATTTAATTGAAATAAATACAGGATGGTTCAAAATTAAGATTTTTGACCACCTGCCAACAATAATCATTCTGATTAAGCTAATTTCACTTCACTTGTTTGGCTTCTGAAGTATACCCAGCTCCGAAACTTCTGATGTACAAAACTTATAAGGACGAATTCAACAAGTGGGTACCCTCTCGATTATATTTTCATGATATACCGGTCTGATAACCAAAATCGTTAGATTCTGTATATGGGTAGGGAATGAGGCACTTGAAGTTCACCCCACCCCTCCCTTTCCTTAAACCACGCCTCCTCCAATCAGAGTTTGAGGGAGGGCTAGTGGGCGTAGTGGTGGGGGTGATTTCAAGGGAATCTCTACATCTACTACCGGAAAATTAATTTTTTTGTTTTCAAAATATTTCAGGGAACGGTTTCCCACTATTCATCGGGAGCTCACCAAGCATAACACACGGCTATTTTCTTCCTACGTCATAGCTTCGGCACCAACTAAGACACTGAATCCGGGGACCTTGATACTTTGTGAGGTCAGGATACCTGGTACGGGTTACGTGAGGATCAAGAGTCTACTGTATTATCCAGAAGGTAATATATGATGTTAATAAGAAATAGTGATATTTCTTGAAATTGGGTAGTGCTAACTGATTTTTTCTAATTTATTCGCAAGCAGCTACCATGGAAAATATTGGTAACAACTGCATCATCAGTGATATCTGGATATGGTTGTCCATGGTTTTCACATTTTTTACATTTTACTAATTCACACACTCCTCATTTCTGATAATCACATCCAATCAAATTACATCTTCCTGTTCCTAATTTGTTTTCTTTTTCATTTTCACGAGCTATATTGTGGATACCAAATAAACTTGATTACAACTAACTAGTATCATGAGCAACTTGCAACTTAGGAACTTGACCACCTTAAAACTAGTACAACTGATTTAACCTACTTGACTACAACAAGAAATTCAGCTAGCTCTAATAATTCAACTAACTCAACTAACCCAGCTAACATAACTCACTTATTTTTTTCTGCACGAATAAAACAAATATAAGTATGTAAATAATATTTTGACCACCTCAAGAAGCTGAAACAAATTTAATCAACATAATCAAGAACCAATTCTACAGCAACGAGACTTCAGAGTTGCTTATAGAATAAATGACATGTTGGGAATTTTTATAAAAAATAATAATGATAATGAATTCGAAAAATCGGGAGTAATACTAACCGAACTGGGGATCTTGTTCTAAGGTTTATATTGGTCAGACAGGTAAAATGTTCAACGATCGCATTCACGAACATTTCAAGAGGTAGAATGTATGTTAAATTTGTTTTCTTTTTCAAAAAATTCTTCTTATGTTCATGAATGCGCTGATTAAACGTACGACCTGTCTGACCGATATATACCTTAGGACAGGATCCACAGTTGAGTTTGTATACCCCTGATTTTTCGAATTTAGAAGTTTTGTCTTTATTATTCTTGATGAACCTTCCCAACGTGTTATTTGTTCTATATGCAACTGTTAAGTCCTGTTTGTGTAGAAATGAAGCTAATTTTTTAGTTACTTAACGTATTCAATTCATTCTAATTTTCTTAAATCCCCCAACTTACCTAATTTACTCAACTTGATTGACTCAATCGACTTACTCAACTATTTTGAATTACTGGACTTACTTGACTTACTATACTCAACTTCACTATCTCATTTAACTCAACATTAAATGGACTAAATCATATCGTAACGATCTTTTTCTTTTCCGCGGTAATTTAATGTTCGAATGTATATTATTTCCTAATTTTTCTTCGGGAGAATCATTGCCCAAGAGAGCTTAAATTTAGAACGGCAGCGATGCTGGCGTCGCTACGCTTGAGAAATAATGAAGGCGCAGTCAGATGCGTTTTCTAGATCTGGACCAGTTTTGTTTACAAGTAAAGAGCCAGTCGAGAGGGACTGGAGTGGCGCCTCAGTGATAAATTGTGACATTTTGTGAATTTTACTAGGTATCCAGACTGTTTTTTTTTTGTTTTGGTGGAGTTAAATATGACTAGACTCAAAGTAGCGGTGAGAGTGAGGCCAATATCAAAAAGGTAAAGGAAACAGTCAATACATTTAGTTTTATCGCCACTGGGCATACAGGGTGTATCTAAATAACAACGAAAACATTCAAGAGGTGTTTTCTTGCGACATTCTAGCAAATAAAGTTCTTATAAACATGTGTCCTAACAGTGGCGTAACTTCATATTTTGGGCCTCCCCGCCAAAATCATTTAGGGCCCCCTCGAGACAAACCTTTCCAGTCAGAAGTCCCTTCTTTCCATGAACTATTAGTTATATTGAATAACCAACAAGCTTCACAATATGCTTAATATTTTCTTTGGGTGAATAACACAACCATTTTCATGGAATTATTTGCCCAGCATGACTTTTCTGCGAGCTTTTCTGTGAATAATAAAAATTAGAGAAACTCCTCTTTTGGAAAATTTATATCTGGTTGAGACGGGCCATTACGAACAATAATAGTTATTTGTTTAACTAGGCAGCAAAGTAGTAGATTGACTGCCGAGGCTGCATTCATAGCCGAGCGTAGCGAGGTCACGTGACTTTCGCTACATGTCAAAAGTGTCATTTTTTCAAATTAATCGCTGAAAGTAGGCTTATTTGTTCGGATATCGAAAAAGTTTAATTGAAAAAGTTATTTCTATTTAAATTTTACACATGCTTCTCGAATTTGATCTTTCCATTGCAACTTTTAGATTTTGATTTTTTTTGAATTTTTTTAATTTTTCGAAATTTCTGTAATATTTGAAGAATTGTTAATTCCACGAAACTACTTCATACCAGTAGCTTTTTCATGCTATACTTTCAATTACTTATTATCACTGATTATGGACAGAAATATGATTTTCTTCAGAAAATAATACCCGCTTCCAAATTCTGTTATGTTTGATGCAAAATTGATATATCGTCAAGCATTTAGAAACGAAATTCATTTAAACTGATATTTTCCGTACTGAAAAAATGAATTTAAATGAATTTCGTTTCTAAATGCTTGACTCAAACAACAGAATTTTGATGTTATGTTTGCATTTTTTTTACCGCTTGGAGTATGATAAAGCTACTGGTATGGAGTAGTTTTATCGAATTTACAATTTTTTTAATATTACAGAAATTTCGAAAAATTTTAAAAAATATCGAAATCTAATGTGATAGAAAGATAAAATCCGAGTCACATATGTAAAATTTAAATGGAAACAATTTTTTCAAGTGAAATTTTTCGATATTCGAACAAATAAGCGATTAATTTGAAAAAATTTCACTTTTGACATGTAGCGAAAGTCACGTGACTCCGATTGAGTAGGCCATTTTCCATCTTGTTTGAAGCAAAACTTAACGTCCAACTCGAATTTCAAAATAAGTCATTAATAAAAGTTTATCCCATAAGATGCCGACTTTATGATTGACACTGTATATATTTTGTTTTTTTCCATAGCAAACTTTATTGAAAGCAATATTCGAGTTTTTGGTTCGATTTGAAATAGCCAAAATGTCACTTCTCGAGCGATAATTCCGAAAACTATTGAATTGAGAAGTAAAGTGTATTAGATAGAAATATTGAAAAATATGAGATTTCGAAAATGAAATAATATTGAAAAATAATTCAAGATAGCTTCAGCAGACATTTTAAAACATTGAGCTCCCGATTTTTCATAATAAGTAGTTTTTCATCTCCTATTTGAGTGTTTCAAATTTCGTGGCAATAAACCAGGTGATTCAAAAATATGGAGGGAACGGATTTTAGACTGCATAAACCACAAATTTAATAATTATATTATATTCGTTGTGAATAAACATTTGTCTGTTCCCACTAATGATGTATAAACTCTTCATATATTCATTCGCAATAAAAACATTTGAATCACCGACCTGAACACATTAAAATCATCTTTGTATTTATTCAATATGAATGGTTGCTAGTCTATAATACAAAATTATAATTTTTCCATCTTTTGGAGCACACAAAAGGTAATCCCTATTGTTTTTGTACAACATCGTGCATACCTAGGGAAGAGATTTTTCAAACTTCTGAAGAAATAAGTTCATGGCAATTTTCCCTGTTCAGGTAAATGATCATAAATCTTCGCCGATCTGTAGACAGACGAGTTTCTGGTAAAGAATTGTTCGACATATCTGGTTAACGACATACAAAAGAATGTATAACTAGGCTTGTCGAGTACGTCTGTCTGGTATTATTAGTGATGGAAGGAGATTTCTGTGGCAAATAATACGTCTTGTACTTGTATTTGAGATTTTGAAACAAATGGAGAGCCTGACAAAATTTCTTGCAATGATTTTTGCCCAACACCCGGTATATACTCGATCTACCAGGTCTATTTCCATATGCTTTCGAATGACAATCTGGCACTTCGGAATCATTAGTGAAGGATGTTAAAATACATTTTTACGGTACCGAAAATAAATAGGAAGAAGTGCACACAGGGACGGACTGGGTAAAAAAATCTTCGAGGGCTTCAAGAATTAATGGGTCGTGCAACATGAAATAATTCTAATGAAATGTTTTTGTGATATAGGTATGAACATGAATATTATAAATATATTATTGTAAGATGGTAACAAATGAAAAATGCGCCGCAGGCTAGAATATCTTTGTTCAAGATCAAAGGCATTTCAATTGAAATATAGGTTTCTCAACGGATATAATATTTCTTATGCATTCCATGTTGAAAAGAATACAACTAATATTCAAACTAATTTGTGTTGTTTTCGAATGTCTACCAGAAACCCCAATGATTTTCAACATTTGTGTTGTCGATGTTGCCACTTCTTAGAGGTTTTCTGAAATATTAATGAATAATTATACTGGGTGTATCCAAATAACACCGAAAAAATTCAACTGATGATTCCTTGTGATAATATAGGAAATAAAGTTTATATGAACATGTGTCCTAACTTGTTTCGTTTTCAAGATACAGGGTATTAATTTTTCCATGAAAAATCGTTTATTCATTCATAACTCAATTGTCTTTTTATCAATTCCGATAGAACGTTGTGGTTTTGTTAATAGTAATATAGAGCTTTTTCTGGTGCAATTAGATTCGACATAATATTTCCAGTGGCGTCACAGTGGGTAAATTTATCGATATTTATGGTGAATGCCATTAAACGCCATCGGTCTTTCTGAGTTTTATATTTTTATTAGATCGAACTATTGAAATTACAACTTTTTTATCCCCTCTGTGTGATTGTTGTATCTAGCTTAGTTTTTGAGCAAACAATAAAAATTTGATTTGACTCCAAATTAAATGTAGGTGTTATCAAGACTTCCATTGAGATTACTCAATAACCCCATTACAATCATTTTGAAATTTTGAGGCTTCCTCAGTCTCCAACCATACTAAATTTTGGCACCATGAAAGCTGATACAGGAGGGTTATAAATAAAAACAATTGATACTTCCAACATCAACATCCTGTATCTCAAAAACGGAGCAAGTTAGGACACATGTTTATAGAAACTTTATTTGCTAGAATTTCACAAAGAATCCCGCCTTGAATTTTTGGCGTTATTTAGATACACCCTATCACGAAAGTTAATGTTATTTAATTGATAAATTCGTTGCCAATGAAAATTGTTAAATGAAATTTTTCGATAGCCTTATTGAAGGATACTGAGTCCAGTAATGTAATCAAACTTATTTCAAAAAAATCGCTAACGATATTTCGCAATTTTTAACACAAAAAAGAATTGAATCGGTTGAGAAATATTACGTTTTTAAGGGCGCTCCAGTTTCAAAGTGGCTCACACTGTATAGGTGAATAAAATGGGTAAACATCAATTGAAAGTTATTAGGTTTGTTCTTGTTCAAAAAATAAACAGTCCGAAACCATCAGAAGCATGCGCAGTTCGATAAAACATGGTCCAATAAATGAAGGAGGAAAAAAAGGCAAAGTTAACGTTAATTACGCACTATTTTCATCTTCCGGTTGGAAGTAGCTTTTGGTACCTCATTAAACATGAGACAAAGTTTGACTGGAAAACTCGTGCGATGGCGGAGAAAATGGCCCCAAAAGACCAGAAAAATAGGTTTTCAGCCAATATCTCCTAAAATATGGTAGTTAGAGATTTTCGGTTCAAATAAAAATTGAAGTTCAGTTAATTTTCTACAAAAATGGTCCTTATCATTTTTCTCGAAAATTTGCCCGTTTTCGAGAAAAACGGCACGAAGTGCACCTCGAATAATGAGCTTCTGTTGTATGCCGGAGAGCACAGTCCGTGTATTTACACATCGGCGGGGGCCAAATTATTCAATAACTTTGTTAAAATGCATATTTTCTCATGATTCAAAGTTCATGTGAAAGAGGAATTCTGCTGCTATCATACCCTGCGTGGCCGCATGGTTTGTAGCAGACGACCCGAGCGCCACGTAGAGCACACACGCGGTGAACGACGGAGGAACGAAAGTAATAAATTATATCGTGTACATTTAGATATACTGGTTTTTTCCCGGGATATCAAAGGCATGACTTATATACATCGATGGAAAGGTGAGAATTCCCCCGTTACACTAGTTAAGGTGTTAAAATGTTAGAAATAAAGAGCACGGAGAAAAAAACCACCGAAAAAAAAAGTGCGTTTTTTCCTTGACCCCGCTTTTTTTAATTTTATTGAAAAATGGACGACTTCGTCTAAAAAAGTAATTGCACAATCGGAAAGTAAAACCTTCTTAGCTTTCAAATTATCATAGAAACCAATCAGATCATGTATAAATTTTTAATTGATGGTTGTTCACAAAATTTCCCCGCGCTCCAAAAACAGCAAAAAATTGGGATTCAATGAACAAAGATTGAATGAAAAATAAAAAAAATTAGGGTATACAAATTTCAGGGATGACAAAGGACCTTATGAGGACCCATAATCAAGAACATTTTGAGTAAATTAGTGCAATACAAAAAAAATAGGAACAAATTCCTGGCGAGGTCAAAATTGACCGGGAGCAGAAAGTTTGACCCATGTTCCGATATGGCCAAAAGAGTCAAGCGTGACTCAATTCACAGGGTATGATAGCAGCAGAATTCCTCTTTCACATGAACTTTGAATCATGAGAAAATATGCATTTTTAACAAAGTTATTGAATAATTTGTCCCCCGCCGATGTGTAAATACACGGACTGTGCTCTCCGGCATACAACACAAGCTCATTATTCGAGGTGCGCTTCGTGCCGTTTTTCTCGAAACCGGGCAAATTTTCGAGAAAAATGATAAGGACCATTTTTGTAGAAAATTAACTGAACTTCAATTTTTATCTGAACCGAAAATCTCTAACTGCCATATTTTAGGAGATATTGGCTGAAAACCTATTTTTCTGGTCTTTTGGGGCCATTTTCTCGCCATCGCACGCGTTTTCCAGTCAAACTTTGTCTCATGTTCAATGAGGTACCAAAAGCTACTTCCAACCGGGAGATGAAAATAGTGCGTGATTAATGTTAACTTTTTCCCTTTATTTATTGGACTACTATTAGTATTTTTCGAAATGCAGATCTGGTAGGACATATTTTCCAATTATGATGTCACTCTGAACTGAGAGTGAGAGAATTTGATGCCAGAGGCGCTGTAGGCCAAATACACGGAGGGATCTATGTGCCAGTCCACCTCTGACTACACTAGTGAAGAGTGAATTACGTGAAAGAGGAGAGGGTTTGACTTAAACTTGAAGAGACTTGCAAGGGAGGCTATATTTAGGCTCGTTATATCGGCATGTGCATGCATACCTCTACCTCTTACTTTTGGAATATCTTATAGGTGCTGAAATCCGTGAAACTGAAAGTTTTGCTCTCTTGAAAATAATGTTATGTACAAGTATGTACAGGGTGGGCTGGATCGGATACTTTCGCAGGGAACGGTTTATTTTCAAACTATAGTTATAGACAAAACATGATTTCAGTGCCCGCCGAGGTTAATGTTTTGAGGCATCATGCTTTGGAAATGTTTTCATGATTGTTTCACTAATTTATAGATACACGTTTTTGATTGGTTGGAGTGTTTATTGTGCCTGCATGCCTTTCCTCTGGAAAGCCGTTCTCACTGTGTCCAACATAAGGTTGTCAGGAGTAACCATACCTTTGAAGGCATCCATTTCGATGCTTGGTATTACTATCAGCAATAATCTTTCTTGGAAAAATCACGTGAGATCAATTGCTAAAAGTGCATCTCAAAAAACTTGATGGTTTTCTGTTTCGGGCCAGGAGCTATTTCACTTCCAGTCAGCTGCTTATGATCTATAAGACACAGATCCGACCTGTCCTGGAATACTGATCCCATATTTGGAGCGCAGCACCCAAACATACCCTGAAACTGTTGGATTCTGTCCAAAAAAGGGCAATTCGTCTCGTGGGTGATGCCTCGCTCACAAACTCACTCACTTCTCTGGAACACCGTAGAAAAGTTGGCGATCTCGCTCTATTTTATTGATATTTTCATGAACGATGCTCTTCTGAAATATCAACAATTGTTCCTCCCTTGGCAGTCCCCGCGAGATTAACCCCAAGAGTTGAGGCTTCGCACCTCTTCGTGGTCACGTTGGAGACCTGCAGAACATCTCTCTTCAAAGACTCGTTCATCCAACGAACAGCGAGTCATATAACCTCCAGAAATTCAAGAAGAACACCAACTAATACCTTATTTCCCTTGGTTCTCACGATGTTCTCTGAACATTACAGGATATCACTTTTCGTGGGAACCAGAACATAAAAAAAAGGTTCCTACCTACAGTACCGAAAACCAAACTACAAATGAACTTGACATAAAATATGAACCCAAAAAACTGACGCTATTGTATGCCAAATATGAAAAAATGCAGGATGTTTCATTGAAAAATCAAAAGAGATTACTCATTCATTTCATCTTGTATACATTACTCAAAATTTACAGATATGACCTGGTACGGCCATATTCGTGTGATTCTAATGGAAATTTTATTTTTCAGAGAACTAGACATAGGTTCAACGTCAGTGATTTCTGTTGAAAATGAGGACACTTTAGAGATAACCAACTTGAAGGTAATTATTAGGTATAAGTAGAATGTTTTTCCACATAGCACGCGCGGTTAGGTCTCACTTTGTATAAAAAGTACTGAAGTACTCATAAAATGCATTGCCATGCTATTTTTCGTTGGAATATAAATGTGCATTCCGGTCAATGGGGAAAACCACTGAGGGATGAAATCAATCCGAACCCTAATAGTACGCAACCTCCTAGGGACGTCCCAATGTGGTACAAGGCAAATCCGCATGTCCCGTACCAAAAATAATTGTCCTTATGACGTCCCATCCCGTACGTCTCATCCAATGTCCGAGCAAGGACGTCCATGGAATGTCCGAGCTGGTACATAATTTCAAATATCCTAGAAGTAGCATCCTTTAGATATCCCACTTGGTACTTATTGTAGAGTGTCCATGCAAGGACTTCCTTTCAGCACGTCCCTGATGGGATATAATTCTTAAAGTTCCTTTAGGGACATTCATCGGATGTCCCAAGTAGTACATTTTCTGGCATGACTTCAGATCTTATATATAATGTCCCTTCTAGAACAACAATAGAATATCCAAGACGGTACATCTCTTCAAATATCTCTGCACGGATGCCCTTAATATTTCCAGGATCGTATTACATTCGAAATGACCCTTTAGGGACATCCGTCGGATGTCTCAATTGGTACATATATATGAACTGTTATGACTTCGGAAGGACCTCCTCTAGAAAATCCATATATGTCCATCTAAGTAAATAAGTACAAGAATATTCTTCAGGGAATATAATTTCATAAGATATCATGAGTACAACGTCTCATGGAAGTACCAAAGGAACCTTTTTCAATCGATGAATCATGATTTGCTATTGATGCACAATCATAATTTATAAGTTATACTTGAAGGGAATCGAATCTATAACGTTTGGAAATCAGCATATTCAGCTATCTCTCTCTCTCTGATACCTCGCCATTCTGCAGTGTTGCAGTGTGATTGGTCAGTTCAAGGACAATAGGCGTGTTGGGTTTACTACGTCACACCAATCAATTGACACCATTTCAAATGGCGCTGGCTTAACATATTCTCTAAGACAGCACAAAGAGATTCTGAGAACGTTCGTAAAATATTCCCGTGAGGATATTCTACGAACATTCTATGAATATATTGAACAACCTCAGAATGATCTTGGAATATTCTCTCAGTATACAGTGTGTTTTGAAGCACATGGAAAATATTTCATGGATCGATATAGGATGAAAACATTCGAAGCCCTGGAAGGAAAAATTAAAACTGGATGGTATTACTTAGATATGTATATTAGCTTCTATATACCAGTTCAGTAGCCTATATTGCCGATTTCTAATTTTGTCTTATTGGCCATTAGACCGAAACAGGAAGGCGCGCTTGTCCAAACAAAATCGAATTTACGTCGTTTACTCATCTGCACGGTGCATAATTATGCGTTATGCGACAATTTCTTTGATCTAAATGCGTAATTCGTGTTTTCGAAATCACAGAAATTCCGTCTTTCCGCAGGTACCCGAACAAAATACGGGAGACAGTCGGCAAAGAATCAGGAGGTTCGCTTTCGATTGCTGTTTTCGGGATAGCTGCACGCAAGACCAAGTGAGTTATTATTTCTCAATTTCAAACAAATTGTGTCCATAGTTATTGCATTTATTATCATAAATGAGACATGAGATCTCTAATTTCCTTATTAGTTTCACAGCAGCTTCATATATTGATACATTCCATGTACCGAAAAATAAAAATTTCACTCGAAATTATATATAAATTCATTATTCAAAATTTTTTGGGATTTTTTCTCCTCGTTTCTATAAAATAAAAATATGAATATTATTTCAATATACGTGTAGTAAGGACAAATCAGATGATTTGCCCCAAAATGTCACTGCGTTTAAAGAATTTTCCTATCAGAGAGCCTAAAAGAAAAATTCACTAGCTTGTCAGTGACAATTTGTATACAGTGTGTCCCACTTACCATGCTCACCATGGGTATCTTTTTAACGGTGAGAGATACGAGGTCGGTTGAATGAAACCAAATGTGGAGTTTGTCAAGGCCAACTATAATGTGAACAAATATTTTGATAAAATCTATTCGTTTTTGTTTCATACGCAAAAAACAGGTTTTGATCATTTTCATGTCTCCTCCATAACTTCTTTATTTATGAAAATATTCAAATAGGTATTTCACATTTTCATGGCAGTTTTTCAAAGTGATTTCGAAAAAAATATGAAATTTATACCAACTCTTCTAGAATTTGAGATAACAGCACCAACTTTAGTTTTTCAAATGTAGGTCATAGCTCACTATGGCTTAGTTAAAAATAACTTTTTTTATCTTACAGATGATATGTCGCAGTAATAGTTTTGTGTTGATAACAACGGAGTTATATCGTCATTTATACAAGAACAAAAATTTTTTTGAAAGCCGTCATCTTGAATTTATAAGTTTTAACAAAAAAATCATGATCTCCGACCTCAAAAACCCCCACTTACCAATTTTGAATGGAATCGGACCAAATCTTGTCCGCCATCTTGGAGCAGCCATTTTTTTGTAATTTCAACAAAAATTCCATAATGTATTGTCACCGAATTTACGTAAGATTTGGTCCAATTCAATTCAAAATTGGTAAGTGGGGGATTTTGTGGTCGGAGATCATGATTTTTTTGTTAAAATTCATAAATTCAAGATGGCTGCTTCCAAATAATTTTTTGTTATTGTATAAATGACGATAACTCCGTTGTTATCAACACAAAACTATTACTGCGACATACCATCTGTAAGACAAAAAAAAAGTTATTTTTAACTAAGCCATAGTGAGCTATGGCCTACATTTGAAAAACTAAAGTTGGTGCTGTTATCTCAAATTCTAGAAGAGTCGTTGGTATAAATTTCATATTTTTTTCGAAATCACTTTGAAAAACTGCCATGAAAATGTGAAATTCCTATTTGAATATTTTCATAAATAAAGAAGTTATGGAGGAGACATGAAAATGATCAAAACCTGTTTTTTGCGTATAAAACAAAAATAGATTTTATCAAAATATTTTTTCACATTATAGTTGGCCTTGACAAACTCCACATTTGGTATGCATTTAACCGACCTCGTATCTCTCACCGTTAAAAAGATACCCATGGTGAGCATGGTAAGTGGGACACACTGTAGAAAAAAGTTTGGCGAAGAGAAATGAAGGTATATAGAAAAAATATCGAATGTTCACTTATCTCTGGACTGGACGTTTCGGGACCGATTCTGCTCCCATTTTCAACATAAGATATGATTATTTCAATAGCTAAGTCGTATTTGTTTTGAACCTTTTCAGTTTTCATTGACAATTGGTGACGTTGGCAATAAAATGAGTTATAGCATGTTTTCATTAATTAATCTTGAATTTACCATTTTCATGTTCAGATTTTAGTAATGAATACCATGTTCTATCTATATCAACTGAACAAGAAGCAATGCTATTGTCTCCGTTCAGAAGAATGCAAGCAGATTCAGTTTTTCGAAAAATTGTATTTACAGTATACCTTGTGTTCGTGGAAAGTTTTATACAGGTGAAACAAAGAGACCTCTTTCAGTAAGGACGAAGGAACATAGGTACAATATAAAGAAAAGACACATCGATAAATCGAAACTAGCTGAACATATCCTTACTGAAGACGGACAACATATGGCAGAGTGGAATAATATTTAAATCATTGGAAAAGAAGATGACAACCAGAAGAGATATAGACCGTTGGCCCATAACACTAGGGGTGTCGATTATCTACTAAGGTATGCCCTTCAAGAGACATGAAGATTGAGTTGGATTATCGGGAAAAAAGTGGTTAGTTGGATCGGTACCCGGTCGCCCATCTCCCTAATCAATCAACTTCCTGTTGAAAGTAATGTTGAAAATTGTTTTATAGAAGAAGCTTTATAATTCATTGGAATAGTCGCATCTCGCCAAATTAACCGGGCGCTAGTCGATTTGCATACGTCTAGGTCGGTCCCGAAGGGCGGCATACGGACCGCAAGTTACCGTTAACCGACATTTCTCTTAGATTATTTACGATGGTATGCCCTTTGGTTAATTCCTTCATTTCGACCCATGAATCAATGCCATAACATTTGCATACAGTTTGGGTGGGCGAATTTAGACATATTCGAAGGTCACTTTACATCATCGATTATATATATCAAGATTATATAATTTTGTATGCCATTCAATCAGGTGATAGATTCAGTTATACTGAATAAGAAAATAGCGTTTGCATACGAATGTATTGTGAGCATACGTCGATTTTGCTATAGGGAGTCTATTTTTTTCAGTTTTTCTAATATTAAAAAGTTGAAACTGGAAATTCCAGGATGATCGAGTGCCAAGGGCTCTCAGGGAGGTTTCGGGGTCACTAAGCTCGAATCTGGCACCTACTACTAGTGCCGGGGGCCGGGGATGATAGAGGATGACTCTAGGGGGGATGTCAGGGGGCGCATCTCATTTGCAGAACCGGCAGATAGTCTTGTTGGATTCTATGAATCTGATCCTCTTGGAGTTACAATGGGAGTTCCTAAAGGATCAATTTTGGATCCCATGTTTTTTGTTATTTTCATGAACGATATTGTAATATTCCCCTGAGAGGGGCTCGAACATCCTCAAGAAGGCGTATAACGATCTTCCTGTATCACGCGTATCAGATTGTTCCCGAGTATCCCAATAATTCTAACATGAATCAGCATAATTTCGAACACCCAATATGTGTCGCAGCGACAGAAACATCTCAAAACAATCGATGGAACTATTAGAGAGAGAGAGAGAGAGAGATACTTTTCTATGAGAAGCTTCGAGAACAAAAGAAGGGTACCGATGATTTTCGGGAACATTCGACAAGCATATAGCCAGCCCGGTCAATAAAAGTAAAACTGAAAATTGATTCATAGCTTCCTTGAGAGAATATTTCCAGAAATCACAAGAACAAAACTTGAGATATCGCATTTTTGCGGTTTTTTCCTTGTATTTCGTTTCCTTTATGTAATACGTCACCCTGCAGATCAAAATTTAAAAAAAAATACATATTTCTTCAAGTTTTGAGTTGAAAATATATTTTTTTAGTTTTTAGGCCAACTCTATGACGCTTTTGAACTGCCATCCTGAAAAAACTTTTTTTTCACGAGTACTTGCATAATTAATAGTTGCAACTGTAAATTAGGAAGGGGAAACTTTTTTTTACACATCCCCTAATTTACAGTTGCAACTGTGAATTAGGAGATGTTTTGAAAAAAAAAGATTCTCCTTCCTAATTTACAGTTGCAACCTCGGTTGCAACTGTGAATTAGGAGATCAACAGTAAATTAGGCAAATATCCGTGAAAAAAAAGTTTTTTCAGGATGGCAGTTCAGACGCGTCGTACAGACATAATAATTAGTTTCTTTTTTGAACCAAAAACTGATTTTTCGAAACTTCGACCTCGAATAACTCGAAACGGGTAAATCGGGACGAGTTTTGTGTAAGTTCTAAAGTTAGAAAGAATTTGATCGTCGATATCTTGAGCTCTTACAGGGTGTTGAACGAATTTTGCCGCCATTTTTGCTAATTTTACTGGGCTAAATGTAATCCCCGCAACTCGCAAATCGTATGCAAATCATTATTCCATGCATAGTTTATGCTTAACTAACCTTGATCAAAATTTGGGAGCTTCGTAGATAATCTTGTACAGTGGTGCTCAAATTAAAAGTAACGACTCTTGGTCGAATTGAAATATTTTTGTCTATGCACATGTACTATTCATTGCCTAGGAACGAACCGTTTCCCTCATTAGCATTTTATGACCTGGTTCGCGCTGTAAAGGTATTAGAGGGTATACCCAGCGGTATACCTAGAGGTGTTATAATAATAATTATTCGAACGTGGAAAATAACAATGACAGAGTTCTTCTTTGGCAACTACATATAGGAATAGGAATTTATCTGGACTGCTTCACTTTGATTCAGTTTTGTTGAGAACGATATAATATAATTAATTATAACTAGAATCCAATCTTGGAATGAAGGGATTTAATTTCAAACTATACAGGGTGTAATCCAATTTATGGCTAAAAATATAGGACATGGTTCCTCAGCTCATTTTGAGATGAAAAGTTGATATGAACATATGCCCTAAACCTCTCAACTTCCGAGCTATAGGGTGTAGGAATTTTTATGAAAATAAGCATTTTCTTTGAAAACTTCGACATACTATTCTAGATATTCTCATGAAATTTGACATGCACCAACTGAAACAATATGTGGTGTAGTTTGTAGGTAAGATGTGTTTTTGTCTAATTTTTATTGAAGTGAAGTCGTCGATTGAATTTGGCAAAATGGTTTCATCATTTTCAAATATGTAACTCAAATTATTGCAAAAGGAATGAGAATTGCATTTATTTTTTAGAAAAATCTCCAGTATTTACATCCCATACGGACACGAACTGGCCATCAGTGCTTAGTAGGTGCATGTCAAATTTTATGAGAATATCTAGAACAGCATCAAAGTTACTATAAGAAATTTTTTTTCTTAAAATTTCAACACCCTATTGCTTTAAAGTTAAGAGGTTCAGGGCATATATTATGTTCATATGAACTTTTCTCAAAATGTCTACATCCTATATTTCTAACCATCAATTTAATTACACTTTGTATAACCAGGAGAAAAAGATCGATAAAATTGTAATGAAACAATAAAGATATAGTACTGAATTTTATGATTTCACGTTCATTCAGGTAACTCATTCATTTTCAATATTATGCTGAGTTGAATAAAACTCTGAAAATTTTTGGGTAAATCCGAGGATGAATCTGGCATAGCGCACTTACGAATACGGAAAGAAAATAGAATTCCCTTATTTCCAATAGAACACCACTTTTTTTTCATTATTCATTCTACATATTACTCTGATATAAACCATAAAATATATAAGGAAATTCATTACTATTTTCAACTGTTTCAGAGTAATAACGATTTTTGAGAATATTTTTGAAAATGATTTTTTTTCATACTGAAACACTGAAACTCTTGATTTCTTACAAAGCAGAACTGGTTCACATAAAATGCTCTTTCGAGTGGAAATATGAATTTCATAAACAAGGATATCTACAGTGTGATTATTATCAGCATGCAGATCATAGATTTCAAAACCAAAATAACATTTTATACTGTTGAATAAATAAGCACAAAGAAATATCGATAAGTGGAAAACTTCTATAGTTATTTTACTCGGCTATAATTATAAGGTATTATTTTTTGATCATGAAGGATTTAATAAATTTATTTATTTATATTGAAAAAAAAGTCAAGAATACACATCAAACATTCTGGTATTTAACAGTGCACTGCATGTTATGTTCTGTGACCACGTGCTATATATACAGTGTGTCCACTTTAAGAACTTTACCACCGCCTCTAAAATCCGTATTATCTTATCTGATCGATTTCGAAAAACCTTTTTTTTTTTGTATAGGTATTTGAAATATCCATCAAACAAAAAAAGTGATTTTATTCTTGGACTGTTATCGTGGCCATCAACTGCGACCAATTTTATTGACCCATATTTCGTAAATTACTATTGGGTATTTTATTTTTTCACTAAAACTAATGATAGATTCTGAACCTAGATCACTCAATGTAACCCTGTACCGATTTTCATCATCATAAAACAAAGAGTGTCCGAAAAATCGGATTAATAGATATATTTTTTGTATACTTGATCAGAAAATGTAGTACTGTGGTATGTTTGGGAAGAACTAATGTCAAATGGATATTTAGGACTACTTCGAACATATCAGCCCCGATTATTATCATTCAAATATACAATGTGTCTGAGAAAACAAAAAGGGTGGGTAGGCAATTTTTTCATCAACCAAAAAATAATAAAAAAAAAATTCGGACACCCTGTATTTTATGATGATGAAAATTAGTACAGGTATGTTCCGAGTGATCTTGAATGAGAATCCGTCATTATTTTCTAGGTATAGAATCATGCATCATGAAATATTGTCTACTTAGTCGGTTCGGTTCAGTATCTCCTATGTCCTTTGAGATATCAAATTGATGACACAACACTGTTCTGAAGCAAAGTAATATTTTTGTGATTAACGGACATGGAAGACACTGAACTTTATCAAATCGATCAATAACCCTGTTTTTCAAATTTATCTGCACGATTTATCGAAGCTCAAGTATTATACTTTAAAAATAAAATTTCTGGAAGTAGGTAGATATTCGCGTTTCAAGATAATTATGTGTATACCGTTTTCATATCGCACATGCTGATGAGAATTATTAGTTCTTATGTCAAAAATAGGTATTCAGAGAAAAATAACTCTTAAGAACGATTAAGAAATATGATTTCATGGGAAAAATAATGGGAGGATATACTAACGACAAACTTCAATTTAAAAAAAAATTAATTATACCGATGCCGCTTTATTCAAGAAGTAGGTACTTCAACTATATCTATCAATCCATAGAATCAACTAGAATCAAACAATGAATAACCATGAGTCAGCTTCATAAGATGAAGCATAAAATAATACTCTAGCGATGTGAATATTAACCCCAAATCTTAGAAATATTCAGATATCTGACTATCTCGTACCACAACTCACCATAAGAAATAAGTGATTGAAACAGCGGGCGGTTGGAATAGATATTAGTCTGGGTGCATAAACTGAAATTTTAAAGGGATTTTCACAGAAGTCGTTACTTTTAATTTGAGCCCCACTGTACATACAGGTCAATGATGTAAAGTGACCTTCGAATAAGTCTAAATTCGCCCACCCAAACTGTATGCAAATGTTATGGCATTGATTCATGGGTCGAAATGAAGGAATTAACCAAAGGGCATACCATCGTAAATAATCTGAGAGAAATGTCGGTTAATGGTAACTTGCGGTCCGTATGCCGCCCTTCGGGACCGACCTAGACGTATGCAAATCGGCTAGCGCCCGGTTAATTTGGCGAGATGCGACTATTCCAATGAATTTTAAAGCTTCTTCCATAAAACAATTTTCAACATTACTTTCAACAGGAAGTTGATTGATTAGGGAGATGGGCGACCGGGGTACCGATCCAACTAACCACTTTTTTCCCGATAATCCAACTCAATCTTCATGTCTCTTGAAGGGCATACCTTCGTAGATAATCGACACCCCTAGTGTTATGGGCCAACGGTCTAATAGCGATACATTTCAATCATTTTAGTACTATGAAACTGAAATATGACCCTATTGTCACTATGAAAGCAATTATTTTCAATTATAATTATAATCTAGTAGCCGTATGAACATGGCAGCATAATGACAAGCCGTTATTGATAAATACCTACTAGATTCAAGTGCTATTAATGTGAATTTCGCATCAGAACAGTGAATGTGAAATAGTCTAGCAAAATACCACTCTGACCTGAATATCTTCTCATTATTCTGTCTCTCATTGTTAACTCAATTGTGTTGCCGTACAGCAAATATCACTCGTCCTGACAGACTTCGTGGTGTTGCTCGGCAACACGATTTCGTGAACAATGAAGCAACAAAATTATCTGGAATATTCAGAACATCGTGATGATACTTATAATAAGATAAATAGTAAAATAGTCGAATGAAGAATTTCATATCCTATATCTATCTGATGAGAATGGAGAAGTTGATATTCCTGATCAACCAAAAATGAATATTTCCGAAGCATAAATGTCATTCGGTATACAGGAATTAAATTATTTCATTATACATTTTTCATAAAAGTATCGGCATCCTGGAATCAGCAAGAAATTGGCGTGGTTCCAGGTTTCAGGTTTCAGTCTTACTACATCGATGGCAGGTATTCCATTTCCAACAAAAATGTAAACAAACCACATCCTGTAGCTGTCTCTGAATAGGTATTTGTCTCGAGATTCGCCTGTTCATTCATCTCACTGCATAACCAAAATATACACAGATTGAAATTCCTCATACGATTGAAAAACGCATCTTTCATTATATTCAAAAATCAGAATCGCACGATTAGACATTGGAATGGACAATAGAGATTTATTGGATGCCTTCAAAACATTACTGATCATTATACCGGGGGACCCGGAAATAATTTACCCCCCTGTACGTTCGTTGCTATGTTGTATGGATATTTCAAATTTGGAACATCGATTTGATTCAATGAGTGAATTATTTCCGGTTTGACGGGTAGTGTATTCAGTTTTTTCATTTAGAATACAATGTATAATATTTTTAAATCACGGTTCAGTATAAAATAACCTTTTCAACGTTATATCACAATCATACTTTCAATTTACAATTTACTCATATAGGGATTTTATCATATATATCACAAAATACAGATGCATAGGTACTTATATTATCATTATATTACTACTTATATTGAATAATCTATCATGTCACTCTTTCTTACAAAAAATATACAGGCTGATTCACGGTGGAAGACACATTATTAGACGTTTCTAGAGAACGTAACTTGGGATTATTCTGAAAATTCGATGCCTTGGATAATTGGTTGTGCTCTATCGACCAAAAATATTTTCAGCGCTGCGACGTTGCCGCTTATATTGAAAAGTAGCAACAACTTTGATTTTTTTAATGGGACACCCTGTATATTATTCCATTTTCAGATTCTTCCTGAAGAGCTGATTTCATTGACTCATAACACTAGGGGTCTAGCAGTGACAATTTGAGAGATATAGGGTGTGAAAAATCCAGAGTTTACGAATTATTGCATAAATTCCGGGAGGATGTAATTCAATGTTCGGCGTGGCATATAGCCAGGAAAGTAGTTGTTTTTCTGTCGTTATCTGCCATTTTCGTTCATTTTATGAACTATCGTGGTAATGACTTCGAGTTTCTCTCTCTTTGTGACCCTGTATAATTTTTTTCTCCAGGTTTTCGAGTCGATAGAGAAGGTGATAAGCAAATCGGTGAAGCAGCGATGCCATTCGTGCGTGTTGGCGTACGGACAAAGCTCCACCGGTAAAACGCACACAATGATGGGCGTGCCTGAAGATCCCGGCATCACGCCGAAACTGTGCCGGCGGCTGTTCGATTATCTCGAAGAAGCAGCCATCGTCGGAGACGAAGTTTTCAACACGGATGTGACAGTCAGGTTGGTCATTGAGTAGTTCGTTTTTAACAAAAATCATAAACAACGACTTCTTGAAGGATAATAATTCTAAATACTGTCTGTAGGTTAATCGAGGAGATTTACATTCCAGTGGCGGCTCGTGACTTTCATGACAGAGGAGGCTGAATGATATGAGATTTAATGTGAAAAACAACTCTCTACTCACCCAAATCAATAGCTTTAATGATATTCTGTTTACCAGTTAACCTGAACTTAATACTTGAAGATATGTGTTCCTGTGATTTGCAGTGTCTATCCGATCCGCGAGGCAAATTTTTCAAATCATTATATCCTAATCGCCCCCAACATGATGACTTATCGGTTGTAAATAATACGCCAAAATAGCTCATTCCTTACCTCAGATCCCGTCAACCAGATATATTTTTTATAATTATCACAATTGAATGAACGATTTTGTTTGTTACCTGTAACAATCAGATTTTTTAATTCCGGTATCGGACGTTTGTTTTTCACAATCAATTTATCTTCATAAGACAAAGCACTGAATGGGTTCACCAAAAAGTATTCCACTAAATCGCAATCGTTTAAAACACTAATTTTTCAGAAATTCATAGAGCCCCTAACCATTAACCTAACATAAACATAAACAATGCACTCGCGCTGGATTGCCCGCAATTCGCGACGCGACACGACAAACACGTGCTATTCGGGCGTATTCGGGCATTTGCATTGCGCGAGTGGGTTGCGCGTTGAGAAAGGAGTCTAGCCTCCTATAGATGTTGCCAAGTTGAATATTTTACGCGTGATTTGCAGACTTCAACGTGTGATGCGTGGGCAAGCACTGTTGCCAATTCAAAAATATTCACCTAAAAACAGGAAATAAAATCAAAATCCATGTATTTTGGTATCCTTTTAATGAGAAAGTATAGATTATATTAGTTTAAGGAAAATCTCTGAGGAGGCTCAGCCTCCGTTGTCTCCTCTGAAGGGCCGCCACTGGTACATTCATTATTCCAGATTTTTTTGGGATCTTCTCTCCTCGTCTCTATGTATAAAATGAAAATATGTAGTTACGACAAATCAGACGATTTGTCCCAAAATGTCACTGCGTTTAAAGAATGTTCCTATCAGAGAGCCTAAAAGAGAAATTCACTAGATTGTCAGTGACAATTTGTATTGAAAAATGCTTGGAGAAGAGAAATAAAGGTACATAGAAAACATAGATAGATAGATAGATAGAATTTTATTTAACCACGTTACACAAAAAAAATCTATGTTTGTAGCAGGTCAGATACAAGATACAAGTAGTAGTATATTGTTAAGCTCACATATTAAAAATAAAAGAACATAGAAGTTAACAAATTACAAGTTTAAAAATCTAAAATCACAATATTTAAATGATCCATAAGAGAAAAAAAGTCAATACACAAGTAATGAACACACTAAATGAAAGACAACAAACAAACCAAATTTGTTTTAGATGTATGACAAACTGACATTTATCATACAGGGCGTGGAAAGAAATTCTGAATTGAGAAAAACCCAATCACGAATCTGCGATTGAAGGTCTATAAAAATAACAAGTTTCCATCGTTCAAGTTTGAACCCCTTGATTGGGTATGAAAGTATTGAAAAGGAATATTCTCAGATATATTATAAACATGAAAAAATGGATACATTTGAATAAATACATTGAGAATTCGCATTCTCTATGTGATGAAATTATTAATTCTTTCTCGGCATATTCAACAGAAAACAACTACTTTCCTGGCTATATGCCACGACGAACATTGAATTATATCAATTGAACATACACGATAGGAATTTGAGCATAAAATGAATATCGTCTGAAATTGAGAATTGACATTCTCTTCCAGAATCGGATGAATACTATGATGAATATAACGATATAAAAAATATATTACTTACCAAATTGGTATGAAAATTGGAATGTATGGGAGAAATATACTAGTATACATACTCTGTTCTTGTTGAGTCGTGAATTTATCAAAAATCATCCGTATCCATGATGTTTGGGATATATGCACATCTCTTTCACATAGGTTAGATGATTTTGATTCGTGATTGGGTTTTTCTCAATTCAGAATTTCTTTCCACGCCCTGTATGATAAATGTCAGTTTGTCATACATCTAAAACAATTGCCACCCACATGACTGGAGATAAGTCAACAAATTTTCATTCTCAGATAGATGTCAGTTCCACTATAGTTTTAGTTATATTATTATAGAAATGTGAAAATTGTGTATTAAATGAAGAATGGCTGAAGGAATGACTGGACTTCAGGTTACTGAGGAGAGTTTGAAACTCGAAATGAATTTTATTCGAATCAAAATCATCTAACCTATGTGAAAGAGATGTGCATATATCCCAAACATCATGGATACGGATGATTTTTGATAAATTCACGACTCAACAAGAACAGAGTATGTATACTAGTATATTTCTCCCATACATTCCAATTTTCATACCAATTTGGTAAGTAATATATTTTTTATATCGTTATATTCATCATAGTATTCATCCGATTCTGGAAGAGAATGTCAATTCTCAATTTCAGACGATATTCATTTTATGCTCAAATTCCTATCGTGTATGTTCAATTGATATAATTCAATGTTCGTCGTGGCATATAGCCAGGAAAGTAGTTGTTCTGTTGAATATGCCGAGAAAGAATTAATAATTTCATCACATAGAGAATGCGAATTCTCAATGTATTTATTCAAATGTATCCATTTTTTCATGTTTATAATATATCTGAGAATATTCCTTTTCAATAAACCAAATTTGGACAGCTACGGAGATGTGAGTTGTTTGTGAATGCGAAAATGCTCTCTGAAGTCATCGACTGTGTAGAAGCAATGTCTCAATAAATACTTTTTAAGTTGTTTCTTGAAGGAATTCACACTGAGCACTCTGAGATCTTGTGGCAAAATATTATACATAGAAAAATCTAGGGTATTTTTTTGGGATAATTGAAGACGATATCGATTTAGTCTGATCTGATGACATTTTCTTGTATTGTGTTCAAATTTATAATTATCTTTGATCGTTTCGGGAACGAATCTGCTCCCGTTTTCAACATAAAAAATGGATTTTTTGTATGGCAAATTAATTCGTATTTGTCCTAGCACTTTTCAGTTCTCAGTGACAACTGGTAACGTTGGCAATCAAATGAGTTACAGCATGTTTTCATTAATTAATCTTGAATTCACTATTCTCATTTTCAGATTTCAGTAGTGAATACCATGTTCTATCTATATCAACTGAACAAGAAGCAATGCTATTGTCTCCGTTCAGAAGAATGCAAGCAGACTTCTTGATTTTTCTCTTCTGGTTGTTTACATTACATCTATTGAACACACACGATAAGACTTTGAGAACAAAATCTTCTGAAGTAGATGATTTGCATTCTCCTTCATATAAAGATATGCATATAATATAATTCTGAATATTCAACAGAAAACACTACTTTCCTGACTATTTTCCACGTCGAACATTGAATATCTGTTGAATATCCAAAAAGAGAGCATGAAAAATCAAAATCCTCTGAAATTGAGAATTGTCATTATCTCTCAAATCGAATAGAATAATATGATGTATTATGATATAAAAATATAACTTACCAATATGTTCAGTATTGAAATGTATAGGAGAAGTACACTTTTATGAACTCTGATCTTGATGAGCTTGGAACTTCCAAAAAAAAAAAACATTCGTATCATATGACTTGACTCGAGTAAAACTCATTTCGGATTTCATATCCTCATCAGTAACCTGGAGTCCAGTTATTCTTTCAGCCATTCTTCATGATATACACAATTTTCATCTCCCTATAATATAACTAAAACTATAACGAACTAACATCTGAGAATTATTATGATTTGTTGACATACTCCTGTCATTTGGGCATTTGGTTTTGGATGTATGATAAATTGACATTCAAAAAAAAAAGAATAAAATAGGTCCACTTGCCTATTCTCCAGTTATCTCAAAACGGTTGTTTATAGAAAAATTAATGCGAACAGAACAAATGGCAGGAAATTGCATGATTCGTTCGCTAGATATGACGATTTAAATTTTCCACATGAAAAACATTTTCAATATACCTACAGGGTGTCCGGAAATTATGCGCAAAAAATCAAGGGGGTGATTCTACATGATGAAATAAGAAGTTCTTTTTTTATGTACGTGGGTCCGGAAATGCTTAGTTTTCAACATACAGTGTGTTAAGATCGGTTTTTTATGAATATCTCAAATGTCCTTCTACCAAATTTCTTGAAATTTGGCAATGATATTCTTTGTCATGAGGGGCTGATATAGCCATAATTCAATTGGAATTATAAAATCCAGTGGCGTCCCGGGGGGCAACCCACCGAATATTATTTTCAATACAATGTGCGCCACTGATTTCTTTGAATTCTGTATCTTCATAACCTATTGACCAACTAAAAATACAACATTTTGCTCTCTTGAATTATTTTGATAATTTGCTTGAAAAAAAAAAATTTCCAATTTATTGCATAAATTTGTGCCAAAAAATTCCTACAAAAACTGAGGTGAAAATGAATGCGTGATCAATGTCCATAGATATAGAATATCTATGAAGATTCATTTTCTTCAAATATTCCTTGATACATGTTTATACACTCTGTATATTGGGAACTATGTTTTCTCGGTCCAGGAAGGCGTAGTTTTCGATAAAACAAAGTGTGTCAAACATGTATTATAAAATATTTGAAGATAATGAATCTTAATTCTTATTCTACGTCTATGTACATGGATAACACATTTAATTTCACCCTTGTTTGTGAAGCAATGTTTTGCACAAATTCGTACAATGAATTGGTATTTTTTTCCACGGAAACGTAGCAAAATTGCAACACAATTCAAGAGACTAAAATGTTTTATTTTTAGTTAATCAATAGGATATGGATCATATATGGATATAGAGAATTTAAAAAGATCAAGGGCGCACAATTTATTTACAAAAATATTCGGTAGGGTGCCCCTGGGACGCCACTGGATTTCACAATTCTAATTTGAAAATGGCTAAATCTGCCCCTCATGACAAAGAATATCATAACCAAATTTCAGAAGCATTGGTGAAAGAATATTCGAGATATTCATAAAAAACGATTTTTTCTAGAAAGTTTAACACACTGTATCTTGAAAACTATGCATTTCCGGACTCAAGTATATATGAAATAAATTCCATGTTTTCTCATGCAGAATCACTCCCTTGATTTTTTGCTCATAATTTCCGGACACCCTGTATATATTTTCCATGATTGATATCTTTCAGAGACCCTGTAACAATAATATGAATACGCAGTAATTCCAATATTTTTTATTATGAAATTGAATTATGATCATGCGTGTGTGGTAATGAATCTGACAAATCATATCGCTTAATATGTACATTCTCTTATCTTTCCCCAACACTAGTCGGTTTCACACATGCGAATGAGCTGAAAATCCTGTAACCTGAAATGATGATTGTTTATCGACCCTACCTGAAAGATTATTTCTTCAGATACCTTTCTACCCCTGAAAATGAATCAATTACTTTGTATTGCCAAAGTTTGGCGGGAACGGTTCGAGTATCTATGACTGTTTTGAAGTTTTACATCAGGAAATTCACTTTATTTCATGGTAATTTTCTTTGTAATGGAAGATACTATTCATTCAAGGGGTTTTATAGATCTTATATCTGAAATCAGTTGAGAAAGATATATAGTTTACAAATTGAACTAGGGCATACATCAGGGTCAGTGAAGCAAATTATACAAGTTATGAGTACAGGGTGGGTATTTTTCGATGCTCCTATTGGCAACCATTGGCATCTCGGAAAGGATAATAGTTACGAACTCGGGTGGATCAGAAAAAGTTGCACTTTTTAATGGCGAATATATAAACAAGGAAACCATTTTCCGATATGTTGATTGTTGATTGTTGATAATATCAAAAGAAATTTTAAGAGTATTGATCAGATAGTGCTCTTCCAAAGGAAATATATTTGTTTCTTCATAAAGTTGATTTGATGGATTGTCATATGGAAGACGATACAGTACTTTTAATGCTTTCTTATACATATATTGTGTCTTATTAGAATTAAGAGAAAGGAGATTGGAGTAAACTCATTCTTCCATTTTATTTAAATCCTCATTTGTGTTGTTTTCTAAAATTACAGGGTTTTTGCTTCCAAATAAAAGTACTGTGTATACAGGGTGGCCCACGGTCGATGGTACCTTATACGTATACGGAAAACGGTACATTGGATTATCCTGAAAATTTGGTTACTCTAATAAGCGTTTGTGATCTAACGATTCAACATATTTTCAGCGAAGCAGCGTTGCCACTTTTACCAAAAAGTAGCGTCATCTTTGTTATTTCAAATGGAACACTCTGTATTTTGTTGCGTTTTTAGATTCTTCTCGAAGATCTGATTTCATCAATGTATCACACTTGGGGTCTAGCAGGAATTATTACAGAGATATTACAGAGATATAGGGTGTTCAAAATCGAGATTTTTCAAATTTAGGATTTTTTTGTGTCGAAACTATTCATCATTGGTAAAAACGGCTAACATGTCCCTATATTAACTTTTGATTAACTATCTACCGACATTTAATTGGAAAAAATACAGGATGGTCCAAGATTCAGAATTTTGATCACCCTGTATCTGTTCCAATTAAATGTCAGTAGATAGTGAATCAAAAGTTAAGATAGGGACATGTGAGCCGTTTTGATTGATAATGAATAGTTTCGACACAAAAAATTCCTGAAATTGAAAAATCTCGATTTTGTGATACATTGATGAAATCAGCTCTTCGGGAAGAATCTGAAAACGCAATGAAATACAGGGTGTTCCATTTGAAATAACAAAGATGATGCTACTTTTTGGTAAAAGTGGCAACGCTGTATCGCTGAAAATATTTTGAATCGTTAGATCACAAACGCTTATTAGAGTAACCAAATTTTCAGGATAATCCAATTTACCGTTTTCCGTATACGTCTAAGGTACCATCGACCGTGGGCCACCCTGTATATGGTATTTTGTGTTTTATTCAGTGTAATCTTATCGTGGTATTTTTTAAACATTATTCCGGTAAATACTGTCTGTAGGTTAATCAAGGAGGTGGTACATTCATTATTCCAAATTTTTTGGGATTCGTTTCTATAAAATAAAAATATGGATATTATTTAATTTGTCAATGAAAACTGAAAAGTTTCAAGACAGATACGACTTCGCTATTAAAATAATCTTTTCTAATGTTGAAAACGGGAGCAGAATCGGTCCCGAAACGTCCAAAGATAAGTGAAAATTTGATATTTTTTCTATATAGGTACCTTTATTTCTCTTCTCCAAACTTTTTTCAATACAAATTGTCACTGACAAGCTAGTGAATTTTTCTTTTAGGCTCTCTGATAGGAAAATTCTTTAAACGCAGTGACATTTTGGGGCAAATCATCTGATTTGTCCTTACTACACGTATATTGAAATAATATCCATATTTTTATTTTATAGAAACGAGGAGAGAAAATCCCAAAAAATTTGGAATAATGAATTATTCCGGTGTTGCATTTTCTTACCGAATACCTCTCTAGTTTCAATTGAAAACCCGAAATTTCCAATAATAATCCAATGAAGCTCTCGTGTTATTATAAGTGAAAATATCTCTCTCATGTAATTTCTCCGACGACAGCGCTAACTCTTTAATTTTTGCACCCTCATTCCCCCTCCCTACCGTTCGCATACGTTTCGAACTCCGGCTCGCGAAGTTGGAAGTTGCGAAGTTGTAAAATTCTCACGCGAACTCCGTGTTAAGCGAGTCGCACAACTCATGTCAGCTCGGAATGTGTTTCTAGATGTTTTAACGAATCGTTCGGGATTGTTTGTGTAACATTTCGAGAGATTGGTTGTTTGTGGACTTTGAGTGAAACGAATAAACAGCTTGGAGGTCGATCGTGCATTGTGAAAATAAGAGTGTATAGGGTGTAATTCGGTAAATATGAGACATGAAAAAAAAATGGTGACATTCTTGATTTTTTTTCTGAGACAAAATCACTAGCGGAAATAAAAATTTGATATCGTCTTTGGATTTCGAGTTATGAACAGAAGTTCGATTTTCCGACTTCTAGACATATCACATCGTGATAGTTTGTGAATTTACCGAAAATTATTTTCTTATTATGATCAAGGAATTTTTTTGCTGTATATTCCAGTGGCCCTGAGGATATTTTAGCAAAGAGTCAATATCTAGTTATTCACGTTTTCGAATGTGAGCCAGACTTCAGAATTCATATCTGGAATTAGTCAATACATGATTGAAAAGCAGAAAAAAAGTTTTACTAAATCATAGCTAAATTTATGATTCCTATTTGAAAAATTCGAAATTAAAATCCCAACGTCACTGAAATATATATAGAAAAAAGTGGAATGTGAACGTTTTTTTCTCCTAACTTTGCATACAAACACGATATTCACGTCACGATGTGTCTGAAAGTCAAACTAACTTTTATTTACAACTCTTGTTTATAACTCTAAATCAAAAGACGATAGAAAATATTTGTTTTCGCCACTGAATTAATCTCAAAAAACAAAACTGAGAATTTCTTCTCCAATTTTTTGTATCTCATGTATCTACTATATAGTTTTAGAGTCAACTAATACAAACTTTGACATTTCTGGACCCTGGTTTGATTTTTGAAAGTTCTATGTTATTTATACACCAGCCTAAGTTTTCAACTTCAATTTGAAAGAGTCGTTCACAAAATAGTAATTAATACGTTCTGAATCCGAATCTGTTCAATCAATTCGTTGTTACTTAAGTCCCAATAATAAAATCCTAAATTTATCATCTTGATTTGAGATAAAAAAAGGTGTAGCTTTCCTACATGTTAATCGATATGAATATGTCATTCAAAGAGAATGAGAGCTTTTCAGCTTTCTGATATTCTTTTTATGAACTCTGGGTGTTTTTAGTAGAAAGTATATTTCTTCCAGCTACTTGGAGATATACAACGAAAAAGTACGCGATCTCCTGCACGATGAGCAAACAGATGAGGATAAAATCAGAAGAAAGAAGTCTCCATTGAAAGTGAGGGAACATCCCAAAAAAGGACCTTACGTTCAAGGTAAGAGATCAGCCACAACGACAAAAAACAACACCTAGATTGGAAAAATGAACAATTTTGATAATAAAAAAAAAAAATTTGGAGGTCTTTCGGCCTCCTAATGTGGCGATTCCACTGGCTCATCGGGGCACAGGGCCCCTGTTTAGAAAACCTGTTATAACAAAAAGGTATTTTCTGTTTTTAAAATTTTCATAAAATAATTTTTTTGCAACTTCATGTGATTCCAAAAACACTTTCTCTGCCCCACAATAATTTTTTCAATCGGCTGATGATGGATACTCTATAGATTCGAAACATGTCCCCTTTCCATTTATGATTTGATGATATTATTAAAATTGAAAGAAGGTGGTGCATGAAGGTATCATAGTCCTTAAATAAAAATAAACTTAATGGCAGTCAATGAAACCAACAGATTCGTGGAATAGCGGTTTGCATAAATCCACCTTTACTAAATCATAATCGTCGTAGGGGAGAACTACCTATGATGGCACCCCTAATAGTCTGACCAGCTTCCGTCCCCACAGTCAACTGACTGACTTTCATAACTTTCATTCATATGCAATATACAATGTGTATAATGATTTTCAGCCTCAGTAAATTCATTGCAGTACCTCGTTAGGAACGACAACTTTGATAGTATACCAGGGACACCTGTTCTCAGTTTCGCTTGACTGACCGCAGTATTTGTGTATAAAACCACTGTAATAATCTGTGAAATAACTAGGCCTCCTACAAATTAATATTCGAGTGAATTTTTTTCATCAGTCTCTAGTTTTCCATCACTATATAATTAAACAGCATTGCGAAAGAGTGAGTCTTCAGAAGACTCTCTGAAAAACGAAAACATATTTTTAGCCATCATAGGCACTTGATATGATGATATCATTTGATGGCATACTTGATTTCCTATGATGGCATACTCAATTTTCTTGCCTTGTTCATGTTCACTTCACTCCATGGATGTCTGTTCTGATTTTCCGCCATTAATTTCTGAAAAAACAGATAGTTGAACAACACAGGACCATCTAGTCCTATGATGGCATAGTATGTTATCACCTAGTTGTATGACGGCATACTATGCCATCAAAGGTCAATGTTAGGTATGCCAACATGCGGAAACTGCATAATTTTAGATATTTTTTCTACGCTAATCTTGTATGCAATATTCAATGCATCATATGGGATGCAAGGTAATGGTTATTGGACCCTTATGGACAAATATGAATAAAAAAAAAACAAGCAGGACTTGATATATCACTACACTAATGCAAACATTTCTTATATCAGTATTAACCAAATATAGATTATTCTCGTGAAAATTTAAAAAGGCCACATACACCCTTCAACATTTAGAGGACAACTAAAACATTCGTTATGCCGACGTGGAACAGTACAGCTCTTCAAAATATCCGACCGAAGGAGAAATATGGCGACTATGCCTACTTGGGAAATGGGAACTATGCCTAGTTAGGCCAGCCTCGATCATCTTCATCCTTCATCTTATTCCTTTATTTCCTCAGGGCTATCTGAGCACCCAGTGTCCAATCCGTCGGACCTCCTGGACTGGCTCGAGAAGGGCGACAAGAAGCGCAAAGTAGGCTCCACGTTGTCCAATCCGCGGTCGAGCCGCAGCCATTCGGTGTTCTCGGTGAACTGCGCCGGCGTCAAATTGAACCTGATCGATTTGGCGGGCAGCGAGCGGGCGGCCAACAGGTGCTTCGACCTGTCCAGGTTCAAAGAGGGCGCCAACATCAACAAGAGCCTGGTCGCTTTGGGCAACGTCATATCCGCCTTAGGTGAGGACATTTTCCATCCATGTTCCTAAATGAACACACGAAGCCATCGAAGTTTGTCGTCAGCAATTTCCAAATTAATGTGTAGTAGTTGAAAGGGTGTGTCGATAACGATTGTATAATATTCAGTTTACGTGAAGTCGTGCCGAAGTAGATGATAAGTTTGCATGTGAGCATAATTCACCGCCGCATCGGTCGTTTTCCAACGGGGGCCCGGCAAACACATCCGTACGTCAGAACGCTTTTAACGACACTTGCTTATTCCACGTTTCGCACGAGCGCGCGAATCTATTTCCAGGACCTTATTATGCCATCGGATGGTCTCCGATCCACTCAAACTTGATTAATCCAATCGATTCCGATGTCATACCGTTCAGTTCTCCGTCCGATCAGACTATATAAATAAACGAAAACCGTTGAGTCCTCCGTCCGACCACCGTATAAAATAGACGAAGTTCGTGTAGTCTTCAGTCCGACCAAATGTTCTTCCCCTATGATCTGTTTATAAGAATTATATGTATTCAATCTACATACTATTTCAACTTTATGTGATGAAGAAATCCATGCAAGCACATCCTTTCCGTGAATTTTTGAAATCGCAACACTCTATCCAATATCTAACAACTCGTCATTTAGGACTCCAACTGAAACAAAACGTTATCACCGATGGATCAAGGCCAACAAATCAGGTTTATAAGCAAACTGGCATTTTATCAGTCTCAGAAATATTTATGAATTGAACAGAGTAAATTTATATACAAAGTTTGCAAATCTGAACAGAATCGTAATTCAAGAATTGAATTAAACCATGAAGTCAATTCCTATGAGACAAGGAACCAAAGAAATATATACATCGAGCCCACAAGAACGAACATCGCTTTAAATAACCCTCTCAATAAATGTATCAAAACCTTTAATTGTCTACCAGTGGCTTTGAGGGATGCCGATAACATAAAAATATTCAGAGTGCGGCACCTAAACATATCCTGAAACTGTTGGATTCTGTCCAAAAAAGGGCAATTCGTCTCGTGGGTGATGCCTCGCTCACAAACTCACTCACTTCTCTCGAACACCGTAGAAAAGTTGGCGAGCTGGCTCTATTTTATAGATATTTTGATGGACGATGCTCTTCTGAAATATCAACAATCGTACCCTCCTTGACAGTCCCAGCGAGATTAACCCGTCGAGTTGAGGCTTCGCACCCCTTCGTGGTCACTTTGGAGACCTGCAGAACATCTCTTTCCAAAGACTCGTTCATCCAACGAACAGCGTGTTCCCCGAGGCATATAACCTCCAGAAATTTAAGATCATTAATTCCTACCGGATTTCCCTTGGTTGTCACGATGTTCTCTGAAAATTACATGATATCCCTTTTCGTGGGAACCAGAACATAAAAAAAATATCTAACAATAACATCACTGCATGAAGATCAGATTAGGATAGTATTTATTTTTCAAATAGCGTCGAAAACAGTTATGTACTAAATTAACAATAATCAAGATCAGATTGTGTGAACTATTTGAATAAAGCTAAAAAAGAAACTATCAATCACATATTGAATAACTGAGCAACGAGATTCTTATTATTTTTAGGAGTTTTAAAATTAAAATTTATCTATTTACAATATCAACAGTTACTTTTACTACAGTGAAGTCACTTTCGCTTCTAATAATATTTATGATTGTTTGACACTTTTACTATACTCTCAATTAAACAGAGCTATGTCATCAGTAGAATATTCATTGTTTGACATTTGACATTCTATAGGAGACGTGATTCCTGATTCATTGTACAATAATGGCAATAATCATAACATGATGAAAACTTTGTCTTATCAGGTGAGGAAATGAAATTGAAGAAAGACAATGTACCACCATTGTTGTTTCTCCAGTTTTGTGTCATACCTGTAGAAAAACAAACATCTCTCCATAATAGAATCAACCACATTGAAAATGATTAAGAATGGGATTGATAGTAAAAAACTCTAGGGAAAGGACCTGGTATAATTACTATATGTTTAAGCTAGAAAAGTTCATAATATTTCGTGAATTATGTTCGTGACGAAGTTCAGATTTCGAATAGCAATGAAAACTAATTTCGGTCGTTCAAAGTTTGAACATTTAATATTTCTTTGTTTACACTCTCGCATACCATTAAACAAGGTGAAGGAACCTTTATCTTTAACAAAACAAAACGAATTGAAATGATATAATTTAAGATGATGTTCATTTTGGGGTATATTGATAGTAGTCAAGACTGTTTGAATATGGAAACTACGATATTACGTTTACAGGTTGAATCAATTGTGTGGCAATGGACGATAGTTTCTCAATTCAGTGACATTAGAATAACAGCATTGGCTTTTTCATTTCAGCGGAGCAATCTACTAAACAAAAAGGTATAAGGAGAAAATTCGTGCCATACAGAGATTCCGTCCTAACATGGCTGCTAAAGGACATTTTGGGAGGGAATTCCAATACTGTTATGGTGGCAAGTAAGTACATTACTTCATATTTTTCACATCACTGCATTAAAATTTTTCACGCCCCTCCTATTTTCCGTCATGGAATCCAGGTAAAAAAATGATTGGTTTTTATTTTATTGATACTTTAAAATCAAATTTTTTCTATTTTGCTCCTATTCTACTTCGGTATTAGAGACCATGTGTATATAGAACCTTTTTTTTCACCTATTTCTTTGAGAATATCATTCAGGGTAAATCGATTTGTTTCCATTACAAATTTTGTCTTCAAAACCAAAATTATTATATTATGTTAAGGTTAGAAGGGGTGAAACAACTTACAGTCACAACTCCACCACATAAGACAATTTAGTATTGACCAACGGTCACCTATGTTGGTTATATTGAGGTGTTGAGACATGTAGAAACCAATGAATTAAACATCTGGAATTACTGCGCAATCACCCAAAAAGACAAAAAAGAATCTGTCTTATGTGGTGCTTGAATTTCGACGATTACAGCACGTTAAAGAAAGCATTTTAAGGTTACACTAATTCAGTAGTAGATACTGTCCATTAGAATGTATCGAGTCATCCCATTATAACTCGCATCCTGTCTTTTTCAGCGATTTCTCCTTCCAGCGCCTGCTACAGTGAAACCGTCAACACTTTGCGTTTCGGGCAACGCGCCAAAAATATCGTCGCTAGACCGGTAGTGAACGAAGATCCCAAAGAAAGGACCATCAGGGAGTTGAGAGCCGAAATTTACAGGTTGAGAGAAGTCCTGGACAGTCTTCAGGTGAGAAAAATCATAAAAAAAAGACTTTTCGACACTTTTTTCCATAATATCTAGTATAACTTATGAAACTGATTAAGGAACCAGCGATCAGAGGATAAAAACGAAGAAGAAGATGAGAGAGAACGGATATCTCATTTGTCAAACTCAAATCCAAAAGTCACTCTGGTCATTGTGAACCGTCAAACATGAGTCAAAATTCGGCATAATATCATCCCTTTCACTATGGAACCTGACCATACATTTTTATTTCTAGATCTCACCCCATACTCAAATGAACGACAAGATCAATGACCTTACCGCAGAAAATCAAGATAAATCCAATACCACATCTTCAAACCAGAGTCAGTCTCGACTCCAGCCAGTGCCACTCCAAAGCAAAAACCCCACATTGGAAAAGCAAAACTCAAGGGATAGCATCACCAACACGGAACAACTTTTACCGCTTATAAACGTTACCAGTTCAGTGAATTCCAAAAGACTCACCCAGCTCAAAAGAACTTTCAGTGTTGATCAGCCCCTATCAAAAATGGACAACAATTTCGGTTCCAACGATTCCCTACCTTCCACCAGCACCAAATCGATACCATCAACCACCCCATCCACAGAGTCTTTGAGCTCCAGAAGGAGCAGCATCCAGTCCTCTCTGCGAAGAAAATCCCTTAACAAATCCATACCTTCCTTACCGAGAGCCACAGTCAAAAGAGGTTCCCTAGAAGCGACATCTAAGAAAATAGAAAAGGCAATATCGACAGACCATTTACCTCAGAAAACAGTAGAGTCCAGAGTGGATTCCATCAGGAGAAGACCCTCAGCTAAGCCTAGGTCGCAGATAGTTGCAGCAGTCACTAGCAGACTATATTCGAAGCTGAAAAACAAAGAAGTTTCGACAGACACTGACGATATCAACACTTACAATCTCGAGGAAATCGCCCCAAAGGAGCTCCAGATCTGCGAGAACGCGAGAAATCGCCTGAAGGAGATCACCAAGCGAGCCCTGCGAGCCCACCGAAGCCGAAACGAGGAAACCCAGACCGACCTCAAGCCCGTGAGGAGGGTCAAAGAGACCTCCACCGACGTCAGCGATCTCAAGCTGGAACTGCTCGAAGTGAGAGAAGCTGAGACCAGCTGCGACCCGGTGCAAACGAAAGACGCGGCGGTAAGCTGCGCCTGCTTGGACAGCTGCTCCGAGGCAAAAAGTCTGTTGCTCACCAGGTCTTGTGGGACGCAGTGCGAGGAGAACAAACCGATGTCTTTCACCAAGTATCTTCGCGATATCCAGGAAGATTTGCCTCCCAATCCCATCTACACCAACGCGGTGAACATCAAGATCTCCAACAATTACCATAATGGGGAGAAAGTGTCTGGCAAGAACTTTGCTGTGCAAGTGGGTGCTCAGGAAGAGTTTAGTGGGTGTTTGGCTACGCCGGATCTGCTCAGCAACCACAATTCTTTGGAGCACAACCAAGCCACCAAGGAGACGCAGAAGCTGTTCCACGAAAGCAGCGAGAAAATCGATGACGTGTTTGGGGTTGCTGAAGCGTTTTCTTCCCCTAGCACTTTCTCAACAGCAAATTGTAGTGTTGTGTCTAATTTTTCAACTAGTATCCCTTCTGTGAAGCTAACCAAGACCTATGCGCCAGAGATTTTGCTGGACAAGTCGTTCGAAGACGAGTATTGTTTGCCTTTGCCTATCTTTGAACCGAAGAAAGCTATGCCCAATGTTCTGCACGCTGATGAATCGAGGTTCGAAGAGGCTGTTTTGGTGAAGGAACCTCTCATCCTCAAGTCGATCGTGAAGCACCAAGGTGCTGGGGAGCAAGAGGAACCAAGCGCTCTGATGGATTCGCTAGACTACCATAGAGCTAATAAGAAAGTCAAATTCGTCGAGGAGCGAAAGGACGACCAGCAAAGAATGTTCAAAGCCATGTCCTCGTTCTTGGAGGAAGCCACCAAGATGATGTCGAAGCTGGAAAAGTCGACGTCGACCTCTCTCATCGGCGACTACGACTTGGAGGTGACCTTGAACGATAAAAGAGCTACGAGGAGGCACAAAAAGAAGTCCAGGCATCCTTCGTGCCCGGCGCATAGACCAACTGTGGAGGAGAAATTCATCCAGACCGCTTCGCCCCGGAAAACCACCTCTTCCACGCAGTGCGACGGCCTTTTTGGCTTGCCGCCCAACAGGTATGTGCTGATCCACCCCTTTACACAGATAGCGCAACGCCATTCATAGGACGTTCATAGGATATATTCTCCGAGAATAAGTCAATATTCTCATAATATTCTCACGATATGATACAAAGATTATAGGGACGTTCTATGAGCATTCGGGATATAGACTGTTTTTGAATAATATTCTGAGAATATTCCTGGTATATTATAGAAGGATATAAAAAAACTTGCCTAAGTGCGATACTAACCTATACTCTCTAGCTATTGAATTTATTCAAACCTGACATGAATTATATGTATAACCAGATGTCAACACTTCATTCGTAGAATAATTATGGCATTGAGACTAGAAAATGATAGGTTGGGTCAGGAGGCACATTGAAAATATTGATATAAGTATAAAATCACTATCGTATTTCGATACTATATTCTGTATATTCTCAGCATATTCCGAGACTATGTCGAATTTAAAGTTCATAAAATATTTGTTCCAGGATGAAAATATTCTATGATATTCTGAGAACATTCAGAATATTCTGAAATAATTCTGAACGTTGACAGAATATTCATAGAATATTCTCGTAGATTTGATAATTGAATTTAACTGGAATTTGTTTCCGAGTGAAAGACATAATTTTTGCATTTCTCAATATTTAAACCTAGATTGTTTTTCTCACACCAACCACAGAGATTTTTTATATTTTCCTGTAGAAAGTTACAGTCTGATACATCATCTACTTTCCTGAAGATTGTCATGTTGTCTGCATATAATAGTTTATGGGAATTTATGGAGTTCGTGATGTCATTGATAAACAGGAGGAATAAAAGTGGTCCTAAATTTGAACCCTGAGGAACACCCGAAGTAGCTACGAATGTGGGTGATTTGACAACTTAATATTCGACTAATGAATTCCTATTCGATAAATAGAATGATTAGAGGTTTACTGTCTTGAAATCTCGTATTTTCAACATCTCTGAGATGTTTTGTGCTCGCTGTATCAGTCCAGTAACTTTGTCGCCTGAACATATGAGTATGCGTCAAATCCGGTAGTTCTGATTTTTTGCAGACTTATTCATGATGTTGGCCTAATGAATGATCCAAGTTTGTTACCTCGAGCACCGAACGCAACTTTGTCAAAAATCGAAAAAAAAACACGAAAAAAATCGTAATTTTTTCAAATTTTGGCGATTTTAACCCTGAAGGACTAGTTTTTGAAAAAAAAATCTCTCTGGACGTTTTTAAAGCAGATCAATTTTGCTACAACGTGATACAAAAACTGTCTCTGTAGACCCAATAGTTTTGGAGATTAAGCCTTTCAAAGTTTATAATTTTTTTCGAACTTCGCAATTTTTTGCAATGTTTTAGGCGTCACTCGAATATACTCTAGCGGGATGAAGTTTAAATTACCTCCGACGGAGTGTACTAGTACTGTTCGTGTGGAGTCACGAATGCGACTCACCTGTATCACGTTTTCAAACTTTTTAGGCAATCTTAACCACGGGAATTTTCAGCTGGCAAGATGGCGCCTGGTTGTAGGACCTAAGTATTGGTTCTATCTCAGGTACCTGCTACACATCCTTTGGTTTCTCATGATTGATTCTGTTGTTAGATCCTTTCTCTTGATGGCTGCTATCCACATTTCTCTTCTTATTCTTGATAGATTTTTTATCTGTGGATGATGCACAGAGTTTTTCACAGAATCAAAGTAGGAATGTGAAGAAACTAAGCAAATTTTCCCGATCTGCACGGCTTCCACTATCCACCACAATACACGTTACCCGCATTTTTCACAATAAATCAAACCAAAACTGAATAAAATAATACCCCTAATGGTTTCCAAAATCCACCAAGTCCGCAAGTATATAAACGAACGAGTCACTTGTTTGTTCGCCTGCCAGACGTCATTTCGAAATGATTTGAGAGGTCGTTAGATTGTTGTTGACTGTCCTGCTGCCCATAACCTCAACCGGGACCTTCCAAGAGGGCTAAATTAATCTAATTTTTTAATCTTTATTATTAATCTATTTCCTAACAAATAAACTCATTAACTTTTGTTGTACTTATTTTTTTTATTCCATTATTCGTAGCTCAGCTTAAACATACTCGTTCACACTCCTCATTTTCTTTCTTATCATCTCATCATGAAAGTACAGGGCTTCGATTGTATAATCAGGGTCAAAATTCAATCAGAACGACAGGGTTGCAAAAAATTGCGAAGTTCGAAAAAAATGATAAACTTTGAAAGGCTCAATCTCGTTAGCTAATGAGTCTACAGAGACAGTTTTTATATCATATTGTAGCAAATTCGGTCTACTTCAAGAACGTTCTGAAACTAGTCCTTTAGGGTTATAATTGCCAAAAATTGAAAAAAAAAACGATTTTTTCTCAGTTTTTTTTTATTGATTGTCTTTATTACCCCAAGAAACATAGTTGTTTATAATAGGGATATATAAACAATATACATAATGTTATTCATGCAATATCAACCTAGTCTTTTATAAATAGGTATTCAAATAAGAAATGGAATTATCAAAGTCTCTGAAGCAGATATTTTTTCAAGTTAATTTTGAATCTAGTTGCTTCCTGTATATTCCTCAATTGACTTGGTAATGAGTTGTATAGAACGATTCCTGTGTGAAAAATTGATTGTTTGCCGATATTTGACTTGAACGTATTTGCTATTAGTAAATTTGATTGTCTTGTTCCATGATTATGTAATGAATTGATTTCATTGAAATTTAAATTCGAAATTTTCAATTTATATAGGACAAATTGAATAAAACAACATATTTTAAGTTTATATAGTGATGTCAGATCTAATAAATCTCTAGGTTTGTATAAATTCATGGTTGGTTCAAGAAAATTTAAATTGAAAATACACTTCAATGTTTTATTTTGTAATTTCATTAGTGGACTCAAACGTGAAATATTGGTACTTTCCATATAGATATTAGGTATTGAAATTCTGAGTAAATAAGAGAGAAATAAATACTCTTCAAGTATCTGGTAGAAATGAAATTTCGTATTTTGAATAAAATGCCTCTGTAATAGGATTAAGTTTGTTCCTCAAATGATCTATATGTTTATTCCACAATAGTCGTTCATCAATATAAAGACCTAAAAATTTCGTAACATCTGTATATTTGATGAGTTTATTGTTGAAGGATAGTGTTCTATTTGAAATGTTCAATGTTCTTTTTGCTATGTACATATATGAGGATTTATTATAATTGAGAGATAGTTTATGAACTTGTAACCAAGAGGATATTTTCTCTAAATCACTTTTCATGTCCATGATAATATTATTTGAATCTTTAGAGAAATAAATCAATGTCGTGTCATCTGCAAATAATTTAAGTTTTCCTCTCAATTCCAAGTTTGATATTGAATTTATGTAGATCAAAAATAAAACTGGTCCCAAGACTGACCCTTGCGGTACACCGCATGAGATGTTCATTAAGGAGCTACAAGTACCACTCGAAGTTGCGTTCGGCGCTCAAGGTCACTTGGATTATTCATTAGGTCAACATCATGAACAAGTCTGCAAAAAATCAGAACTACCGGATTTGACGCATAGTGTGTTGTATAAAGTTACTGGATTATATACAGTGCTACTAATAATCATCTCGCGGCACTACAGGTACGAGGTGGTACTAGAAGACTCCTGCAAGCGGCTGGAGGAAAAGATCCGGTGGATCCCGGAGGCGAGACCCAGACCTCCACAAAGCGACTTCTGCGAGGACACCTCCTGCGGGTTCGCGGAGGACCGGCGGAGTTCCGATCTGGAGGAGTTCATGGGGGAGAGTCCGGTGGCGTTCTCGGACTACGGGAGTTTGCCCAGGAAGAGGTATACCACGTGGTCGAGGTGCAGCCCCAGCGCTTACCTGAGGCAGCTCACGCACATGAGGAGGCAGATCGTGAGGTCGTCGCGGGAGGATTTGGATAGCGAGGGGTTCCAGTGATGGGGGTGGTTTTTTTCTCGTGGGGCAACCGTGTATTGTTTGGATTAGGTTTGTACTATTTTTTTATATTGATACTGAGATGATTCGTATTGTTTTAGCTGAATGGATTCTTGAATAAAAATATGTAAATGTGGTTATTTCATGCAGTTAATAGTATCAGAGATATGTGTTTTTTGAAACTTCTCAGACAGTGCAAAGTGATTCTGAGAATGTTCTCACAAGGTCCGCTGAATGTTCTGACAATATTTTGAGTACATATGCAGATGTGACAAAAATTCACGTTCTAAGAACGTTGTCATAATATTTTTCAGATCATTCTAGAATATTCAGACAATCCTCAGAAATGATCTAGAAATTAATATGCTCAGTATACCGGGTATCTTAAAATAGGAATATATGTTCATAATGGGTCATAACAGAACTGTATGTTCCAAAAGTGGCCATTAGGTTGATATTCATTAGTTTCTGCACACCAATCGGGTAGGAAGAAAGTTAAATTGGAGAAAATATCAATAAATTTGAATCCACATTTTTACCGCAGCGAAACGGATTTTGAATAATCAATGAAGAATCGATTTTTTCTGAAAAATTTGACTCGCTGTGTATCAAAAACGAAGCAATTAAATACATGTTTATAGGAAAGAATATTTTTTCTAAATACTGTCTGTAGGTTAATCGAGTAAGTGGTACATTCATTGTACAAGTTTTTTTTCTTTTTCATAATTAATATTCATGAATAAAACCAGCCCTATACAACTTCCACATTCAACGAGCGAATATTGTCTTCAAAAGAAATAACGACGCAGTAAGGATCATTTCATGATGATTTTAGAACACACAATTCTGAAATATAGTGTGTTTGAGAAAAAGTGCTACACATAATTATATCTGTATCACTTTCCATTATACACTCAGTTACGCACTTGATATTTGACCTATCTTCTTAAAAACAAAACAAAAAATAATAGGCCGATTTTTATTTATTTTTAATTTGTTGGTGGGTGATGCATTTGTCTTTAAAAAAAATGAAGGTGAAATTTTTTTCAAAGTTTCCTTGATGGTGGTGGAATAACTCGAACCGTGATTTATTCTGAATTTTTTACTCACCCTGTGTGTTAATTGAGTGATGCCATAGAAAATGCTTGCATCCTTCACGAAAGAGGCTTCTTTTGCGAGCATTTTGTTTCTTTATTCATTGATTTATCTCTAAAATTTTTCGAATTACAGCTTTTTTTGCTTAATCCTTGCAGATTACCAACTTTCTGAATTTATCGAGAAACAATTTTCTAATGAAATAAACTGATACCAATAATTTTAAAAAACATGTTTATTAAACACAAAATTATAAATTGGGATGACTGCTTGATACCGTTTATTGCCTCCTCTAGCAACTCTAAGAACTTCTAATCTACGAGACATACTGGAAATTAAGTTGCTTATCGTTTCCATTGGTACACGATCCCATTCTTCCACTAATGCATCTGCCATTTTTGCGAGACTTTCCGGAGATCTCTCGCGAGAACTTACCCTTCTCCCTAATTCATCCCACAAATGTTCTATAGGATTCATATCGGGGCTTCTCGCAGGCCATTGTAATGTGGTAATACTAGCAGCTTCCAAGAAGTTTCGCACTATTGCTGCGGTGTGTGGTCGAGCATTATCCTGCATCAATATAAAATTATTGCCCACTAACTCTGCATAAGGTAAGACATACTGCTCTAAAATGTCAATGTGAATTTGGACATTCATCGACTGAATCACCGAAAAAACATAAAGGGGTGTCTTTCCATTCATTGAAATTCCTCCCCACACCATAACGGACCCACCATTAAAACTTTCGCATTCTGTTATTAAATTTTGATCAAACGTTCACCAGTTCTTCTCCACCTTCTTTTCCTTCCATCCTTAAGGCAAAACCTTGACTCATCCGTAAACAACACATTCGACCATTCAGGAATATTCCACTGTCCATAATTTTCAACAAAATTTCTTCTAGCAGCACGATGTTCGGGCAAAAATTCGCAGGTCCCCTAGCTTTTAAATTAACTTCATTTAGACGTCTATACATACCGTCTGCTTACTTACTGCAACATCACGAATTTGGCGAAGATCTTGCTGAACATTTACCGCAGTATTTGATCGATTCCGTAAAATCCGCAATCTCAAGAAGCGATCATCTCTTGGAGAAGTTTTTCGGGGGCGATCAGAACCGACCCTCCGAGCGGTGCTTCCTGTTTGTTCGTACTTGCGGATTGCTCTTCGAGCAGTTGCTTCATGAACTCTCACTGCACGAGCGGCGTAACGTTTACTACGCCCAACTAACCTTGCTACTTGTTCAGGATTTATTTGAGGCATTTTATGTAATTTTAGTCAATAAAACAAGACACTTAATTAATGACACAACGACAAATGGTCAAATATGGAGGCATACAACAAATTATTTGCTATGGCAACGGCATTTGTTTTTTTAAAGACAATGTGATCCTACCAGAGTACAACCCAATCAATTTTGAGTACTCTGATCCTTCAATAAATTCAATTTTTGCGATAAGCGTAAGGTATCAGCAAAAAAGCTGTAATTCGGAAAATTTTAGAGATAAATCAATGAATAAATAAACAAAATGCTCGCAAAAGAAGCCTCTTTTGTATAGGGTGCAAGCACTTTGTATACCATTACTCAATTAACTCACAGGGTGAGTCAAAAATTAAGAATAAATCATGGTTCGAGTTATTCCACCACCATCAAAGGAGGCTTTGGAAACATTTTCATCTCTTTATTCTTTTTCAAAGACAAATGCATTACCTACCAACAAATAAAAACAATCGGCCTCTAATTTTTGTTTTGCTTTTGTTTTTAAGAAGATAGGTCAAATATCAAGTGCGTCACTTTTTTTGGAACTGAGTGTATATACCGTTTAAATACAGCAAAGAATACAGTTATGAAAATATATATAATTTTTCAAAATTCACTTTTATTTTTGACCATTTTTGAATTATTATTATAATTTCGACTCGAAACTCAAACTTGCACCATAATAATCACACCTGTGCTGTACTCAGAATACAGAAAATTGGAGGGTATTTTTTCTGGTCAATACATGGTCAAAAATTTGTCGAAGATATATTTATGCACTGCGGGGATTGAAAGGCTATTTTTAACTCTCTTTTGAGGGGTTAAAGTGGCACTTTAAATCTCTCAGGGATATAAAGTAAATACTGACATTCTTCTCATGTGCTATAGCAGCACCTTCAAGGCATATCACTTTTTAATATGATTACCACCCCCATACAACACAGGATATCCTATGGACGTCCAAATCATGTCCAATTCATGTCGGGATATCCTTGGACCTTTTTGGATATCCATAGGATATCCAAAATTCACCCGCGCGGATATAATCAATGTAATAAATTGTGAATATGAATTAAATTGATGAAAATTCAAATCTATGTGTGTACATAGTTATATTACTAGGAAATATATAATATATCGAATATGGATATCCAATGGATATCCATGGGATATCCTGTATTGGAGCATTGAACCACGTCGTTGAACAATAACGCCCAGAATAACATAGAGATGTCGGCAGTGTCGGACTCACCAAACATATTTTGGATGTCCATGTGGGTCCCATATATTTAATAACAACTATATGGGTAACGTCCTATCCTTTCCTTGTTCAAAATTGAATCCAGTGTTGAGAAACAAATGACAGTCTGCGAGACAATGAATAATCATACGTTCACTCGCCAGCTAACAGATGCGCATAGAACAGAGTAGAACTGATGTCGTTTATTGTGTTCGGCTCATGCGCCTTAGTATCAATTTGCCCGTAGACTGTCTTTTGTTATCAATTTTTTGGCTTCAATTCAGAGATCTTGTCACCCATATAGATGTTATTAGATATATGGTGGGTCCATGACGCGAACGCAGACTACAGAACTCAAATAAGTTCTGACTTCTGTGCCACTGTCATTTTCTATCCAATGTGACTTGTGACAGTTGTGACTGTGACCTGAGAGTCCTGAGACTGTGACAATAAAGGTCAACAGCATCAGAGCATCAGCACGCATTACGCATCAGACTGTTCTCATATTTTATCTGAATGTTGATATCAATGATATCTTGATTTGATTATTTTTGTCGTTGTTTGAGATTACCCAAAAGTTCTTGAACGATGTTCTATGGACGTTATTGAAGGATATTTCATGGACGTCCGTGAAGGATATCCTATGGACGTACAAGTTGGTGGCCTCAGGACATCCATTGGACGTCCATGGGATATCCATTGGACGTTATTTGGATGTCCATTGGATATCCAAAATATCCTGAATGGATATCCTATGGACATCCATCGGATGTCCATGTGTTGTATGGGCCTATATTAGTCAGCATAGCTGACAAATATAAACTACGATAATACCGCTACGAGTTGGAGCAGAGCCTTCCATTATTCACTTTTTTATTCCACTCTTATTTTTTCAACAACTGAAGTGCTTGAAATAGTATATAAATTTCCGGACTAAAGTTTATGTTTAATACCTCAGCAAATTCTAGCCTTTCCTCCGGTTTAGCTACATATATCTGGATAAAAGTGTCTCTTAGTCGACAAAAATTTCGTGGAGAAAAAAAGAAAAACGCACATTTGAAGATAATGTGAAGATTTGAAGCAATATCATCTGACCATCGCCTCTTCGTGTGTTTCAGCTGTTCGGAATTCCAGAAATTAACAAACGGAGCATTAATTCAAAGTGAACTCCGAGGCGACAAATACGTGGCTCGACATTTTATGTGCCATAACAATTGGAAATTTCGACCGGAAAAAAGGGAAAACTGCCACAATTAAAAGCCGAAGTTTCGTGCCTGGCTCCGCTCCATGTCACCACGATAATAACTGTGAGAGTTGTATGGGAGATTTATGTGTCATTCAGAAGTTTTCAGAATATGAAGTTCTGTGGAGTTTCCTAGGTAATTTTTATAATTCTCTCATTATCTAATCAACGAGGTATCTCAATCGTAGCCACTCAAGAATCGATTTTTCATTATTAATTTTGCTCACTATATTATTTATTGAAAATATGTGACTTCCAGCCAGAATCAAGTCCTGTTATAAGGAAGTATAGTTGACATTATAACCTAAAACTATACAATGGGGAAGTTTCCTTCAGATGGATTTACACAAAATAAGTTCGGAACTCTCCAGTTTTATGTCCACGCTTTCCAGAATGGCGACCGATAAAGTCCGAGTCGTTTTCATTTTGAAATTAAAGCAATTTCTAATTTTCAAAGCGGCAAACTGTGACGTACATTCTGAATCTAGTCTGAAAATAGTTGATGGTGAAGAATATAGCTAGCGAATTTGCGGGAATCAATGTTACCAGGTGGCGCTCGGTTTTCATCGTTCCATGTCAAAGCCACGTCAAAACTGGGGGAAAAACAAACTCAATCCTCACTCAATCCCATAAGTGCCATTAGCTTGTGTACTATGTACTGATAAGAGTGATAAGTTTTTAAATTTCTTGACATTAATTGTCAATATTCGATCGAAAACGCTAATATAATGCCTGTTGTAGATGTTCTTTTGGCAGATATTTTGCTCTATTTAGACGGAAAAAGCCGACCAGTAGTGGAAGGAGAAGCAGTTCTCCGTGCTAATCATGTGATTTTGTGTGAGGCAGATGACTTCAACAAAAGGCACATTTTTGCATTTTGTCTACAAACTTCGGCGATGAAATCTTCCCCGCACATGAAGTAAAATTGAAGTTGGGGTCCAGAGGAACTCCTGTAGAACAATGGATTTGTATTTGTTCATGCAAAGCAGGACAATATGGGTATTGTAAACATGTTGTAGCTGTATTTTTATATGTCAATAATTAGTTTGAATTGTTTGAACTATCCCCAATTCTTCAGCCGTTCACTGTTCACTAAACTACTAAACTAATAAAAATGTAATAATGTAAAAAAATTAACCAACTCAACCAACAGTGCCAACACCTTATGTCATTGACAAGTTTGGCTACAGCTACAGCAAGCTGAAAGCAATGTAGTCTATGCACTTTATCCATAGACAACAGTTTGTTTTCCCCCAGTTTGAAGTTCGTTATATGTAACCTAGATGTCGCCCACTTCGTGAATCTCGCGAATAGGTAACGAATGAAAAATAAAGAAGAAGAAATGAAACTGGTAAACAAAAACAAACATAACCACAAATGCATTTCGGAGCAGGAATGCGTTTCATTCTGACAGGTTATGGTTTTGTAATTTATGCATTGAAATATCTCGAATAGAGTCCGATCCTGAACGAAAATATCATCAAATCAATTAATCACTATCGGCTACATTCATTCAATGATACTATCCTTCCTAATTTACTGTCATCGGTCAGAACAGAATGAAGCCGACACCCATGGCTCCTTCCTCTTGTTGTGCCTGTCAGTAGTTTGAGTAATGTGGACGGACTCGAATTATTAGGCGCTGTTGCAAGTTATAATCTGCAACTTTCTTAGAAAATAGATCCGTTTTATTAAAGTACGAATTTATGAGCAAAAAATTACTGAGAAGTTATGTAATTAATACCATCGCAAAATATCATAATTTATCTTTATTAGTATAATCAACTTCATTCAGCCAATGAAAAATTGAAAAACTAAAAACTGTATTAGGAGTCCATGTTTTGATATCTGGGCATAACTTTCAATTGTAAACAACTTTAATTGATAACATTTTGCTGAATTTCCTGAAATAAGGGTACGCATTTACTCTTGAGCAATTTTTATATTATTTAACCTACCCTGTATGCTGTGTGACTTGCAACCATTCTAAGTGCACCTAAAATGAATCCCGAACATGCACCAACTTTCGGCACTATCTATATTTTAGTTGTGGGATTCATTAAAAATATTCCCATATATTGCACACTTAAATGACCACACTGTATATTAATTTTTTACAAACTTCACAGTGAGATGAGAACCTCAATAAAGGAAACTTCCCCATTATAATAAACTCATAAATAATATAATATTTGAATAGATTATGTATCAAATTTTGATAAATCATTTCATATTGGTGAGCAACAATCAATTTGAATATGAATCAAAAGTTGAAAAAAAATCATCTATTTCGTTCAGAAATGATAAATTCTTCAACTAGGTATTTGCATTTTATTGTATTTCTGCAATTTTTTATATTGTTGAGTGTCTACAGTGTGTCCCACTTACCATGCTCACCATGGGTATCTTTTCAACAATCGGTTAAATGACACCAAATGTGGAGTTTGTCAAGGCCAACTATAATGTGAAAAAGTATTTCGATAAAATCTATTCGTTTTTGTTTTATACGCAAAAAACAGAGTTTGATCATTTTCATGCCTCCTCCGTAACTTCTTTATTTATGAAAATATTCAAATAGGAATTTCACATTCTCATGGCAGTTTTTCATTCAGTGATTTCGAAAAAAATATGAAATTTATACCAACTCTTCTAGAATTTGAGATATCAGCACCAACTTTAGTTTTTCAAATGTAGGCCATAGCTCACTACTTAGTTACAAATAACTTTTTGGAGGCGGACAAGATTTGGTCCAATTCCATTCAAAATTGGTAAGTGGGGGTTTTTGATGTCGGAGATCATGATTTTTTTGTTGAAATTTATGAATTCAAGATGGCGGCTTCCAAATAATTTTTTGTTTTTGTATAAATGACGATAACTCCGTTGTTATCAACACAAAACTATTACTGTGACATATCATCTGTAAGAGAAAAAAAAGTTATTTGTAACTAAGTCATAGTGAGCTATGACCTACATTTGAAAAACTAAAGTTGGTGCTGATATCTCAAATTCTAGAAGAGTTGGTATAAATTTAATATTTTTTTCGAAATGACTTTGAAAAACTGCCATGAGAATGTGAAATTCCTATATGAATATTTTCATAAATAAAGAAGTTACGCAGGAGACATGAAAATGATCAAAATATGTTTTTTGCGTATAAACAAAAACGGATAGATTTTATCAAAATATTTTTTCACATTATAGTTGGCTTTGACAAACTCTACATCTGGTGTCATCAGTAACCGACCTCGTATCTCTCACCGTTAAAAAGATACCCATGGTGAGCATGGTGAAGTGGGACACACTGTATTTCCTATTCGGAAATTAAAGTCACATGGTATAGAATCTGATGATTGAGGAGGATGTGGAACTAAAGTTGGATCTTTGCCCTCTAGGAGAAGAAAATGATCTGAATATGCATGTAAATCTGCTGAACATGAATCTGAATAACTCTGACCTGGTTCAGTATTTGTTTTTTCAGATTTCTCTATTCAATAGAAAGTGAAAAAATCACATGAAACAAATGGAAATTAAACCAATATATTTTATTGAAACATCTCATTTAGTACAATAATTATATGTATGATAAACACAAATAATGCAGCAGGATCCCTTACAACGAGATCCTGTAAACTGCATCCACAAGTTTTGTGTCTCAATTTAATAATAACTTAATTCTTAAAACATACAAAAAAAACTGATCAGTAAGTAGGTGAAATGAGAAATCAAGAAAAAGACGTTCCCTCGAGTTGGTTCATTGATTATCATCTTTGGAAATCATTCATTTCGATTCTGATTCATTTTTTCAAGAAGCCACAGCACAAAAATGAATTACCAATCATTTGGTTCCATTGAAATCTTGTGTTATTGGGAAATAATAATAATTTAACAAATAATGTGTGAATGTCACCAGCTTTAGAAGTTTTTGACTTGTTTTTAGTAAAAAATAACTATTCCAAAACTGCGTATTCAGTGGTTTGAATTAAAATGATTCAAATGAGATTGATTCACAGAATGAGGCCCATTTCTTGAAACAGACCTTTCCCATTTACTGAACAGTTTTGGCTGAGACCACATTTATATATAAAAAAAATTATTCAACGTTCATCAAAATTAACGAAGAATATAGTTTCAAATATTGCAAGTCAAGAAACAGTTACAAAATTTAACACAACAATAACCTTCAGAGTGACACCAAAAAAATCAACACATTTTTTACTCCAAACTGACAGCCAAAAATGAAGTGATTTACTTTAGTGTATAAAAGTTGTGAGATCTTCAAGGAAATCTAGACATTGATTTTTCCCAATTTTTTTCTAAGACTACGACGGTTTGAAACTTCCCCTAAAACATGAATTCTGGCATATTTCACAGTTTCATATGTAGATTAGCTCAATTTACATTTGGATTTGTAAATTATCCTGACTTTATAATATATCAATCTGAATATTGAACCCTAATTCATCTGTGAATTAGTTTCTAATTCAATTCAATACCTTTCAACTATATTTCAATCATCATTTGATTGATTCAACTGACTATTTGTCTTTATTCAATTCTCAAGTTGCATTTGTAAAATTAGACTTATTTCAGTTACATCTGAATATTGAAACTCAATTGATATGTAAACGGATTCAAATTCAATTCAATATACCCCTTAACTGTAACTTTAACTTGATTAGAAGATACATTACAGTAGCATCTGTGAATAACTTCATCCACAGTTGTATAGAAAACGTATTTATCTGTGAATCCGGTTCGAATTCACTTCAATAAGCTCTTATCGTGTTTCAATTTCAAATCAAATGTTTTCAACTTTAAAATTGCCAAATTCACAAGTTGTAGTCGTTAAATTCGTTGATTTACAGATGCATCTACAAACTAGCCTAGTTCACAGTTGCAACAGTTGCATTGTACAGTGTGTCCAGTTTTCGATGTTTTAGAGCGATATCTCTGTTATCTTTGGAGATAAAGTGTTTCGGTTGTCACATTACTGCCTTACTTTTTTGTGAAACGAATAATGCCGCGAACAGAATTTTCATTATCATTCATGTTTTTGAGATACAGAGCAAAGTGCAAAGTTGAAACTACTCACTTTTTGAGCACATCCCATTTCACGGTTACTTTTCAACTTATCGGCCGGACGATAACATTGTAAGTATAATACAGTGACGTACTCATTTTATTTCTGTAATCGCTGATTATTAGAAAATGAAGCCAACATTTTTTTTTTTTCAAATGGGAAATCCTGTATATTTCTAATCAGTACGATTCAGATTTCCTATAGCTCATCGAAAATAGATGAGTTTTTTTAGAAAAACATTTTTTTTTACTGTATTTTCTAAAAATGAGCGATTTAAAAAATAATGAGTTCGCCACTGTCTTATACCTAGAAAGTTATACAAGGTGATTCTAAAATAGGTGGTCAAACTTTGGGAGCATATAGAGTGGGCGAAATAGTTACGAAAACCTCTGTAACATTTTTTTCTGAAGTGACCCCCAAGAAAGATACAGCCCCTCAAAGGGGGGCCTCGGAGAATAATTTTGTATTATTATCTCCAACACCTTGTGTAATGAAAATCTGAAATTTTGTCCATCCACTTACTATTCAGTGCCGGTTCGGATGGAATTAAAATCACCTCAAAATTAAATAGAGGGGTGTGTCAAAATAGGGAGGTAGGGGGTAAAAATAACCCCAACTTTTTTGTTCATCGCAATTTCAGTTTTTTGACATGAAATTATGAAATCTCAGGGCTATTTACATAGAAAAGGTAATCTTGTTGCATCTCGATAAAATGAACTATTAGCCAATAAAATTTAAAATAAGCTTGTTTTTAACAATATTTTTCATTTTAGTATTTTCAATAGGATAGACCATAATCGAAACTCGTCGTCTATTTTTTATTCATGAATTCCGACATCGAATTCCGACATCGAATTCGAAATTTCCAACCCCAAAAACCCTAACAAACCAATTTCGAATCGAATCGAACCATAATCACAAATCTGATCAGCCACATTGGAGCCGCCATATTTTTTTCTATCAAAAAGTCCATAACGCGTTGTCAACTGTCATCTGCCAGATTCCAAGTTGATCAGACGATTAGAAGTAGGTAAAAATTCAGTTGCAAGATTTGAACTAGATAATTAAACTCAAGTGCATACCAAAATTGCAATTTAAATAAAATCTTGGAAAAATAAATTTTATTCGCTAATGGTTCAGTTTATCGAGATTCAACAAGAGCTCCTTTTCTATTTAATAGCCCTGTGATTACATAATTTCATGTAAGCAAACTGAAATTGCGATTAACAAAACAGTTGGGGTTATTTTTGCACCCGACCTCCTTATTTTGACACACCCCTGTATTTAATTTTGAGGTGATTTCAACTCCATTCGAACCGGCACTGAATAGTTAGTGGATAAACAAAATTTTAGATTTTCATTATACAAGGTGTTGAAGATAATAATACAAAATCATTCTCCGAGCCCCCCCTTTGAGGGACTGTATCTTTCTTGGGGGGCACTTCAGAAAAAAATGTTACCGAAGTTTTCGTAATTATATCACTCACTCTTTATACTAATCACCTTGTATAAGACCCCGTTCTCATCCTGCCGATAAGTTGAAAAGTAACCAACATAGGAGGTGCTCAAAAAGTAGAATTTTCAACTTCACCATGTATCTCAAAAACATAAAGGACTAAAAATGGATTTATACAGCACAAATTCACACTAAATTCCAACTCTAACTAAAAAGTTGAACCTCTTATTAGACATGGTTAATTTTATGCAGAGAAATTAAAACTAAACTTGAGCTATCAAGTTAGCCAACTTTCAACTTTCTAATGTAAATGTTAATTTTTGAGACTACTGACTGCGCAACTCATGGCGTCGAATTTTGTAACCTCCAAATTATGATTGACGTTTTTTGGATTTTTCGATACTTTTACCTGTGCTCTGTGAAAATTATTTCTATGTAAAGTCTTCTTATTATAATGGCAAACGAGGATGTCCCATTGATTGATCTCATTTGCCAATTGCTTCTTCGCTTTTATACACATACACTGAATACACACGGGTGAATTTTGTTGCATAAAATACCATCAAAATAGAAGATTAATTTGTATACTAGTCAAGTTCAGTTCAAGTTGAGTTTGTTTTAATTGTGCTACATAAATCCACCTGATGAAAATTCTTTTTGCGGCATTATTCGTTTCACAAAAAAGGAAGGAAAACCGCATCTCCAAAGATAACTGAGATATCCCACAAAAGCATCGAAAACTGGACACACTGTACATTTAAACCTAATTCACAGATAAATGAATGTGAATGAAGTTATAATTCAAGATGGAAGAAGTGTACATCGTTCATATCAATACAATAGTTGCTACTGTAAATTTGAACCTAATTTATAGTAGCATCTGTAAATTATAACTTGCAGTTGCATCTGAGTATTGAGAGCTTAGTAAAAACAATTCAATAATCCTTCAATTGCTTTCAATAGTCAATCTACTGTTAGGTAATTTTTTTTTTTTTGTAAAATTTGTATATCGCTACTTCAAAGTTGGGAACCAACTCCCCAGAAGTCGAAACTTGTGCGGGGTTAGGAAGGTTCTGATAATACTTCCAAATGGTGTTCAACTATGTAATTTACGGGTGCAATTTTAAATCAGGCTAACTCAACAAAAGCAACTGTGAATTGTGTAAGAAAAATTACTGTTCTAGCAGGACAGTACCAAGCCATCGTAGAATACCACTCCAAAGGTTCTGAAACATTTACAAATTTAAAATTCCTCAACTGCCAACATGCATCTCAAAAACTATCTTTACCTTCGAAATATAAACTATGATTCATTAGGCTTATCACAATAATATATTTACAAAGTGTTTCATCCTTATTTATTGAGATACTCTCATTTAGTTTGGTGTGAATAGACGTCAATAGAGAGCGAACGTACATACATAAATAGGTATGTATAACTTAACCTTTCTTTCTTCGGAAATATCTAATTATTATCATAAAAATCACACGTTTGTTTCATATTGTTCAGAGCGAAAAATACTTTTTGTGCAAGCACCAGATGAATTTTGAAGTCTTTTTTTCTTAGTTATAATCCATAACGGAGGAAACTTGAGGCGATAAAATAATTTGTTCAAAATTTTGATTTCCATGGGATGTCCTTCAAAGTCTACAAAGTCGATATTTTTCTATAGAATAAATAAATATTGCATTTTCTGAGAAGAGGAGTTACAAGAATTATCAAAGTAAGATAAGTAATTTAATGGCACTCCTTCTTTTGTATTTTTTATATATCTGCAATTATTTCTAATTTTGAAATAAACTGACTGAAAAAAGTTAAGGATTCAGTGCATTCTTTTCATGACTGCATTCATGTTTTTCATCATCTTTGGAAAATATTTATGAGTAGGTATCCTAACTTTTCTCCTTAAGTTTTGATAACAAAATACTACGTCAATATATGTATCTAAAAAACTGGTTTTTGGATTCAAACATTCAGAGAGGCACCACTTTCAATATAAAATTATTTAAATTTTCGACAATGTTACTTTACTAAAATCGTCCATTTGCTGGAGGTGAATAGTTCAGTCGTCTTCTTTCTTCTCGGGTTTGAGATCGACCATCGCATGGAGTTCTTCTGGGGTGTATCTGTAAAAAGAATATTCATCAGAAAACATGAAATGAGAAAAATCTCATCTTATTCACGATTTGATAGGCTTAGAGAACCATTTTGATATGGACTCCAACCAGAGATCTATAGAATGAAATAAAATAGATTTTCGTAAATAAATATTATCAGATTGAAAAATTCATAAATGTTCAAACTGAATTATCTCAAGAGCATCTTTCTGGAGTTATCACTTTTATACATAGCATTGCAGTATAATATATCATTATTCTCAATGTTGGAAGATTCTATTATCTTGGACGTGAATCTTCAAAAAACTAAGACCGTGAATACAATATTTGGTAAAACTGCACTTATCATGTGATGGTTTTTCTTCAAAATTTTTTTTTGTACTCACGTCTTTTTGTCTGAAAAACACGAATTTGATAATGAAAATGTGAACAAACCATTATTTATTAAGATATTTCCTTCGCCAAAGCTGTAGGAAGAAACTTCACTTCCAGCTCGTTTCCTCCTCTAACCAAGGAAGATCGAACACTAGCCACAACTGCCCAGGAGAAAGCCAACATTTTTGCGCATTTATTTGCTGGAAATTCCACTCTGGATTCATCGGGAAAACAACCTCCAAACATAACGCCAATTGACAGTCATATGCCCGAGAACACCTTTCGCCAACGAACTATAAGGAAGATTTTATTGGGTCTCAACACCAACAAAGCTTATGGCTCCGATGGAATCCCACCGATAGTTCTCAAGAAATGTGCTCCCGAACTAACACCTGTTCTCTGCAAGTTGTTCAACTACTCTTACAAATTGGGGATATTCCCGTCCAACTGGAAAATTGCAAGAGTACAACCAGTTCCTAAAAAAGGCAAAAAGACCCTACCTAACAACTACAGACCGATCGCACTGCTATCTATAATTTCAAAGATCATGGAGAAAGCTATCAACATCGAGCTCATGAAATACCTGGAACATTCAGATATCATCAACGATAGACAAATGGCTTCCGTCATCAGAGATCCACTGGTGACCTGCTCGCTCACGTCTCACATATATGGCAGCAATCTATTGAAAAATATGGTGAAACCTTAGCCGTGGCACTTGATATCTCCAAGGCATTCGATCAAGTCAGGCACCACGGACTCCTCGCCAAGCTTCCATCTTATGGCTTGCCTCCCCAGCTATGTTCTCTGCTAGCTAGTTTTCTCTCAAACAGGTTTCTCCTACAGTGGTCGACGGAGTTTCTTCTGACTCTCTTACCATAAATTGTGGAGTTCCGCAAGGATCACTTCTAGCACCAACACTATTTCTACTCCATATCGACGATTTGTTGGAAGCAACTTCATGTCCAGTACACAGATTCGCGGATGATAGTACCCTCCATACCGCCTTCTCTTCCAGGGCTCCAATACCAGCCAGGCGAATCAGAAACGAACGAGGGAGAAATGTTGACAACATAAATATGGACTTGGCAACAATTCTCAATGGGGATCGAATAACTTGGTAGATTTCAATGCGAACAAATCACAAGCATGCCTTTTCTCTAGAAAAGTCGTCTCACTGTGCCCAAAATGAGCTTGTCAGGAGTAACCTCGGATCGATGCTTGGTATTATCAGTAATGGAAAATCAGATGAGATCAATTGCTGAAAGTACATCACGAAAACTTGGATTTCTGTTTTGGGCCTGGAGCTATTTCACTTCCAGTCAGCTGCTTATGATCTATAAGGCATAGATCCGACCTGTCCTGGAATACTGTTGCCATATTTGGAGTGCAGCACCCAAACATACCCTGAATCTGTTGGATTCTGTCCAAAAAAGGGCAATTCGTCTCGTGGGTGATGCCTCGCTCACAAACTCACTCACTCCTCTAGAACACTGTAGAAAAGTTGGCGAGCTGGCTCTATTTTATAGATATTTTCATGGACGATGCTCTTCTGAAATATCAACAATTGTACCTCCCTTGGCAGTTCCCGCGAGATTAACCCCTCGAGTTGAGGCATCGCACCCCTTCATGGTCACTTTGAAGACCTGCAGAACATCTCTTTCCAAAGACTCGTTCATCCAACGAACAGCGAGGCTCTGTAACTCATTGCCTAGGGACGTGTTCCCCGAGGCATATAACCTCCAGAAATTTAAGAAGAACACCAATTCCTACCTTCTTTCCCTTGGTTCTCACGATGTTCTCTGAACACTACAGGATATCCCTTTTCGTGGGAACCAGAACATAAAAAAAAACTAGCAATGCCAATAAAACGCAACTTGTTTTAAAATCACTGGTATGGAATTTTCGGGAAAAAAATCGCATGATAAGTGCAGTTTTTTCCAATATTTTTCTGGAACGTTGAAAAAAAAAAAGGAAATCGCCTTCGGTACTCACCCGAGCAAGGTCTGCAGATCGCACACGAACCGGTAGACGTACCGCTTGCCGGCCGTCTTGTGGATGATGTTCTTGTCGTAGTAGTAGCGCAGGCCGCGCGACAGCTTCTCGTAGTTCATCTTGGGCTTGTTCTTGCGCACGCCCCATCGGCGCGCCACCTCGTCGGGATCGGTCAGCTTGAACTCCCATCCGTCGCCCGTCCACGAGATGAACGACTGACAGGACTTGTCCGTCAACAGTTCCAGCAGAAACTGCCACAGCTGGATGGGGCCGGAGCCTGGAATGGAACGGTCAGTTTGAATGATTTCTTCGATATAAACTTCGGTACTCCTCAGGGTAGTGTCTTGGGGCCCTTGATTTTCCTACTTTACGTCAATGATCTGCCGAAATGTATATCCCAAGGACGAGTTCTCATGTATGCCGATGATATGATAGATAGATAGATAAGCTTTATTGTCTAAAATGAGCACATTTTGTCGACAAAGTCAGTATCTTGCGATACATTGATTGCAAGATTATAAATAAATAAAACAGAACAGGAATATATAAAAATAACATAGACAAGTTTCATTATTATTACAAACAACAATTATCTTTAAAATCAATAATATGAATCTCTTATTATTCTCACATATCATAGAATGACTAGAATTTGTAGGCAAAGTATTCATCCAAACTGTACAAGCCTTTTCCCACTAATATATCTTTGACAGATCTACGGAATTGTTTCAAATCATTGATCATAGTTGTACATTCTGGTAAATGATTGTAAATCTTTTTACTCCTATAAATTAAGGATTGTCTCGTTAAAGATGAACTAGGCAGAGGAAGAGGAAGGTTCCTTTTATTACGCGTAATCTTGTCTATGTTTGCGTTCATGAAATTTCTTCTATATTTGTGAAGCAAACAGACTGTTTCTAAAACGAAAATTTCAAAGACCGTCAATATCTTATAGTTGTGAAACATTGGCCTGCATGAGTCACGCGGCTTGAGTTTGAATACAAATCTCAGAGCTCGTTTTTGAAGGACGAAAACACTTTTTAAGAGACCATGACAGCTACACCCCCAGAATGAAATTCCATACCGTAGATGCGACTCAATAAGTGAGTAGTATGCTGATATTGAAGCTTGCAATCCAAGTTCACGGGATATCACATTGACTGCGAAGCAGCCAGCTGATATTTTTGGATATATGATGGTCAAACTTCAAATTGCTATCTATGTGAACACCAAGAAATTTCGTGACAGACTTGCTCTCAATGAGTTGATGTCCATAGTTCTATCAGATCCAGACTTGGATAATATTTTTAATAAAATCAACACAACGATGACCGAATTCTCGATATGGTGCCAATCTAATAACATGATGATTAATTATGATAAGACAGAGATCATCGAGCTCCAAATAGTCATCGGCCACCACTCAATCTAAGAATTTCGTTCAACAACACTGCTATAAAAGCTTCTAATTCTGTAAAACTCCTGGGAACAATAATTGAGTTGAGAATTTGACATGGAAACACCATATTGATCAGGTTTGTCGAAAACTTAATTCAAGTTTTTTTTGCAATTTCATCTCTCAAAAACAATCTGCACACCCATTCTCTAATGAATATTTACTATGCCTTTGTATACTCGACAATGTCATAAAATATGATTGTATGGGGTCAGGCATCCGAGATTGAACGGGTCTTCATCGGACAGAAACGGATCGTCAGATTGTTATTCAATCTCCCATTTAATTCGTCTTGTAGAAACACATTCAATTAACAAGGTATCCTCGCCGTTTCTTGCATCTACTCATATAAAATACTTTCAACAATAATACACTCAACAAACATTCAGACCTCCATGACTACAATACAAGGAACAACTCTAATTACTCTTACTATAAAAAATCACCAATATATGCTGGTAGTGATCTTTATAATGCCCAACCTACTGATCTCAAGCATTTGAGAGATATCGAATCCAAGAAAAATCTCAAAAAAATTCTTATGCATGAGTGCTTCTATTCGAAATATGAATTTGTGGATTATTTGATGAATATTGATATGATGTGGCAAGTGACGTGGAATTCTTGCGCATTTTGGGGGAATTGAAGGTTAAAAAAGAGTTGTTAGAGATAGTCAGTTGTAACCCGGTGGCTGCAACTGTAATTACTGTATTTAATGAAAGTAATAAGATATTTCTTTATCAAAAGAGTTAGTGGAAGTGGTGGTGGTTTGTATTCGTTATTGGAGTATGTGCTGTAAGTAAGTCATTCAAATTTTTGATGGAATTCATATGTTGTGAGAAATAAAGTCTTCTGAATTAATTTACATGATGTGTTTCAAAATTGTGCATTTGCGAAAAGTGGTTCACTCCTTTTCTTGGCGAAATTTTTTGGTTTTTTGAAAACTTTTGAAAGCATCGGGTTTGTCATAAAATTGGTCCTCTTCATTACTTCCGATTTTTCGTTTTAGATTTGCAAGATAATTGATAAAATTCAAATAGGAGCAAATTAAAATGCTGAACCAAATCCTTACCTGTTTTTGTTCAATTTTTTCAAAAAATTGATCATGTCAATAATATTTAGTACCTAGCATGAATTTCTTCACATATTTTAGTGATTTCACTATCGGCGAAATATCCAAAGAATCTTCTAGACATTTTAAGCTTTTGGTTTCGACACTACATCCCGATCTATACAGCGTCGTTCAATACAATTCGGCATCATTGAGCAATATTATTGTTTTGGGACTGCTGTTTAGAATACATGAATCAATATGCAGAACATTTGGCAACTCTGTAGACCATTATTCATATCATAACCTTCAAACCTATTTCTGGGTGCTTTCAGTCAAATAGGATAATTTTCATTGTGTAACCTAATTAATGTTTTCATTTTCGTTTCAAAGAGGTATTGACTTTGAGTGCATCTTAGTAACAAGTTAATGTGGGTAAATATCGAGAGATACCTATTGAAAGAATCCTAATTTAATTATTTTGATTTTATCACTATTTTTCGTTGTTTTAGTGAATCTATCTATCTATGAAAAAATATTGTCGATTTTATCGTATTTGAGCGATTAGGTAATGAAGATGCACAATTTGTTTAAATTTGTTGTTAATGGAGAAGTTTCCTTCAGATGGATTTACACAAAATAAGTTCGGAACTCTCCAGTTTTATGTCCACGCTTTACAGAATGGCGACCGATAAAGTCCAAGTCGTTTTCCTTTGAAATTTAAGCAATTTCTAATTTTCAAAGCGGCAAACTGTGACGTACATTCTGAATCTAGTCTGAATAAGCTGATGGTGAAGAATATAGCTAGCAAATAGCTAACGAATTGCTAACGAATGAAAAAAATAGAAGAAGTAAAACTGGTAAACAAAAACATACATAACCACAAATGCACTCGGAGCAGGAATGCAGAAGGTAGTTGGCTTCATTCTGACAGGTCATGGTTGTGTTATTTATGCATTGAAATATCTCGAATGGAGCTCGATCATAAACGAAAATATCATTGAATCAATGAATCACTATCGGCTACTTTCAATTATACTATCCTTCCTAATTTACTGCCATCGGTCAGAACAGAATGAAGCCGACACCCATGGCTCCTTCCTCTTGTTGTGCCTGTCAGTATTTTGAGTGGTGTGGACGGACTCAAAGTATTAGGCGCTGCTGCAAGATATAATCTGCAACTTTCCATAGTGGAAAATTATAGATATAATCGCAATATATCATAATTTATCTTAATTAGTAATCAACTTCAATCAGCCAATGAGAGATGTTAGGATAGAATTCATAATACTTGACAAAGTAGGATTGAAGAACCTATTATATTCCATTGTTGTTATGATTAGATATAGTTATTATGCATTCAAAGAACAATTTCCGGAAATCTAGACATATTGATGATGTCGGCAACGTCGTACTGGCATCGGAAATCGTATTTTAACTCTGTGTGAATGTGGATTTTCATAAAATACGTCATAGGAATGGTGGAGGAGCCAAGTTCCTCTTTCATTTATTTTTTTCTGAAGTGAAATTTGATCTTACGAAAAAAAGAGAAAATATGTGTATATTATTCTTCTACAAACTTCACAGTGAGATAAAAACCTCAATATATGAAACATCGCCATTTATGCTTTCATGAAAACTATTCTTGGCGTCAAAGAGGGAGACATGACCAGATTTACACATCATTTTGACTGTTACCATGGTGACGTTAATAATATAACGTTAATGAAGCTTATAATATGGAAATAGCACAAAAATCGAATATGACACAAAAGACAGAAGGACATGGCGAAATGCTTCTGCAACAATGTTCGATGACGTCGAGCTTTTATAATGATAATAAAAGATGCGCATGCCGTTGTTTCGCGTTTCGACCTTGAAAGAATTTATTATTAGCGCAGTGGCAGTCTGATGTAGCATAATTATGTTTAATGATACCTGCGCTGAATTAGCGGGTAATGAAGCTTGCACGAAATGTTACTTTGTTTGTCAGATTCTACTGCTCTTACTGGTTATTACAGACCTTCCAAGAACGAGTCAGTTTTCATTAGATTGATTCAGTAATCTGTGACTTGATTTGACCATCAAATGCCATCTAGATGGTTGGTGCCTACATCACTTCAAAAATTCCATGAGATCAAAAACTTGGTAATTATGTCTGTAATAATAATTGGTTCGTCCAAGATGACATCTTCTATGGAAGAGATTGAATTGATTGAAACTGTTCATCTACATGCCTATACAGTGGCATTAATTGGGCATGTTTCATAAAAAAAAAAGTTCTTCTGTCAAACTAAAATAAGTTTCAATCGCTTTACGAAAATGCCCATTTTCTAGAGACACCCTAGTAACTTCCAAACAGATAGATATAGGTTGATATGCGGTTCTAATCATTGAGTTTGCCATGAATATTGAAAATAATATGATATTTTGATGAAACTCCGTATATAAATATTTGTGAAATGAAACTGTGGATAGAAAGATTGCAGTCAATTTTCAAAATAAAATAATCCCTATTAATAATATGATATGAATGTGAATGTACGTTTGTTTTTAAGGCTTTCACGCCTAAACTTTTCAACCGATTATCACTAAACTTTGTATACAAATTCTTAGATATATTAGGAAGGACATCGGATACTTTTTATAAAAAAAAATAGGGCGGGTGAATATCTATCCTAACATGAAGTGGGCACTTCGAAGGCGCAAATTCATTACTGCATGGGAGATACCCTTCAAATTTTTCGCTATTCAGTGACTTGACCACGAATAACTGACGTTTCATACTCTTCTACGCAAACAAAATTCAATTTTCGAGTATAGGTGTCAATTTATTGTTCTAGTAGTTCTAGTTGTTACTGCTGCTTCTAATTTTTGTTCTTCTTTAAAATGCCTCTGAAGCGTGATCTGTCTAGAAGTTTGTCACATTGATTCAGTTCTATTGGAATGTAATGATATTTCATATTTATTTAAGGGATTCAACGGGAGGGGACCCGTGGGTAGAATTTTCATGATATTTTTAATGTAATTCTGACACATTCTGATCACAGAAAGTATTCTCCGAATAGTAAATTTCGAGAAGGAATGAATCAGTTTCATTAGTTTCAATATATCTAATTTTCACATTGGAGTGAAAAAACTTGTTCTTATGCTTTTGCAAAGAGGCTCATTTTGATCAAAATGACATTTTTCCCATTAAATGAACCAAAAAATGTATATATCATTGATCCCACATCGATATTATGTTCGGATCAACATAATTTATTGATGATGTTTCTGGTTACTCCAACAAGAATTTGCTTAAATCAACAATAATAATACAAACACAAATAATTTGTTGAGTCAAAAATAGTTATTTATTATTTTATCTCAGACAAAAAACTCTAAGATTTTCCCTTGTCAAAATTTGTTTCTAAGACAGGAAAAAGGACGGATCAATATTGAGAAGATAATACATTATATTAAAATCATAAAACTATCAACTTGAAATTTAAAGTTTTCAACAGGAATTACACCGGCGTGCAGGTTTTTTTTGCAGGCATCTTTCTCATTCTTTTGAATAAATCAAATATATATATATAGACCTCTAATCGCAGATTCGTGATAGAGTCTCAATTCAGAATTTCTTTCCACGCCCTGTATGATGAATGTCAATTTATCATACACCCAAAAGCAAATATATCTGTCAGGTCTAATTCTGTGCTTTGATTTAGAAAAATTGCGAACCCCGTGGTTGTTTAGTAATTTATCGCGAAGTGGAATGGAAGAGGAAAAGCGACTGCTTATTTTTCGGAATTAGCACAACAAAAGCCATCAACAGAGTATCTGTGTATACAGGGTGTCCGCTAAAAGGAGCTCAATCCATGAACCATATATTCCTTGAATAAAAACAATATGAGTTTCGAAATACCATTTTTCATTTTAGCCCTTCATATTCGATATACAGGGTGTCAAAGTTGGAAATTAAATTGAACGTGTTGAATTTCTATGATTTTGTTTTGTAATAGATATTTACGTAATCAGTTAGGAAACGCGTTGTTTTGTGTAACGATGGGATTTTGCGGGACGAGCGAAGCGAGATCCCGCAACATCACAGAGTTACACAAAATGGCGTTTCCTAACGTGTCACGTACAATATTTTTTCTAATTTTGACGAAACATTTCGCATGAACAAAAATAATGACCAGTTTTACATGAGTTCTGCCGACCCTTGTTGTGTGAAATGAATGAATGAAATGAACATTACATCACCAGTTATGTAAAATTTTACTTTACGCAACTGGTTACGTAAAGTAAGACGTTTCAAAACTTTCGTCAGTTTTGAAAAGTGTCACATTACATGTCAAAATTAGAAAAAAATTATTTTAATACATTCGCGTAAAACATTACGCCCTCTTCCAGTTTCGTCGACATAAATAGGAGTATGTGAACATTATGAGATTACCGTTAGCCGCATAGGCATAAAAACATATAATTTTATCGAAATTTCACATGAGACAAAAAATACTCAAAAATGATTGACCTCTCCAAGAAAAATAGATAGGAAGTTATTAGCGCACGTACAAAATAATATGGGGGTAAGTGTATACTTGACCCCCAGTATTTTGAATATTTGACAGTTATTTTCTGTTTTGTTTTCCTCACACGATGTAACTCTTTGTGCTGAAGTAATCTACCAATTTTGATATCAATATCTTATTGAATACGCGAGAAATTAAAAAAAAAAACAGTTTTTACTTTCCAACTTTCACACCCTGTATATAGAATATGGAGTGCTGAAATGAAAATAGTATTTGAAAACTGATATTGTTTTTGTTCAAGGAATATAATTATGGTTGATAGATTGACCACCTTTTAGCGGACACCCTGTATACATCAGAGAAAGAAGGAATTCATGAGAAGTGACATTTTATATCCTGTTAACAGAGATTTTTTCCGTCACAAATGAAAACATTTTTCTCCGTGTAAACTATCATTCCCCACCACAAGACACACACTCACCGGTGAAACACGGCCCTCCGGCGCCGCCCCCGTTCGCGTACCCCGCCACCAGCCCGTTCTGGATCATCGGCTTCGCGTCCTGCAAGCCGCCCAGCTGGTCCCGCCCCATGCCCCCGCCCCCCGTCGTCGCGAAGGCGGGGTGGGCGTGGTGGTGCGGGTGGTGGGCGAGCAGGTCGTGCGCGTGCCCCGCCCATTGGTCGGCCGAGGCGTTGGACCCGCCCCCGCTCGGGACTGTTTGGAAGGGCGTGGCGTCGTAGGGGGGGCCGTACGGGTCAGGGTAGGCGTCGTTGAACCTGCCGGCGCCTGCAAGAGAATTAACAAGCTTGTAGAAACTCACGCAACTTCGATGCATATTTTCATTTCATCAAAATTATTGTTTCAAATAAAATGAAATTGTATTTGCACATGGACAAAATTCAAATAGTCAGTTTTTCCAGGGGCGTCCGCAGAAATAATCTCAGTGGGGAAAGTCACAGTAATAATCTTAGGGGGGGAGGGGGCAAGTGACAGGTCACAATAATGAACAGTTTATTCTATATTAAACATATAAGAATGAATGCTGATTAAATGAATTTTTCGTCAACCTCTACAAAAAAATCACATTTTACGTTCTGATTTCCGAACGAAAAACCGACTTTTTCCGAAGTCAAGTCCTTTCCGTCCGCAGACATTAACTTTTCAAATCTAGAATGAAAACAAATGAGAATCGTATCAGAATCATATGGGTTTTTTCAAATTATTTTTACGTGTACAATATACTCCTGGAGTTTGATGCGTTCCACCCGACTCACCTTGTATAGAGCAAGTTTATAATAATTGACCAAATTTTCGTACCTACTTTGCGAAAAAACGACGAAGGTTTTTCGTAAATAACTCATAATCCACGTATATTAAACTGGGCGTCAATTGAAACGTTAATAGTGAAATTTGGCATCAAGTTTGACTTCTCGTAATTTCTGAAATATTGAACGAATTTTGAATTGCCGCCCAGATTCTGAATGCCTTTCTCATCGTCTTTCGAACCATTCCTTACAGCTCCTTCTGACTTGATCAGGACCCGTGATACAGGGTGAAACAAAGTTTCGTGCATTTTGAAAAAAATTTCGCCGCCCCCCCATTTTGCCGGAAGACCACGATGCTCATATTTTATTAAGGCATTTCATGAATAGCAACCATACCTCGGGACGTTTTCGAGTTTTTGTCAAAAACTACTGTGGTTTTCGAAAAAAAAATTTTTTAGAATTTTTTTAAATGGACTAATTTTAGAGGAATTCCACAAATGGATGCTATTATGCATTTCAGGAAAGCGTTGGAGCAGATATGTATACCAGGTTACTCAAAAACAATCAATAATTTATTACTTTGCAGTCTATGATAAAAAGTTTTCTACCTTAGTGAGCAGTAAATCAACACATCTCATCAACAAAAACAAACAACGATACCTTGTTTCTATAACAACGTATTGTTGAAACAATGTAGATATGCATAGAGGTTATATCAATTGCCAATTTTCATGAAAACGTCAGTGTAATTCGGGTCTTAAAAAATTTAAAGATGCCTCGTTCAAATCGGGTCGAAATGGAAAATCATTAGGTAAGATCACTATAGTGATATAAACTATAATTCAGTAGAGATAATTATTATTTCAGGCTACGACGATTAATTAGGATATACCCAAACTCATTTGAGTACAATTTTCGATAAGTCAGTCATGACAATAAATAGACTGATTCATAGTTTTGAGGATACAGGTAATCAGTCCATTTAAAAAAAATTCAAAAAAATTTTTTTTTTTCGGAAACCACAGTAGTGTTTGGCAAAAACTCGAAAACGTCCCGAGGTATGGTTGCTATTTATGAAATGCCCGAATGAAATATGAGCATCGTGGTCTTCCGACAAAATGGGGGGGCGGAGAAATTTTCTTCAAAATGCACGAAACTTTGTTTCACCCTGTATCACGGGTCCTGATCAATTTAGAAGAAGCTGTAAGGAATGGTTCGGAAGACGATGAAAAAGGCATTCAGAATCTGGGCGGCAATTATAAATTCGTTCAATATTAATTTTAGAAATTACGAGAAGTCAAACTTGATGCCAAATTTCACTATTAACGTTTCAATTGATTCGAGAGAGCTTTTTTTTTTAGGTATAGTAAATTACACCAATTCGGTCGATTCTAATTTGCTCAAGTCCTATATTCATGAGTAAGAACAATTATTATTTGAAAAATCTTTTGAAGTAGTCCATGCTCGAAGTGGAGGGGGATGATCAAATAGAAAAAAAGTCGTCTCTACAAGTTTAATGGCGATGTTTCGACCATTCGAATGACCATCATCAGTCAAAGTACAGAATAAAGGTGATCTACAAAGACGAATTTTTTACGTTCGTACTCAACATCTATCAAAATGGTTACATAGCTGAGTGGAAATTGACAAGTTATACAATAATATGTGGTGAAAATTCCGAACAAGTGAAATGCAATTATTACAACTATGGTTCTGTCTTAGATTATTTTAGACTTGTTGAACATTATAACCACAGTTTCCATCCCTGGTTTGCAAGCCATCTAGATCCTACTCTTTAAACACACACCACTTGCACTCATGTATATAGTTTTCTGTTTTTTCTATTAGACTATTTTTGACTTGTTGAACATTATAAATACAGTTTCCTTCCTTGGTTTGCTATAATTATAGTTCACAAAATTTCCGTATTTCATGACGCTTTGTTCTTTCTCTCCAGTTTACCTTTCTTGAAATAATGAACAAGCATGATACATGTTACATCGTCAGATTCTCAGATGCCGATGGACCCCAAGTTTGGGGTGGATTTGCCCTGCCTTCCTCCATGAAATACAACTTGTTTTCCAAATTAAAATTTAAATATGTTCAACAATAAATGAAAATAATTTTTCATCTGCATGATGTCATGTCGATGAGTACAATCTCCTTCCAGCACTATTGGTCGCTAGTGGTGCCCGCGAGAGTCTCGTTTTCGAGAGTCTCGCATGGTCTCGTCTCGTTTTCGAGACATGACTCGAGACGAGATTCGGACAAGACGAGACGAGACTTTTATTGGTCTCGTCTCGAGTCTCGTGCAAAACTTCTCGTGTCTCGTATGAGAGTCTCGCAGAGGTAAATATTTCTGCGTGCCGACTGCAGACTTGAGAATTTCATTCATAATTCAACATATTTAGGAAGAATTCAGACTATTCAGCATAGATAGACAAAACATTCCATCATAAATACTTCAAAAACACAATCCATGATTGTTATAAAACGACGTAATGCGTGAAACGAAAACGGACCTCAATCTTACGGCGGAATAATGTTGAATTGAAGTTTTTGTTTTGTTTATTTTTATTTCATTATTATTACTTTGCAATACATAATGCTGTTTTTTTTTCTTGTTTAGATGAATGATGTAGGTATGTATCTATTAGGTACTTTCTTTTCAATATATAATGTTATTTTTGTTATAATTATCTCTTCCTTCTGCTACATAATACCTAAAAAGTAGGTAAAAGTAAATATCTTACACTAGACTGGAACAAGATTATGCATGACGAAATTGCGATACATTTGCGAGAATTTCGTACGAGACGTGAGACAAGACGAGACTCGAAGGTACAAGACGAGACTCGAAGCTGCGAGACGAGACTCGAGACAAGACTTCATATTTCATCGGCGAGACGAGACAAGACTTTATGAAAGTCTCGTCTCGTTGGTCTCGTGTGAATCACTATTGTTCGCCATCTTGTTTCGGAAATAAGTAGTTAAATATGTTTGTTCCTCAACTTATGCTACTCATTTTGTAAAATTTTAACTCTCTTTCAATATGTCGATTAACCATAGTTGTAATAATTGCATTTCACTTGTTTTGCATTTTCAACACATATTATTGTATATCTTGTCAATTTCCACTCAGCAATGTAACCATTTTGCTAGATGTTGAGTATGAACACAAAATGATTCCTTGTAGATCACCTTTATTCTGTACTTTGACTGATGATGACCATTTGAATGGTCGAAAGATGTCTCAAAAGTAAAAGCAGATTTGCCTGCACACATCGCCATCAAAGTTGTGAAGACGACTTTGAATTTTTTCTCTTGTAATTATTATTCATTATGAAAAAAATCATCTCGATACTTAGTTTTTTATATAGGATGGTAAAATGTATAGTTTCCGGACAAAAAACTGAAAAAATTGCAAAAAATCTCGACGTGTTTTGCAAATATCTCTAAACGCTCCAAGAAATTTCGTTAGCAAACTTCAAAATCGGATTCAACTTTTCCCATTTCATCGTTACCATTTTTGTTTAAGTATTCACCAGATTTTCGATCATGAAATGATGATAACTCACCTCTCACGTAACTCTTAACGTAACCGTGCGCAGGATTGTACTTGGTCTCCAGTATCTGGCTCGCCGCGTAGAACTCCGGCGAGCTGTCGAGGTACTGCTGCTGGTGCGCGTCCAGCGCCTGGTACTCGTGCTCCTCGGCCGCGAAATGGGCGTTCTGGAAGAGGTGGGCGTTGCCGTTGCCGCCCCCGCCTCCCTCGCCGTTGAGGGAGGTCAGGTGGCCGTCGAGCGCCGCCCCGAACGGCCCGCCCCCGCCCGACGAGTCGCTGCCCGGCGGACACGCCCCCTTGTAGCCTGGAAGGTGCAACAGGTGTGGGATTAGGTGGTGTCAGAACTGGGACGATGAAAATGTGCTAATATCGAAGGTTTAGTCTTCACCAAATTTGTTTTTTCTTGTAGAACCGTGTTCAAGATTAGTTTTGGACCGTTTTCGAGCGTGACTTAGTAATTTATCTCATTCAAGAAAACAGACTATTTTAGCTAGACACATAACACATAACCTGAAAACCGAAATCAATAATTAAATTTTGAAATTGATGATTATCTGTGAGAACTTGAGAAGTGCAAGAGAATGGAATCATTAATAGTAGAATTTTCAATTGATAATCAGCAGATGCGAGGGTAGGTGTTTGTCTTTTGCTGAACCAGTCCAGAGAAACAGATAATAATCTGGAAATGATTATCCTTCTCGCAAATTTAAAGCATCATGAAGTGAAAAATTATGCACCATACCCCATATCACACTCCATTTTTTAAGCTATATTGTCGATTTCTCGAAAATCTCAAACCATCAAACTTTGACGTTTTCCCACTCCTTCACTGGTTTTCCTGGTTCGAATCGTTCATTTAGAAGTTTTTGAACCGGAATGAACCGTATTACTCGGTGACGTCATAGCTTCCACAAGAAAATGCTTGATTTCAAATCGTTTTGAACACGATTCAACAAGAAACAACAACTTAATAAATCAAGTATGTTGCCCATTTGTCATATATTAATTTGTTGACCATTTCAATATTGTCAGGGTTGGCACGAATTAATTCTATAATGATTTTTTCTTTAAAAGTTACGAATCAATTCAAACTTTATCCAATTAGAAGAGATCATGTTATTACTTTTGATTTGAAATGAAAAATCCGATGGCATTATGATAATAACCCAACAATCAAGAACATTTATTTGATATAAGAAATTATTTGAATATTTAAATAAATACAAAAACCTCACAGTCATTTCCACTCGATATGCATGAAATGAACAACAATGGTAGATTTTATCTCTCTATTACATTTTTTAGATTTCGATATTTTTTACAAATTTTCGAAATTTCTGTAATATTAAAAAAATTGTAAATTCGATAAAACTACTTTATACCAGTAGTTTCATCATCATGCTACTAACTTTCAATTACTAATTATCATCAATTATCGACAAAAATATGATTTTCTTCAGAAAATGATAATCTCCGCTTCAAAATTCTGTTATGTTTGATGCAAACATAACATCAAAATTTTGTTATGTTTGAGTCAAGCATTTAGACACGAAATTCATTTAAATTTATTTTTTCAGTACTGAAAAGATCAGTTTGAATGAATTTCGTTTCTAAAAGCTTGACGATGTATCAACTTTGCATCAAACATAACAGAATTTGGAAGCGGATATTATCATTTTCTGAAGAAAATCATATTTCTGTCCATAATCAGTGATAATGAGTAATTGAAAGTAAGTAGCATGAAAAAGCTTCTGGTATGAAGTAGTTTCGTGGAATTAACAATTCTTCAAATATTACAGAAATTTCGAAAAATAAAAAAAATCAAAATAAAAAAAGTTGCAATAGAAAGATCAAATTCGAGAAGCATGTGTGAAATTGAAATAGAAACAACTTTTTTGAATAAACATTTTCGATATTCGAACAAATAAGCCTACTTTCAGCGATTAATTTGAAAAAATGTCACTTTGGACATGTAGCGAAAGTCACGTGACCCCGATTGAGTATGCCATTTTTCATCTTTTTTGAAGCAAAACTTAACGTCCAACTCGAATTCCAAAATAAGTCATTAATAAAAGTTTTTCCCATATGCTGCCGACTTTATGAATGACACTGTATATATGAAATAACCACAATGCTCAAAGTGGAATGAAATGTTAAATAAATACAAAAAGCTACGACATATTTATTCATAAATTTGAGCATTGGAATTTACACTATTTCAATGAAAATCTTGGATATTTCGATATTGTTGATAGTTGATATAGATGAAGCTCTGAAAATTCGTAGGTACAGTGAGGAGATTGGAATGCATCAAAAGCGTGTCATATCAATCGATATATACAGAGTAATACATATCTTCAGTATACTATTGATAATGAAAATGGCAATAATATATATAACAGAACTATAGACAGACTTCAATACTTTTCTCATTTTTTATTCCGTTCAATACCTGAATTTTGGCTTTCTTGATAACTTCTGGCATTTCGCATGTCTAGCTACATCTTTATTTGAGGAAATTTTATCGAGTTATTTTTCTTGGCAATTATTATATCGCCCCACACATTTTATCAGGTGTGGGGATAAGGTTTTATTCGACCGGCATTACTTGTTTCTGATGAATAACCATATAGGTATGTAGGTACAATGTTAATTGATATTTACCATCTTTTATATTGTGGTAGGCAGGACTCCTTTGGATTTGTTGAAGGTACCCCGAAGGAGGTCCACCTGGAGGGGGTGAGTTGTCGTCTCTGATATCGTCAGATCCAGGGCATGCCGGACTCCTCAACTGACCATACACACCTGCAACAAAAATTCCATCATGGTACTCATAGAAAGAAAAATACAACAAAATTAGATTTCCAATAATGATTATTCAAGGGTTTCACAATTTTGGTCGAATAATGTTTGATAATACTAAGAAAACATCTATATTCATAACTTTCTATAGCTACTTATACAGGGTGTATCTGAATAACACCGTTTTTGAGATACAGGAGGTTGAAGTTGGAAGTATCAATTATTTTTATTCATAACCCCCCTGTATAAGCTTTCATGGTGCCAAAATTCAGTATTGATGGAGACTGAGAAAGCCCCAAAATTTCAAAATGATTCTAATTGGAGTTATTGAGTAATCAATCTCAATAATGCAAGTCTTACGCCTATACATTAAAATTTGGAGTCAAATCGATTTTTTATTGATTCCTCAAAAACTATAAGCTATATACAAAAATCACACAGAAGATAAAAAACTTGTTATTTCAATAGTTCAATCTAATAAAAATATGAAACTCAGAAAAATCGATTGTACAATGACATTCACTATATGAGTATCGATGAATTCACCCATACTCGGACACCACTGGAAATATTATTTAGAATCTAATTGCACTAGAAGGAGTGGAGCTCAACAAAACCACAACGTTTTATTGAAATTGATGAAAAGACAAATGAGAAATGAATAGGAAGAATATTTCACATGCATGGAAATATTAATACCCTGTATCTCGAAAACGAAGCCTAAATTGCTTCAGGTGGTTCAGAATTAAGATTTTTGACCACCCTGTATCAATTTCATTAAATATCAATTATCGATAAAACATGGAGAGTAGTTGAGATAGGGACATGAAAACCTTTTTGATCAATTATTATGAATAGTTTCGACACAAAAAATTCTTAAAGTTGGAAAATTTCGATTTTTCACACCCTATATCTTTGTTATCATTTCCGCTAGAACCCAAGTGTGATAGATCGATGGAATCAGCTATATTCAGGAAGAATCTGAAAATGGAATGATATGCAGGGTGTTCCATTGAAAAAAATCAAAGTTGTTGCTACTTTTTAATACCTATAAGCGGCAACGTCGCAACGCTGAGAATATTTTAGGTCGATAGAACACAACTAATTATCCACTTCACCAACTTCCCAGAATAATCCTGAGTTGCGGTCTACTGGGTCTACACAGAATTGTCTAATGTGCTATCCACCGTGAATCACCCTGTATATATCAGCTATATTATAGTCGCGTACGAAATGCGAAATGTACCTAGGTATACCAAATTCGGACCGGTATGAAAAACCATCAATATGATCAGTTTTTCAGAGACGAACATCTTTTTGGACAGTACCTATATACATGGTGAGTCATTAGTGTGGGAAAGTGAGATAACGGCTTTACAGTTTGAGATAGATAGACGAAAGTTCCAGATATGAAGGATCATGAGCAGCACATTTCCAAATTATTTCGATTTATACAGGGTGACTCAGAAATGCGTAGCGTATCAAAGTTATAGGTACTTCTTCTTATGGGACACCCTGTATTCAATTGCATTTTCGCGTTCTCCTTTGTGAGCTGATTTCATCAATGCATCACACTTGGGGTCTAGCGAGAATGATTACAGAGATATAGGGTGTTCAAAATCGAGATTTTTCAACTTTAGGATTATTTTGCGTCAAAACTATTCATTATTGGTCAAAACGGCTTTCATGTCCCGATCCCAACTTTTGATTTACTTTTGATCTACTGACATTTAATTGGAACAAATACAGGGTGGTTCAAGATTCAGCATTCTGATCACTCTTGTACACACAGAAAAAAAATTTCTTCGAATGAGAAAACCAATTCTCTTGAAAATTCAATTGTATATCTTCTTTGAATTGAGCATATTCTTTTGAGTCGAGAAATCTGGTATGTTCAAGAAAATAGTATCATATTATTGAAATATATTCTCAAACCAAGAATGTAATTATTGAATCACTAAATTAATTACTTCAACTCAATCAAAACGATTTTTCAATTCGCAGAAGCGTACTATTTTGTTTCAATAAATTTATCGCTTGATCCAAGAATATAAGTATACATTTCTTCAAATCAAAGAATGTCTATTTCATCGAATGACATATTCAGTTTTCTCGAATTGCAAAAACCTAATATGTTGAGGCAATACGCCATTTTCTTGAAACAAAAATATAAATAATTATTTCTTCAAATGAAGCATTCTAATTTCATCATATTGGTATTATAATTTCATCAAATCGAAGACTCCTGGTAGTTTTATTCAATGCCATATTTACTTGATTCAAAGATATGAATATCAATTTTCTCAAATGAAAGGAATATAATATCTTCAACTTGATGAACTTGATGATATTAATAATTTCTCTAATTGAAGCAGCCACATTTTGATTCAATACTTCATTTACTTGATTCAAGTCTATGAATAGGTATTTCTTTGGAAGAAAATAATATGCCTTCGGTAATCGAGGGTAAGCAATCCTGTTGCCAAAACTCAGGCCTCAGTCTTCAATCATTATTGACCATGCTCACATCATTATGACAGGCCCACAACGGCGAAACGGCATTAAGCTGCGAAGTTTGAAAATTCTGAATGTTTTATCGAGTGTGTATGGTGGTGGAAATGTCTTAGAATATAAATATCTAACAAATTCAGAACTTGTAGAGAGCTGGTGAAGGTATAACATTGAATTCCCTTGGTAAGTAGGTACCTTTCCAAATATCGATAGTCATTGTGAGTGAATCAACAATTTTTCAATCAAAATAACAGGGATTCAGTAGTATCCTGCTATGAAAAAATGCTTATTAATCCATTCGAAATTTTTTTTGTAGCAAAATGACGACTGGTTGATGAATGAAGATGTATTATCTACAAATGATTTGCAAAGACTTGAGAAGACCTTGACATTACGTGAGAGAAAGTTTCCTGCCGAGTATCTCGAATCTATATACCCGATATCTTCCAGAAGGCATGATATTACTGGAGTCACGATATTACATATTATCGAGGTGAGTTTTTAATCAATCATAATACTTATGTCATTGTTTGTAACCGTTATCATTTCCAGCGAAACTTCAAGAAGACGAAATCAAGGCATGTGATTATTCTATAACCATTTGGGGTCTGGAAGGACAATACTGATCCAAGTCCAAGATGTACATACCTATACATGGGATTATTGTCAATTGTCAACTAAAGGAACAAATATATATTTCTTCACGAATATTCTGTGGAGTTTAGTTATCTCATTGGGAATCATTCACAGTTTTGAATCAAAAACATTATTATATTTTTATCCAAGCAGTCAATATTTTGGTTCAAGAAAATAGTTCCATTGGAGAGAATGAGCTCAATATTCATTATAAAAAACTCAAAAATTCGGATCGAAAATATCAATGTGTTCATTGAAAATTTACGGAATTTTGACTTAAATAAATCGTTCATTTTGAAATGAAATAGAACAATTCTCAATAATAGTAATCCATATTTGCAAATTGAGAAAATGATTGTTTCCAGTTGGTGGATGGATTCCATATCTCAAAATTATGGTTTTCCTGAAATAAGTAAATGATTTTGTCAATATGAATTATTTCAATTCTCACTTCAACATAACGAACGTCTCCAACCATGCATATCTTGATTTTCCTACAAGAGAGTTTTTGAATAAATGATTGTTTCGGAACAAGAATATCATCTCTTTCGTTATATACAAACAAATTATTTTCTTGGACCAATGCAGTCATGCTCAATACAAGAGATTCTTTTTTTGTGTGTATCTGTTCCAATTAAATATCAGTAGATAGTAAATCAAAAGTTTGGATAGGGACATGAAAACCGTTTTGACCAATAATGAATAGTTTCGACGCAAAAAAATCCTAGAGTTTAAAAATCTGGATTTTGAACACCCTATAGGTATCTCTGTAATCATCCTCGCTAGACCCCAAGTGTGTATAAGTTTAATACGCCACGCATTTCTGAGTTACCCTGTATAAAGCGAAATAATTTGGATATGTGCTGCTCATGATCCTAGATCATCTCTGAAATTTTTATTCATCTATCTCAAATAGTAAACCAGTTATCTCACATTCCCACACTAATGACTCACCCTGTATTCCAGATAATCATTGATAAAGTTTGAATAAGATTACGAGAAATCTACATCAATTATAATATGCATTTTCCTGATTATTTTCCAAAGCGCATGTTCCTCAAATCGGAAAAAATAATAAATGGTTAGGTTTCTATATGTATACCCAATCGATCCTCGGAAAAATTTTGAATTGATTATTCACAGTTTTGAATTGACTTGACTCTCCTGATACGCAAACCAAACCGCTGTCAATCATCCATAATCGCCTCTCAAAACGATCCGATCGTCCAATCGAACGTTCCAGCGCCCACTCATCATCGCCGCCTGGGAGGTCCGATTCCGATAATCCCAAACAAACGCTTATCGGTTGCCAATAGCGACCGGCTCCACAGCGCCGAGATTGAAGCGAGATCGCTCGCGATCCGCTCTGACCGCGGCACGAACGACCAGGGCCTACTCTAGAGAGTGGGCCCTGGAACGACGCGGCGACCGGATGCCGGGGATTGGCCGGTCGTGCCTCCTCCTCCCGACGCCGACCGGCTAATTGAGAGGCTGCGGCCACGCCCGTCTGGCGGTGGTGGGGAGAGCGGTTAGGGGAAGCCGCCGAGCGCGTTGTCGCGTTGATATAAGGACAAAAGGGGAAGAATTATTGCGATTGTTCATCCGCTGACGACGTCTAGGATCTCAGGATCTTTGGTCTATACAGAGTGATTCATTGAGACAATGGCCAATCTATGAAGTACATCAAAACATGAAGATTTAGCCTAATGTGCCTTATGAAAAGGTGTCTGGATTAGGAGGTACTTATCTACAGGGAGTAAAAAACAGCATGAACATACAATTTTGTAGTTTCTGGTTTTCTGACGTGAGAAATTTAATTTGTAACTCACTTTTGTGATTGCTCATATACACGGTAAGGTAACCTACCGAGTGAAGCTTTTCGTCAAAATAGAAATACCTACACAATTATTAGTTCCCTCCAGAACTCAAATTTTGATGAGTTTCAGCCAAAATTGAGTACAATGATCTCTTGAACATTTTTCATACTTCTGAGACATTTTGTGTCAGTATAATTCGAAGGGTTCGGCTATCAAATATAGGTATTCACAAAATCTGGTGTGATGGACCTGACCATACTTGTCAATAGTTGTGTGGACCTGATAGAGTTAAAATCATCAACTCAAAAATTTTTACCGTGAAGAAGGCACCAGTGGCAATCTGTTACTTCAGTAAATTATTATACATCATCATATCTTCTTTGTTCATTGAGTAATGGTCAAAATGAGTTGAAAATTTGAAAGACCGTTCAATTTAACATGAAAAAGTTACACCCTCATTCAAATTGTCTTGCTCTAACGCGGTTTTTGCGTTATTCACTTTTTAAAAGATCGGTTCATCACCTTTAACATTATTATTATTTTTAATTATAAAGCTAACGAACTATATATAACACTGGATAGAATACAGATACCTAATTAATAATGACACTAACCTACCTATATATTCACAACACCAACAACACAATATTTCAAAGTGAACGGCGATCAGCGTTATTAAGAAATCAGCTAGGTATACGAAAAAGCCAGAAAGAAATGTTAAAATGAATTATTATCTCCTCTGAACTAAGTATAGCAACATTTCCGTTATAGGCATGCTGGGCTAAATCTTTTCATATTTTGTTATTGTTAACTATCTGATGCAGTTCATGATGAGATTTCCCATTCTTAATGAATCACCCTGTAGGTATATAATGTGGATTTATCTATAAAATTCTTGCATTATCGATGTCTCTCCCTACCTATATGATTTTCATCCAATATAGGACTGTTTGGTTAGCAATTTCAGTTCCAAGAGAGAACCTTGATTAATTGGAATAAGCTTTGTTATAGGTCAGGTAAGTTGGAATCTGTGTATGAAACGTCATTTAGAGACTGAAAAGAAATCGAAAATTGGTTGAAGCATCATCAGACAAAAGTTATGATGAATCAAATATGATTGAAAAATTTCGATCGTCATTTCGAGTGTTGTGCCTGTTTATATTGCGAAGTTTTTTAGCAAATTTTGTTGTTGTGTAGTTGTGAATTACCTAACCCATATTACCTTTAACAAAATGGAACATCTTTGGGAAACCTAGCACGAAACCTACAAACTTGACTACTTACACAGGAAGCACTAAAGCAACTGATTTTGCCAGACTCATCCAAATATTACGCAAAAACTCTGATCAATCGGAAGTAGTACATCATTTTCCAAAAAAAAATACCCGATAGTTTATGCAATCATTCCACGTGAATCTCGTGAAAGGGTATCTATACGCAGGAAGGCGTATATTTGTAAATTCTGGGGTGTTAACGATAGAAGTTAGACGTTAAGCTAGCCAGTCTCTGTCAGAGATGTTTTGCCGGACGTCCGGTATAGCGGTATATACCACACCTATAAATCGAGAAAAATGGTCGGTATGAAATATTGATGATGAGCAACGATTTGTTTATTGATCGACTCTGTCCAGTATATAGAGCCTTCGAATTCAGTGCACGCAGTCCATATTATATTATACTTAGTAGCGAAAATAATAATAGACTGTAGAATTAGCGGAAACGACATTAACCGCATTAAGGGGATCCGCATTTCTATCCGAGATCAAAATGGTACTATAGTATAGTATAAAATATACTACCTACTTGCATGCGTTTATAGGTAGATACAATAATACTCTCTGGATGAGTATAGATGAATCAGTAAACTGAAGATGAACAGGGTGTTTCTGAAATTGGGGCGATAAATGAAGTGTGCAAGGAATAAAATAAGAAATACAAATAGAAATAGTTATTTTTGTTGAAGTATAAGTATTTTGAGGAAGATATAGTTTATATTGAACTTCTATGTTTGCTCGACATTTTTGTAAATCATTGATCAGCGGTTATAATAGCCAGATCCACATGAGCTGAGCACCGAAAGTATAATACCAGTGACTTGCAATGTTGCCAGACGTTCGATAATATATTTGGAAGTTATGGTGTGAACGCAAATTTTTCGAAAGATTTTCAGCAAAATGTTTTTTGTGATTCATCTTGTCGATGTCATGCATTATAGGTATAGGTATATCATTATTACATCATAATAAATAATAGATACATAAGATATAACCTTACTTGAGTATAAATATTACTACCTAAATATATGCATATCTATACAACAACTAAATTATTATATTATAATGTTTTGCATATAGGTATATTATATAAATGCTGATTTCTCGTGATATTTTTTCGTATGAATATACAGGGTGATACAGGTTATGAGGTACAAACTGGAATGGGTGATAGATCTCATCATTTGAAAAAAAATCTATCGACCTGAGTCCGATCTCGATCAGTAGCGGATCTACAGGGGGGCAAATTTTAATTCTTTGTTTCTATTAATTAAAATATTTTGCTCACTTTTGGAGATATCAATTGGAAATTACGTGTGGTGAATACTTTATATATATATAGGAATATACAATTTCAAGCATTTTGGATATTTTTCAAATCCACAGGGTGATACGTTTTTGGAGGTATATAGGCTTCTTCATCCCTCCCAAACTTTTTCGTAGTGAGCTTATGACATTTTCCATATATAGTTACCAAATAGGAGGATCGTTCAATTCAAAGGCTTTTTTGCTTCTCAATTTTTTCCGAGGAACGAACCATTTTCGAGATGAATATAAGCATAGATATCCGTTTTAAAACATGCGTTAATCCATCTATATTTTTCTCTTAAATGTTATTCTTTGTGAAAATTATATAATAGTTAACAATAATGAAATAAGCAAATATATAATGCCTACAACATGGATGGGGCTTAAACAGATGCATAAAAAGAGTTTGAATAAATGAAAACGATATATCTATTTACTATACAAGGAAAAATTTTGGGTGGAATAAAGAAGCCTCCCACCCTCAAAAACGTATCACCCAGTGGATTTTGAAAATCTCTGAAAAGCTTCATATGATGATCTTCTAGAAAGTACAGTAATGACCACACCAAATTTTAAATAATTGATAACTTCAGAAATGAGCGAGATATTTCAATTATAATAGAAAAAAAACGTTGACCCCCTGTATCTCCGCTACTGATCGAGATCAGACAAATATTTATACACATTTTTTCGAACAAAATTATGAGATCTATCACCCATTTCAGTTTGTACTTCAAAACCTGAATCACCCTGTAGATATATCAATTTGAGCAATGTACATTATGAAGGTCGTCTTTGGGATAGTATTGTTCGTTCCATCAGTGAATCTGATTAAAAAACGGTGCATGGAAAAAATTCTATATATAATCCGACCTGATAGCGAAAAAAAATTAACAATTAATATGGTAAAACAGTTCAAACACCTTTGACCCGAGTACCTACACGGTGAAAATTCCTATTGAGTGAAGCTTTTCGTCAAAATAGCAATTTACAGTTTGTTTCATCAAGAACTCAATTTTTTTTAATTCTGTCAAAATTGTGTGTTGTTTGGACCTGGAACTAAACAATTATTTTTACATCTCGTAGTAATTTCCTTTCGTGCACTCTAAGAGATGAAAAAAAAAGTATAATGAGTGAAAATACATGCTGCATCAGGAATATTTCAAATCATGAGCATCGAAAGCATTAACATAAATCGAATTCCACGAGTCAAATAATGATGTTTTCTTCTATATCTTCGTTATCAAAGCATGATCTTCATTATTTCTGAAGAACAACGTGTTAGCGTTAAGGAATCCGTGATGTGGTATGCATTATCCATCATCGAAGGCATCCATCCATCCATCGACCTGTCATAAATTGCGAATAAATAAATATAAATATTTGTTCGAAGCTCGTCATTCCAGCAGATCCACGATTATTAACGATGTCACAAACATGCTGGCGACCGGTAGAATTAATGGCAGGAATTCGATACCTATAAGTTTGTATGATTGACATTGTATCGAATCAAAAATAAAGCCCGACGCAATGCACCACTCAGTATTTGGCATTACTTTAGAGTCTTATTGAGACTATATGATGTTAACTTATTTATCATACGATGAATCAATATGAGATGAGATAGGCTATTATTGATATTGATTAGGGCAAATCAACGAAATATTTTGTAACAACTTCATAAGTACCTACACATATTAATATCTATTAATGATATTATATTATTTTATATTATACTATAGTTGTCCGGTATGGCGTCGCACTGTTGGTGTACTTATATACCATAGTCTTCAACTATCAAGCCATGAAGAAGAAACTTGGCAACATTGTCCGAACGACCGAAGGTTGCAATCTATAGTGCACCTGTCGTCCATTCAAAGTGTATTGTGTAGGAAGTGAACACGGAGTTTATGAAAGGTTTTGTTATAATTTTCAATAATTAATTGGTGTAATATTGAGATCAACTAATTTTTAAAGTATTAGCAACAATCTAGGAATCGACTCGAGACTGAAAGTGTGTGGCAAGTGCATTCAAAATTGTGTTAAATTGGAGGTTATAGTATGAAGTGTACTATAGTGCTGGTGTATTTGCAAGGGGATTTGTGTTGTTTTTTCAATTTATACTCCTGGAAATAAGTAAGTAATTCATTATTCCTTATAAAATATGCCTTCTCATTGTTGTGTGCCAGGATGTAAGTCAAATTACAGATCTGAAAAAAAGCTGGGAAAGGATCATGTCTCAGTTTTTTTATTCCCAAAATGGAAAGAATTGCGAAGTAAGTGGATAACAGCAATACCTCGAAAAAACTGAACACCATCTCAACGTTCTGCAGTATATGTGCAATTCATTTTACTGAAAAAGATATCATCAGGTATGATACATTCCCTCTGCCAGATGGATCAATTGGAAAAATTTTGTTACGAGCACCAACGTTAGTAAAAAGAACAGCAGTTCCTTCAATTTTTCCAAATTTACCAAAATATTTTTCAAAACCAGCCAAACCATCAAGAACTGATCCAAATGAAAGACGTCAGAAATATTTAGATATTCAAAAATTCAAAGTAATATAATAGAACAGTTTGAAAAATCAGACCTCATCCACAACTATGAACAATTAGTTAGGGAATATGTTGAGAAAGTCAAAATTGATATACTTGGAAAATCCATAAGACTGATGATAAATTGTATTTTTATGAATTATATTTGCAAGCAAATGTTTTTTATCCCAATGATGTAAATACTTACTATCCAATGAGGTGGAGCTCCAATTTTTTCTTGGTGATAATAAACTTGGATTCAATGAATTGAAATGGATTCTTACTCATGATATGAAATTGAATAGATGGTCACAACTTGAACATATTCTAGCTAGATTCAAAAACATCTCAGATCAAATAATGGATTCAAACAATTTTTTTGAAATTAATTATTTTATCAGTAAAACTTCGAATGATAAATTTGATATCTTCATAAGTTTTATTTTATCAAAATGTTCAAAATTACGGCTTTAGTTCATCACCAAGCGAATTATTCAACCACGACATTATTCCTAGTTCTTCACTCTGTAAGTGCACTCTCGTGTATTTTTTACCTATTCGACAAAATAATCCGAGAAAATTACATTAAACCAAACATTCAAAGCTCCCGCTCATATAAACACCATTGTATTGCTAGGCGCGAATGGGACCGACGGTTTCCTTTCGTGCGACGTTGCCATTATCTCAGCACGGCTTGATAGTTGATGACGGCTGTGGTGTAGGTATACCCATTTCAAAAAATTAGACATCAGACTATATACAGGGTGGCATTCAAATAAATATTTCAAACACTCAGAAAGCTCTACATGTACTATCCAATGCATATTAGAGGTATAATATTATGGGCGAGGGCATGGGCTTCTTCGCTCAAACTCAGCTACGTATACAAGGTGTTTTCGAAATGAGTGCACCATATTCTGCACATTAATATTGAACAAAATACGAGAAAAAAATCAAGAATACGCCACATTAAAACAATTCAAATGATTGAACTCCGCGTGCCTACCACATGAAAATTTTAACAGAGGTGACGTCAGATTTGCTACAGTGCATAGAACTTTGGGTGGAAAAAGGGATATAACCTCAAATTTTATTATGATCCCTAAATTTTTTTATTACTGCCATTCGATATAGTACACTTCGAGCATTCTCAGTATTTGAAATATTTGCCCTTATATAGGTATTTCAATGCCACCATGTATATATACTCATGAAACAAGAAATTAAGAAATAGAAATACAGAAAAAAAACATTCATAATATAATATACGAAGCATGTTGAGAATTGAATATAGGATAAACTCGGGATAGACCCTGATGATGGTATTATCTAACGGTTATTCGAAACGCGTACCTATGCCTATTTTTTGACTCGGAAAAATTTCGAATAGAAGTTATTCATTTTGGCAAGGTGGGCCATAAACATCGCCGTCTGCCAGAAAAACCTTCATCTCCACAAATTTTTCAACACTTTACACATCTAGATATAGCGAAGACAGGGGTACTGATGTCAGATAACCATCGCGGCTATAGAATTTTAGATACGCACGCACCTTGCCTTGCGTTCTAACGGTCTCTCTCGACTATAAGTTGTTTTTTAGTGGTAAAATGTGCAATTTCTATTCTACGAGGTTCGAGCTAGGCGATTTTATCAGAGCGGACGCAGAGGCGTACGAATCGTATACGATAATGATTGACGTCCCTTCCCACTTTAGAGATTTTAAGGCTAAAGGTGGACCGAGTACCAGTTCGATATTTTCAACAACTGTTTTATCGTAACTCATTTGACATTAAGAAAACTTAAAATTCAAGATACCCGTTATATTAATTATTTGTCCACGACTGTTGTACTTCCTCAAACAAAACGATATATCCACAAATACAAACAAATGAAAATATATTTCACTTACTGACGTAACTCCTATATATAGGTCACTTCGTGAGATTTGGTAGTCCAATAATATGAGATAGGCTGAGTATTCGATATTCAATTACACGAAAACTATTGAATATTGAGCTACGCCACTTTGTGAGATCATAGAGTATAAGAATATAAATCACTTGACGAAGTATCTCAAATTCCGATTTTTATGAGATACGTCATTACGTGAGATGACCCACGAATGTGATAATAATGATAAAAATTCGGAGAACATCAATCTGTGTGTATTTTAACTTTCAACTAAATATTCGAATATCTACACGGAGAGAAATATGTAGAACATATTTTATGGTACAGAAATTCTACCACCCTCTGGGATAAAATATGTCAATCAAGAAAATGTTTGTCTTCCTCCTATATAACTAACTTTTTATTCAACATATGATTTTCTTATTATTAGAATAAGCATATGCTCTAATCAAATGTTTATTCAAATTCTTGGCATATCTTATGTTGAATATTACCATAACGTATGTTTGTCAAAATGAAAATAATTATTTTCCATCATGTACCATATAATGTTTTCTTCCTAAATATCCACCACTCATCGAGAATAATTTGCTCCTAGAAAAGCATAATTTGTATGTTAGATATTATAAGGATACTGTTCTTTTCAAAAGAGATAAGTGGGGGTTTTGCAGGCGCGGATCCCGCAGCACGCTTACATTAGGAATGACATTTTTTTCTGGTTCGAGATCCAATGCATACTAATAGAAATTCAAGTTTCTGAAGAGTATATCAAATAAGTATATAGGTAATTGTTTCTTCTGGAGTGGTATTTTATGTGAAGGTACCGGTATGCTATAATTCATTCAAATCATTGAACATATATTATCACTAAGGCAATGCAGTTTTTTTTTAATAAATTCAGTATCAGTGTGCCCATTCGATTTCTGACTTCGTTGAGAAAAATACTAGGTAGCGCAGGAATCAAAACGATTTGACAGAATTTCGAATCCAGCATTCCAGCAATCGCCTGATTTTCGCTCCTCTTAGTGCGCAAACTATCGACTTCTGGAGAGTAGGTTCCTGACGTTGTGATATTCATACAAATTCACAAATTTCTGGTAGACATACTTTTTCAGGTTGTTTTCAGAATTCCACGTGAATTTCCATTCGCGGATACCTATTATATGAATATTGAATTTTTTTTTGACATTCATTCAAATTTGTGGATTTGAAAATGATTTATCAAATACGAGTTTCAAAAATGAATATTCATCTAAGCTACACCTATATGACCCCCCTGGATCCGTGCCTGGTGCAATTCCGCTTAGTCGAGGGTGGTCGAGGTACTCGAGTTATTTTTAGACCAACGTTACGCGAAACGCTGTGCAGGTGCAGGACACAAACGTAGGTTTGAGTTTGAGTTGTTAAAAGTAGTGTGCACACTGCGCAGATACTCCATTTGAGTGATAGTGGGAACAGCTTGGGCGACAGCTTCTTGAGTATTTGATTCATAATCATTCTAAATTTGTTTGTGCGAGGTATTGAGACTGTGTTGTTGAAACTTATTATGGAATCGGAAAAATTGGAAACTCTTTTGAATGAGTGGGGATTCGCTGACCTACTCGATTCGTTCAAAGGTAAGTGAATTTTTTTCTAGTAGGTAGATGTAATATATACAAATTCTACAATACCTACCTATTCAGTCAGGATAGGTTCATGTTCACGTCACAGGCTTGAATGGATATTGGATAATTTGAGTAGTTATATAACCATAAAAATAAAATATTGAAAAAAGAAATAACCAACGCCATGATTGATAAGGCGAAACTATCACTAACACTTTAGGTAGACCCTGACCCTATTTTTTCCATGGTTCCACAGTTACCTATAGATAGGTAGCCATTTCGCAAGAGCTCTGATTCTGAAGTGCGAGTTGGTATTAGGTATGTATTATTTTGTGGTATTGTATGATTGTAGTCTTTGGTATTATTGTATCGAAAACTAGGGCGGAAGGCGGTACATTTTTCTGCAATTTCCTCGGCAATTTCCGAGTTGGAAAATTGTGTCCCTGAATGCAAATAATTCATGTTGGCTGGACGTTAGAGGGGGAATAAGGGGAGTTGAGGTCCACCCGCCATCTTGAAAAACACGTTTTATTACCTACCTCCTACATCTACTCAGACCGAATCGGACCCGACAAAATTGGTAGGTTCGTTTCTATACAGGGCGAGTCAATAGTGTTTTCTCCTTCGATATTAGCCGAGATATTAGCCAAACCGTCAGATATTAAGAGAAAATTCAAGTAGCTACAACAGTTATAGGGTTTCATGAGAACTATCACATGAAATTATTTTTATATCTATAGGGTGTTCAAATTCCAAGATATTGTGGCTGATGATGAGTTTTTTAAAATGGGACACCCTGTATGTTATTGCATTTCAGATTCTTCCCCCAAAACAGATTTCATCAATGTATCACATTTGGGGTTTAGCAGGAATGATTACAGAGATATAGTGCTCAAAATCGAGATTCTTCAAATTTAGGATTTTTTGGTGTCGAAACTATTCATCATTGGTCAAAATGGCTTCCATGTCCCTATCATAACTTCTGATTTACTATCTACTGACATTAAGGAACAAATACAGGTTGGTTCAAGATTTAGAATTCTGATCACCCTGTATCTGTTCCAGTCGAATGTCAGTAGATAGTAAATCCACAGTTAAAATAGCGACCTGCAAGCCGTTTTGAACAATAATGAATAGTTTCGATACAAACAAATCCTAAATTTGAAAAATCTCGATTTTGAACACCCTATATCTCTGCAATCATTCTTGCTAGACCCCCCCCCCCCCCCAAGTGCGATACATTGATGAAATCAGGTTTCCAGGGAGAATCTAAAAATACACTAATATTTAAAAAGCTCATCATCAGCCGATATATTGGAATTCAACACCATATATACAGTGTGACTCACTTCTAATGGAAACACCCCTGTATCTTACGTAATCGTTTGGTTAGGATTCCTGAATTTGCTGGAGCGAGAAATATACCGAGAATGCACTCTATGACCAAGTGATATACACTGCTCGCCAACAACCATGGAACCACCCCAATTTCCGGAAAATGATATTAGGAGTGAAAATAGGTCAAGAATCACTTGATATTCGGAGTTAGGACGCCCAATTTACTAACTATTCATATTTTTCCTGGAGAATTTTCAGTTCTGAAAAATTGAATTTTGTCGCATTTTTTACTGAAACACCCCCGTATCTTACGTAATTGACTTTATCTTTGAATTTTCCCTTCCTCCTGCAAATTTCAGAACCCTACCTCAATAATTACGTGAGATACGGGGGTGTTCCCATGAGAAGTGAGACAACATTTAATTTTTCTGAACCGAACATTTTTCAGGAAAACTATGAATAGTTAGTGAATTGGGCATCCTGATTCCGAATCCGAAGTGATTTTCAACCTATTGTGACTCCTAATATCATTTTCCGGAAATTGGGGTGGTTCCATGACTGTTGGCGAGCAGTGTATATCACTGAAGATGACCCCACTTGGTCATAGAGTGCATTTTTGGTATATCTCTCGCTCCAGCAAATTTCAGGAACCTTACCCAACGATTACGTAAGATACAGGGGTGGTTCCATTTTAAATGGGTCACACTGTATATATAGATTTTGATATTCTTCATAATTTTTGTACGAAACTTTTTCTAAATAGAGTATAACCGAGTATAACTTTTCACAATACTTATATACCTACCTGATGGTTATCTGTGAGAAGATTCCTACTGTATTTGTCGTATAATTTATATGGTTCACCACCACACGACGTTTTTCAAGATGGCGCCTGAAGCTCAAAACCCATCCCCGTATCCCACTAACTTATATTATTTTCATTCTGGGGACACCCCGAACACTTTCCATCAATAAAATTAATACCTAGTTAATTTCTGTTGGTTATTTTCGCTAATTCTAAGTTTTATCGCTGATTTTCTTCCAGAAAATGGAATTGATGATGACGCCTTCATTCTACTTCAGGATGAAAATTTGAAGGAGTTGATTCCCAATATGGGACGGAGGTTAAAATTCAAGAAAAAATTGGACGATTACTTATTACTTTCGAAAGAAAATGTAAGTGTTTCCTTTGAATGATTCACCTTCAATGATTTTCTTGGGTGTTTTACGTTATATAATCAAGGTGACGACCTTCATGGAATCAATCAAGAATTCACCATAGTTTCAAGAACTTTGATGAAATTTCAAAGTACTTTATTTCATGAAATCTATAACATCAGTTTGTAATAGTATATTACTCGTATATTACATACCGAGGTGGGAAGTGATTCATTCCTGTCGTGAGATTATTTAGTTTTAACCAAGACGCAAAGCGTCGAGCTTAGCTATAATTTCGAGACAGGAATGAAACTTCCTACTGAGGTTTGTATACTATTTTATTTACAACCGCATCAAAATTAATAAATCTATGTTTCGTTCTGAACATACCTGAATTATTACATGAGTGAGGGCGAGAAGTGAGGGCGGGAAGTAGTGAGGGGCGGGAAGTGAGGGCGGGAAGTAGGGGTGTGTAATGTGACACTTCCCAACCTTCAATGACGTTAGTAATGACAACATTACATATATGGTTGTAAATAAAATTTGTTAAACTCGTAAAACTCGTAAAATTTGTGAAATTTGTAAAAATGTGTGTATCGCTACTTCGAAGTTGGTAACCAACTCCCCAGAAGTCGATACTTGTGCGGGGTTAGAAAGAGCGGGCCTACAGCCTATAGTGGATAGTTTATAGGTGAATTTTTTTCGAACTAACCCTTATATTTATGTACCCGTTTAAAAACTGCATAAGAACTGTAACTTCATTAGGTCAATCAAACAACTAATGTGATTCCACTAAATTTCTCTAAGTCCAAGTAAAATCTGCTTTCAGATTAATTGTTACACTCTTGATGTTGACGGAAGCATAAATACATCAAACGCTTCAACGTCTACGCTCACCATAGAAACATTAGGGTGTCTTCCTATAGATATTGAGCCAATTCCTATAGATATTGAGCCAAATATAGAAAGAGATGATTTTTTAGTGCCAGAAGCACCAATAAAAAGACAAAAATTGGAGGTCTCTCTATTTGAAAAAGTATGTTAATAAAAATATTTTTGAAGTCCAACCTAATTCTTCGACTGATGATCTTATTTCAGGGTTTGCTGCAGTATTTAGAAACTTTTCCAGATGGAAAAATCATTTTGAGGAATAAAAACAAATTGAACGAGTATTTCCGCTCTAAGTTATGTAAAGTAATAATAGATCATCTCTTCTCAAAATATCCCTCTTACAAGTATGATTCGCATGATTTATGGTGTTGATTTTGTTGAAAATGAATTTTTTTAGGATTCCCCAGTTCGAATTTGTGAGAGCAGCACAAGAAATTGAAAACACATTCCCCAGTGAAAATGCAAACATTTATTTCAGGCCTTATCGACCTAAAACAGATGTATCTCCCAGACATCAGTGTGGAGGAAAGTTGTGGGCAAAATATAGCAATTTGAAAAAAATTTATAATTACTTGGATAAATCCAAAACAGGTATATTGAATATGCCAAGTCATGTATTCATTACTGATTCGCCTCTTCATTTGTTTCAGTGCCCAGTGATTCTTCAGAAGATGACAACAACATCCAAGAGGAAATTTCACTTCACTTCATCAATAATCATTGTTCTCCCTTTGATGAGGTTATTTCCCATTGGGACCTATCATTCAACAAACGTCGCAAATTACTGAAGGAGTTAGAACTCCACGAATATTATTCATTTTTTCCGGCCTTGAAGTTACCTGATGGTCATTCCCTATTATTGAGAGATTTTGAGAGAATGTTCACAAACAAAAATAATAATTTAATCTGTAAATGGCCAGAAGTACAAAAAGCAATACTGCAATTAGCACAGGAGAAGGGTGTTCTGCAGGAGGAAAGCATATTCAATGGTTGGTATATATTTCCTTTGACAATATAGGTGTACTGATTTTTTTCATATTCCAGAAGTGGTTGCGCTACTAACCCTGCCTCTTCTTTTTGCACCAACTACAGTGCGAGATGGAAAGAAATCTTGGAGACCCTCTAAATTAGAAGTCTGTAAAAGTTTCATTATTCACATCAATGTGAGTATAAAATAATCCAGTACAATATGAAATCCACCCAAGCCTGTACTGAACACAATTTAACTTACACACCACACATTATTGAATTTCATTGGTGTTTTATATCATATTTCTGTTGTTTCATAGAGTACTTCCAACTTACATTCTACAATTGAACGAAGTCGTCAAGACGCTGCTAAGAAAAAAATCACTCTCCAACCGTTCATCATATTTGCTGGTGATGAGAAAAATCCAGAGGGTATGCTGAGTTATATATCTATTGACAACAATGTCTACTTGATTGAGAGTTGTTTGAAGGCTGTTGATGTGACCTTCAAAATATTTTTTGCATTGGATGCCAGATATCCACCAGAATCAAGTCACATCTGGACATACATCCAGAGGTACATCTATTGTATTGAAACTCCGTATGATATACGTAGTAGCTCAGTAGAGGTATTCGCGTCAGAAATGAAATCCTTGTTAAATTCACCATCGATGGTTTAGACTTGCTGATATTCGAAATTGTCTGATTTTATAAATTATTGCGAGGTTTGTTGATTCCTACAAAATTATAATTATATTATTGTCATCTATTGGTGACTACAAATCCTTCATTATGTTTTGTTGTTATTTGTGTAGGACCAGTTTTCCAAGTGTTAAACTTCTTGTTAAACATATGAAAGTTATACATGCATTGGCGAATCAGGATGAATATAAATGTGCTGAAAATGGTTGTGATCGATTTTTTCTATCAGTAAATTCGTTCAAAAAACATCTAAACAGTCATGAGAATACTAGGAAAACATCGCTCAAAACCGATTTCACAAGTGAAAACATAGATGTTACACCAGAACATTCTAAGAATCATGTAGACACAACTACACAACGATACTTTGAAACAGATAGACCTGCGAGCGATTTTGAGGTACTTTCAAATATCCCCGAGTCAGATGAGAGTTCTGATGAATTAGAACGATTTCGTGAACTGATATCTAATAGGGCAAATGTTTTAATTTGTCGGTTATATGGGCAGTTATCCATGCCTAGAAAGGAAGTTCAGAATATAATTGAGGATTTCCAAGATTGTTTCATGATACCATTGCACACTTTAAAGAACAAGATCTCATTGAGTGAATTCAAATCTGATTCTGAAAAGAAAAATATTTTACAGATGTTCGAGGAGTTAGATAATATATTTTTGAATTTGAATTCTGAATATCGTCGAATGAATCATTTAGAAAATACAGGATACTATATCAAACCTGAACAAATCACAATTGGACAACATTTAGTACTCAACTCCAGAGGAATTTTGAAACCTACAGAATTGTCATATCAGTTCATATCACTGAAAAAAACACTGAAAATGCTGTTCCAGATGAAAGATGTCTTCAAAATTTGCATTGAAAACATCCGAGAATTACAAGAAGACAAACACACTGTCACCAATTTAACTCAAGCTGAATTGTGGAAAACTAAAATAGAACATACGAAGGAGCTCATATTTCCTTTATTGATATATTGTGATGATTTCGAAGTTGGAAATCCCCTTGGAGCTCATTCAGGAATTCATAAATTGGGTGCAGTTTACTATACTATACCAGTTATTCCACTATCTCATAGCTCTCAATTAAGTAATATCTTTCTTGCAATGTTATTCCATTCTTCAGACTTGAAACGTTTTGGGACAAAAGTTTTATTTGCAAAACTCATTGATGAAATCAGATTTCTCGAAGATTCTGGAATCAATATTGACACTGATGGAGACCGGAAAAAAATCAATATCAAATTCAAATTAACTTTAATTCAAGGTGATAATTTGGGTCTCCATACTATATTAGGTTTCACTCAAGGTTTCCGTTCTAACTTTTTCTGTAGATTTTGCAAAATACATAAGAACGCCAGCAAGTCACAAACTCATTTGAACAATTTATTGATTAGAACACGACAAAATTATCAGTTTGATGTTACCTTGAACAATATTTCTGAAACTGGAATAGCCGAGGAATGTGTTTTCAACATAATTCCATCTTTTCATGTGAATGATAATTACTTTTTAGATATAATGCATGATATACTCGAGGGAGTTTGTTTGAAAGTCATGTCAAAATATTATATTCACTATAATTATAAATGATAAACTTCTTGATTTGGATTCATTCAATTTTCTCTTGAGAAATTTCAATTACGGCCCTGATAATAATAATAAACCGACGGTATTTACAAATGAAAATGTTAGGAATAAAAAAATTAGAATGTCTTCTGGTGAAATGTTATGTTTCTGTAGATACTTATGTGTTATTATAGGGACTCATATCCCTCATGAATATGATCCATGGAAATTATATATATTGTTGAGAAAAATATTGATGATCGTGACTAGTCCAAAAATTGTTGCTGGTACTAGTACATTGTTGCAGAAGTTAATAACTGAGCATCACAAACTGTATTTACAATTATTTCCACATTGTGAACTCACACCAAAATTTCATTTCATGTTACATCTACCAGACATGCTCAGAAAAGTTGGACCTCCTGTTCATTTGTGGTCGATGCGATATGAAGCAAAGCATAAACACCTTAAAGCCATAGGAAATGTGGTTGCTTCTCGAGTTAATATCACTAAAACGATTGCAATCAAACATCAGTTGAACTATTGCAACATATTCTTTCTTGATAAAGGATTGAAGAAATTCATTTCATGTGGAATCTCAAGATGTATAGAGAGTGTTCATGAACTTGATATCCAAAAAAAAATTACTGAAATATTAATATGTAATGACTTTGCAAATAACATTTTGTCCACAAAATCTGTTGAAATATCCGGTACACTATACAAAATTGATCATCTTATCGTTACAGAGATGAAGAACAATTTGCCAAGTTTTGGAAAAATACATTTGATCCTCATAAATTCACATGAAGAAATATACTTTATTTGTAAAAAAATCCAAACTGACTCATTCAGTGTACATTTTCAGAGTTTTAAGATTCAATATACTCAAGAACAGGAATGCATCCTTCAAAAACAACTGATCTACATTTACCCTGTACTATGTTCTTTAATTGAAAATGATTACTATGCAACTCTGAAGCATGATATCATAACCGAAAGATCGGATTCTGTTCGATCTTCAGAGATATTGCAATAAAAATGTGTGGATTTTCATCTGATCAATTGAATAGTATGGGAGAAGCAATATTATATTCATTTTTTTTTTGTTTTATTCCATTGAGAGAAATAATTATCATAAATCCAGTTATAGAAAACATACCTTGAATAGAACATGTCTTCAACAAAGGTAGGTAATCAACAGAAATCGGAATAATTATAAATCATAAATGTATTGCAGACATAGAATACCTATTTAAAACATTGTGAATTTCGATTTGAAAGAATTTTCTTTTCAATTACATTTTTATTGCATACATTCCTTGCAAAAAGTTCAATAGAATGATATTTATGTTAGTCATGAATCATTCATGCCAGTGCTCTTTTTTTATAACTAAAAATATTACATCATCAGAAATGAAACTTTGATTTTTCATTCGTTTATTTTTGTGTTATACAAATAACATATTTTTTATGTCATATCCATGAGGTGACAAGACAATATTATTCGTTGTGAAACTAGCAATCATTTGTATTTCATAAATTTCACAGGGATGGAAATGTAATTTATATCACCTTTGTTAATTTCCATATTTCATAAAATGAATATTATTCATGTTTGAAGTAAATGATAATAGATGAAGAATGTACAATTATTCACCTTTTGCTGTTGCGAGAAGTCACTGAATGTACCTATATTGTTTGAATATTCGAGTTGTGTTTTATTCCAATGTAATTTCAACTTTCTTTGATTAAAAGTATTATGCATGGGCTATTTTTATTTTTTTCATCATCGAACCATATATCTCACTGATTTGCTACTTGGGTAATTTTTTGCAAGACACTTTTCAGTAACCTACCCACCTATGAATAAACGATATGTTATTGAATAGTATATTAGTTTTTTGTAAATGACATAAATTATTATCTATGTTAGACATAAAAAAAGTTAGAGATGACTAAACACTATGTTAAAGCATAAGAAACATTATATTCACATTCAGAATATCGAATCTCTTTTTTCAGTATAATATAATGTTATTATCAGACATACCATGTCTTCAAACTAGGAATACAAATATTTCCATTGATTGAATATCGAATCTTCTTTCTCAGTATGATATAATGTTATTATCACACATCCCATGTCTTCAAACTAAGAATACAAATATTTCCATTGATTGAATATCCATCTCATAATCATAAATAAAACATTATTCCATTTTTAAAAATAATAGTGTCAATCTATAGACATATAAAGTCATCATTAATGAAAATACAGTATTTCATAAGGAAGTATATTGTGTAGTATTTTTTACAAACATGTATGTTTGGTATGGACAATGAACGTGTGCTTTGAATTAATATAAAATATTTTCAGATGTATTACAATAATTTATGTTGGTTCCTACAATATTTCTCTCATATAATTGTATCATAATACTTACCATTTTTTATTGCTGTCACATATAGTACCAGAAATTTTGGTAAACTGTACTATAATTCTGGTAATACCTGCTATCTATTTTTCTCCGTGTATACCTACAACTCTAACCTCAACTGCCTCAATGAACAAACTCAATTCTTAATAAATTATTCAACTCCTTGTTATTTTAACTACAATTTTGTTCTATGTTCTATGTCACTTCGAATCAAAACATTCCTTAGTTTTGACTTGACTGGTGTCATTCTAATGTTGTGTTTTGTCCTCAGCATCATTGCCATCAACTGTCATTTGTCGCTTGTCATTTGTGATAAGTTAACCTAATTCAACAAATTCAGACCCATATTTTGGTTCATTTTAATATTTGATTTATATCACATTTTCTTCGAAAACTAAGCTCTTATAGAGCTGTAATATAATGGTTCCCTAACAGTTACTCACCCGTTCTATGCACGGTTAAAAACAAAATTAGTTTTTTCATGTTTTTTTAAGTAATATTTCTCCACCAATAATGGTAGGTAGGTACATTTAGATTTCTTAATCAATACTTACTTAAAACTAACATAAGCGGTGTTTCTTCTAGGGTTTCATCGAGACGAGAAATCTCGTCTCGAAGGCACTTTCTCGTCTCGTCTCGATCATCGAGACGAGAAATAAACAAACTCTCGTCTCGATGTTTTTCTCGAAGACAATATCTCGATCTCGATTCGAGACTCTCGAAATTTCGAGAGTCTCGAAAACAAAAACTGAACGTTATTAAGAAATGCTATGTATAGGTTATAAGGCTGCACCAAAATACAGGGTATCGAATTTTCTCTATAAAAAAATTACGTCAAAATACACAGGCTATATGCTATGAACTAAAAGCCACGTATGAAAAAAACCGCCGATTATCAGCACAAAAATAAAGAATATTGTTCCAAAAAATTAAAATTTAACGAATCCTTGATGTTTCAATTTACCTGATCTTTTATGCATATACTTTCAAATTTACCTAGGTACGAAAGGTGAAAGTTTAAAATTGTTTCTTCGTTTCGTTCGTGAAGAATGTAACAGCAACAGCAACAAACTCATTTTTTATAATCGAAACAGTCGTCTCTCGAAAAAAAAATTATTGAGTAAATTATTTTATCTTAATAGTAGGGGTCGAAGTACTGCATTGTGAAATTTATGCAAAAATGGTGCCATTAGTCTGCCATAAGAATATCCTTGGAAGTGATATAGTAATAAGCTTGGACTGACATTTTTAAAGAATATACAATAGAAATAAAGTTGAATTTGTGGCCCTTTCCCTTCATGGCATTTCTTTACCCTCATTTAATTATTGTATGAAAGAAATATAAAATTGCATTGTACAAAACTTAAAAATTTTTGTTTGAAACTAATAAAAATATAATGATAATCATTGATCTCATTCTCATTCCTCCATTGTGTTTCGATCTGGCAACACTGACCGGGCATTGTGAGTAGCGGGATGCAGGAGGGTTGTTTGTTTACTAATCTTTGGAATTGTGGTGATCTGGTGATGAATCCGTCGGTGCAGTCCGTGCCGTGTTAGGGCACTGCGTTTTCATGTTATTTATGAAAGAAACGAAGCCGTAATAGAGATAACTATATATATTGCAAGTTGCAGTCTGCAGTTCGAGATCGAGAAATCTCGAAATAATTTCTCGATCTCGAAAAATCTCGAAGTGCTTTTCTCGATCTCGTCTCGAAAAAAAGAAGTTAGTCTCGTCTCGATCTCGTCTCGAAATCGAGACGAGACGAGAAATCTCGAATTTCGAGAGTCTCGTGAAACCCTAGTTTCTTCTTATACAGATTTTCTTTTGATACATTTGCTGATGATGAAGGATTAATCCTTCGAAACATGTCCTTACTTATGCCCATGACCGTCAGTAATTATTAAATTATTTATGTGGTGGAGTTGTGACTGTAAGTTATTTCACCCCTCCTGACTTATGTCACTGTATATAAGTTATGGATCACCTATATACATCGGTTATCTACCTTCTGTCTACACCACTGGCATTCCGTTTCGTTTTGAGAAGGCAAAAAACCACCGCGAAGGCCAGAGAGTAACTCCTTCGTCAGCAGGTGGTAGTTAAAGTACGAGCACCTGTCTCACACACCAGTTTCTGGCTTTTTTCGCGGCACTCTGAAAACTTGCACTCACTAGATATTATACAGGAGGAGAAGGCATTGATCGATGCCACTTTATTTTTTCAGAGCGAGCGAGTCGATGTACGCGAACATACGAATTATCATCAGATACGTACGTCGTACAGGTATACATATACGGGGTGTGTTAATGTTTGAAGCTTGATGACATTTTCCATGATATTGTCAACAAAATGATACCTATACTCTTATACAGGGTGATCCACGGTGGATGGCCTATTAGAAGTATCTTGAGAACGAAAAGACAGAACATTCTGAAAATTGGGATGCTTTGATAATTGAACATTCTCTATCCGTCTAAAATATTTTCATCGATACAGTGTTGCCACTTCATCAGAAACAACTAGTAACTTTGTTATTTCAAATAGAACACCCTGTATTTTATTACATTTTCAGATTCTCCCTGAAAAGCTGATTTCATCAATGCATCACACTTGGGGTCTAGCAGGAATGATTACAGAGATATAGGGTGTTCAAAATCGAGATTTTTCAATTTTAGCTTTTTTTTGTGTCGAAACCTTCATTTTCTATAGAAATATCTACTTATACTAACCTATATATCTATTACCTACATGCAGGGTACCTACTTATTTTCGGAGAAATCAAGGGTTAATCCAGCCCTCGTGTTGAATAAACATTTTCTCAATTTTGCTGAGACAATACCGCGTCCAGTGACTCTAGCTGAGACTATATATACAGGCCTTAAAAGGGTTTTGCTACATACTGTCTGTATACAGGGTGTATCTAAATAACACTGAAAAAATTCAAGGTTTGTTTCCTTGTGATATTCTAGCAAATAAAGTTCATAAAAACATGTGTCCTATAACTTGCTCCGTTTTTGAAATACAGGATGCTGAAGTATAACCCCCCTGTATAAGCTTTCATAGTGCCAAAATTCAGTATGGATGGAGACTGAGAAAGCCCCAAAATTTCAAAATGATTCTAATTGGGGTTACTGAGTAATCTCAATGGAAGTCTTGAACACTGAAATTCGGAGTCGAATTGAATTTTTATTGTTTCCTCAAAAACTAAGCTAGATACAAAAATCACACAAAGAATAAAAAAGTTGTTATTTCAATAGTTCAATGTGATAAAAATGTGAAACTCACAAAAACCGGTGATAGCGTACAATGACATTCGCCATGATTATCTATGAATTTACCCGCTGTGACGCCACTGGAAATATTATTTAGAATCTAATTGCACTAGAAGAAGCTCCATATTACTTTACTAGTAACAAAACAACAACGTTTTAATGAAATCGATGAAAAGACAATTGAGAAATGAATAAAAAAAATATTTTTCTAAATCCTAAAAGGAAAATTCACTAGCTTGTCATCAGTGACGATTTGTATTGAAATGGGATTGGAGATGAGAAATACATTATAGAAAACAATATCAAATTTTCACTTATACTTGGACGTTTCGGGAACGAATCTGCTCCCGTTTTCAACTAAAAAAATGGATTTTTTGTATGGCAAATTTGTATTTGTCTTGAAACTTCTCAGTTATCAGTGACAATTGTGGACGTTGGTAATCAAATGAGTTACAGGATGTTTTCATTAATTAATATGTTCTATCTATATCAACTGAACAGGAAGTAATGCTTTTGTCTCCGTTCAGAAGAATGCAAGCAGATTCCTTGATTATTCTCTTCTGGTTGTTATCTCCTTTTCCAATGATTTCAATATTATTTCACTCTGCCATATGTTGTCCATCTTCAGTAAGGATATGTTCAGCTATAGTTTCGATTTGTTGATGTGTCTTTTCTCAATATTGTATTTATGTTCGCTAGTTCTTACTGAAAGAGGTCTCTTGGTTTCAGCTGTATAAAACTTTCCACACACACAAGGAATACTGTAAATACAATTTTTTGACGATTGCTCTTCATTTTTTGGTTATGTTTGAGTTAGAATTGATCTCATTGTATTTTCAGTTTTGATCACAGTTTTCACTTGAAATTTATCATCAACACGTTTTATTTTTTCGGATACGCAGGGAATGGTTGATTTTGTTGTGGTGGACCTTTTGTGTTTTCAATTTGATGAATCGTCTTATCGATTCAATTCTTTGGATATAGGAGTTGAGTTGGAGAACATTTTTGATGTGGTGGACTTGGTTATTGAAAATTTGTTGGTCAGATGATATTGATTTGGCTCTATCATGAAGTAATTTGATTATTCCTTTCTTAATACTTTCCTGACTGAAAGTTCAGGTATCTGATGTTAGTATGAGTCTTTTTACGATATACACTTGCAACAAAGATATCTCAATAAGAACATCTAGAAATCGTAACTGATTGTTAGATTCAATTTCCAAAGTGAACTTTATGGTAGATTCGGCATTGTTCACATGCATAATCCAGAAAAGTATATCTAGCTCCATAAGGTTATGTGGCCCAATTATTATGAAAATATCATTTCAGTTGGCGGGGCACGCGCGATCTATTCGAGCAACAGGTGTTCGAAACATAAGGTATCCGAAGGAAAAGAGTGCCATGCCCTGGCAGAGAGCCGAAGAAACAACCGAGGAGTCAGCTGGTGCTGCACCAAAAGCCCAAACCGAAAACAGATGTCGTACACTTGGAGCTCCTCTCTCCAGTCGCTTTCGGTTATAAATGTTGTAAATACAGGGTGTTTCAAAAAAAACTAACCCCCTTGATAGGGTAGGTAGAACACTGCCAGAATAAGTTGCGGGTTTGTTCAGTAAAAAAATGTAATGGCATCCGTTTTCAAGATACAAGGTGTTGAAAAAATGATTTTTTTACACATTTTTTACGATTACGTCGAAACTACTGGCGACATTGTATAATGAAATTTTGTATGGATGTTTTTTGGCACATGCACTACGTAGTATAGCAGAAAACGGCAGAAAATATATATTCCAATTTAGGTATGTAATCTTATATTGAATTATTGGTGGTTGGTGTGCAAATCAGAATCATCAGTCACGTGAAACGTTTTTTAAAGGGCATTATTCATTACCAGATATTGACACCATGCCGAGCACCATATGCCACCCATCAGAAATGGTAAAAAAGTTTGCATTAGGTAGTCCGAAGAAAATATACCTATAAGCAAACACTGAGTCACAAGACATTGTTTTTTCGTTTTTTGATTCTATACTTGCATGAACCCATCTTCATGCCATGTGGAAATCACGTAACCTATTACGTTTCTAAAAAGTGCAATTGAATCGTTTCAAACCACTAACTATTAATTGTCGACTTTGACGTCCCACATAATTTCAATTCCATACAAAAAACATAATAAATCTCGCAATAATTCCATGCATGGCTTCCTTCGATTCCATGAGCCTTGTTATAAAATTATTATAGCCCATCAGCTTTTTATTTCTCGTAGGTACGCTGCTACTGAATATTTATTTGCTGACGCATAATAATTATTTAGAGACCTGTTAATGAGCAAATCCATAGCATATTCATTATGAACACATGAAGATACCTACTAATACAAAGCATGAAAATTTGTCGGAATTGTTGGTGGTTCTATTTCTGACTAGTAAAAATGGCCATTATAGTTTCAAGGCCATCAGAATCTTAATTGAAAATAGTTAAAACAGAAACTGAAAACGATATTTTCGACTTAATTCGCTTAATTGGTGATGCATAAGTATAACATTAACATAATAATTATAATCATGAACACTGATGAAAATTGATTAATGATTATTATATAACCTATACACCTATAAACATTGAAGTATGAGCAGGTACACCCGCCGTCAGAGAACATGTTGCACATACCAAGTCGGTTGCCGCTGCAGTAAGGGCGCTTCCACCGGCCATGCAACCGCGTAATCGTCTCTGATGGCTAGTGTACACTCGTCGTCAGAGATCAGAGATCATGTCCCACATGGACGGTGTCAGCTCCCCTCTGAAGACGAGTGTACATATCGTATCGAGTATAATTTGAATATAGTACTGTGGATCAATGCACTTATCCGGGTGAGAGATTCATGGTATATATACCCCCCTTTTTTCCTTTGGTTTTCTACACGGTTTGTTGAATGTCAGTCAAAATTGTGTACTTATATGATTTCTTCAACATTTTTCATACTCTGAAAGCTCAATGGGTGTGACGGCGCAATAAATATGGACATTTCGTTCTCTGTCACACTCATTGTGCATATGGAAACTACGAACGCGAATATCTTCGTAATTGTTCGAAATATAACCCAATCAAACAAACACGGTATTGTTGAATTCGTTATAATAATTTCTCACCGACTATGGAATGAAATACAGGGTGTTTCATTTGAAAATATAGAGTTGATGTCATTTCCAGAAAAACCGGAAGATGAATAGTGATGCCCTCGCTGGTGAGCAATTCGATCTTCCAAATTTCAGTCACCCGGTATATATAAAGGCATGGAAAGTAATTCAGTATTTTTGTTACACAGATGAGGGTTTGCAAAACCTTTTGGATCATGTCAATGTTTTTTTGAACCAATGAGCTCAAGTTGAAGCTACAAGAAGTTTTATTGATTTGATCAAGTAACGGCCGAGTCAATTAAAAAAAAAAGTCAACTGACTGCTCTTGAATGACATTACACACGCCATTATTTCAAATGATATTCTTCTATTTTCTAGTGACCCATAATTCATATAATAGAAAAAAATGTATAGTACATTGTGATAAATATAAATTGTCCAAAGATGAAAAAAGCAGGGCACATTGTTCTAAATGGCATCTAGAAGACAGGCGGAAAAGAAGGTGAAATTTGTCAATTTATAATGAAATATCTTCAAATTCATGTTTTTCAGACAAAAATAAGTAAGTACCAAAAAAAAACCATTGCATGATAAATGCAGTTTTACCCAAAACTAGTTCAAAAATGGAAATTCTACCTTGTGGAAGCACTGTGCAGGTAGGCTGGCCGGTAGTATGAACGTCCAAATTCGTGTACGACGTCGGACAATCCCCGTAGAACGGTTCACCGTTGGCCGTCACCATGTCCATCACCTGCAGCACCATGGTGCCCCCCGCGGTCTCCGTTTTTTCCCTGATTTTCCTCTCGCCGATCGTGTCTATTCGACCCCTCGAACTGTACTGATGCGAAATACGCGCCGCGCGATACTTCAACTGCGTCACGTGAGCTGTGCCGACCGCCGTATTCTGCGCTACGTCTCAAACTGGAAGCGCAACGGCGATTGTTTCGTCGCGGCCTCCTACTCCGCGCGTCGCGTCTTTGTTAGCGGTCGGAGGGGAAGTAGAGAGAGGGGATAGGGACAACGCGCCCCACTCCGCTGGGATCGGCGATGCGAGGCTAGCGTAACGCGGTTGATTGAAGATTAGGAGAACACGTAGTGGGATAATATAGCAACGATATATTATTTCCATTGAGAATTATTTTATGGTACTACGATGAGAATGAAAATTTATCCATCTATCTTTATAGGAGCAACTATGTGAGCCTAAGGATAAATGTTTCAACTTATGTTGCGTCATAGTTGAAAGAATTAATAGTCTATTGAAGAAGAGTGTTAAAATTCGATAGAGTGATCAACCAGCGAATGGAGGTTCCTCTTGAAATAAAAATTAATCGGGCAGCACCTTACGACTTCCGATGCTTATGCGACAGGAAGTTGTCCTCGTGACCACCATAGTTATTAATTGAACCGTTTATTACCATAGGATCGGATGAGTTCAAAAAACTACATTGAATAAGTACCTACCAACCACAAGAGGTTGTGGCAATGACGCAGAGACAATTATTAAATAATACACGGCGGTTATACATATACAGGGTGATTCTCAACCAACACCATCATGAGATATCTTAATTCATATAAGAAATGATGACTAATGATGCAAAAAATCAGTATTTATTAGAAGTTTTGCAGTTTTCTGGGATATTTCATGAAATTCGAATTGATGAAATCATACGCATACCTAATTATCTAAGTAGTTGCTAATTTGGTTCCTTCAACCTATATATAGTTTCGAAACAAATTTGGGCATTTCTTGAAATCCCTTTCCATTTGAGAGGTATTCCCACTGGAGAATTTTGAATTTGGGACAGTGTATATCTGTCTATACAGGGAGTTAAGAAATGCTCCACAAGTAAATTAGGTATGTATATATAGGAATGAGGATCTCAAGTAGGTAAATATGTATATGTATCGCTACAGGGTTCGAAATTGAAAAATAAAAATCGTTTTATAGGGAAAACTCGAAATGTGATGAATTTTCTTCATTCAGGTAATTCTGGTGTATATACCTATAGATAGGTACGATTTTCTCTTCAAAACCCTCAAAATTCTTGACAATATAGATCGAAATTTCATTGGTGGCGTAGAAAATATGGTAGTCACCCTGTAGCCCTAATTGATTTTTGTCATTCAAATAGATATCTCTGGGAATGAAATCAAAAACCGAATTTGAAGGAAAAAAATTCAACAGTTCTCACGTTACACACAAAAAAATCTACTCTTGAATTGAGAGTAATGCTCTCATTTCAACGACATCATGAGGTGCATATAGCCTCAGAGGCATCAAGACTTCGTTTCAAGACCAAGTTATTCTCACAAATGAAGAATACAGTACTTTTCAATAGAAAACATATTCCAAGAGTATGGGATATATTGGATGAAGAAACTGAGTACCTTCAATTTGGAGTCATCATTGGTCTCTCATTGAGGATATTTTGATTTTGGGTCAAAAATACCAATATTTTCTATATAAAACGCGTTATTCTTGCTCCCAGTTGTGTATTCTCTTCATCTTAAATCAACATAAGTTTGGTTTTCGATCATAGTATTCTCGCTTTGAATAGGTACACTCTCTTTTCTCAGGGATAACTTGATGCTTTTGAAATGAGTTTTTTTTTCTCTCGTATTATTTTGTACTTGTATTCAACATATGATTATATAAGTATATATAAGTATACAGCTTGAAGATCGGAGACGTCAGTGCCACATGCCAGCATATAAGGCTGGACCTTCTGGTGCCTAGATGAGGCCGCTTTTTCAATGCGTTCCAGAGTGTTTTCTATCATAGACACATCCTAAGATGAAAGGGTGGTTAATGATACTCAACATAATACATATCTACTCTGTATCTCACCTTAACTTGAACTACTATTCCTTCTTGCGCCTCAGTGATAGAAAATTTCCATAGTTTTTTTCCACGCTGATTCTGCTTCGTGGTGGTATAAATTTTGTAATAACTTCCTGCGGTATATTCCAGAATAAGAGAATATTTTCCATATATTTTCACAACTGGAAGTGGAAAGACGAAAACAGTAAAACACTTATATGTGACCTTGCACTGACTAAATGTAAATGAGCTATGGCACGCGTCTGCCGATTCCCCTTCCATTTCTTTCAAGGAATTCACGGACTCAAGAGCTTCATGCTCTTGGGATATTAGAGGGAAAATCGAGAACCGTTAAAATGATTTTCATCCAAAAGCATTCAATCTCCTTTCAAAACCAAATAGCAATACTAATTTTGGATGAAAATATTGACTAATCTTGAATTCAAAAATATGATGTACTCAAGGTGAGAACACTTGACTTTGCATCAAAAACAATGATTTTCAACAGAGACCATACGATAAAAGAAGAATTATTTTCGTTCAAACGCAGTCGTATGCTTGCTTCAAGAAATTGATTTTGATTTGAAGTCAACTATGGTTAGATCGAAGTCAGTATCCTTAAATCATGATGGCATTAAATCCAAGAGTAAATTTTTTTGTGTGTATAGCGAAAAATTGAATTTCTCAATTTTAACAACCTCTTGAAAACTTGGTAACACTTGATTATACCTATACCTCATGTCCTATGCCCTAACTTAGTCATTAATAAAATCACAAAAGCTTTCAGCACTAATATATACTATTAGGAAGAAGCGTTATTTATTGTCAGTCAAAATTATTCGCATCACTATTTCTATATAAATGATAATATAATGATTACGGTCATATTTGAATTGATTGAATCTTATCACTTATTATGTTATCGCTGTCTGAAATTCCTTAGCGAACTATTGTGAGGTTATGGTATCAACCACAACGATATTTTGATGGACGATTGTCTAATAATATACTTCCTGGCACATCATTTGGTGGTTTCAAACATTTTTGTATACCATGGTATATATAGGTATTTATTATATACATAAACGACGATTAGGATATAGGGAATTTCTCGGAACTTGAGAGTATATAGTAGGTAGTGCAGCTTGTTCTGATTTTTTTTCTATACCCAATTAGCTTTTTATTTCCGGCCATGATATGACAACAGTAGAGCGGATTCAAAATTTTGAATGGAACAACCTGATGTTGATATTATATTTCGCCATATGTTACTTCCAATGAAACGATTCCAACAAATTATCACATCATGGGGTCTAAATCGATTAATTTATAGGAACTAAATATATAATATGTAGCCGCGGTAAAAAATATTGTACCTAAACAAACTAACCAACTACAACCTGATCTAAGAAGATGTTTTCACTGAGAACCACTATTCTCTCTATTATATACTATAGCAATGAAAATAATACTCATCAGGTTCATTATACCAGGTGCGTTTAAAAATGAACCTGACCCTCCTGCCAGGGTGGATAGAACACTGCAAAATAAGTTGGGTTTGTTCATTAAAAAAATGTGTTAACGGCATCCGTTTTCAAGATACAATGACAAAGTATGTTAAAAAATTGTTTTTTAACATTTTTGGCGTTAATGTCGAAACTACTGGCAACATTGTGATGAAATTTTTTATGGACGTGTTTTAGAAGCTGACACATCGCGTGATTTTCTTTATTTCTGTCCCTCATAGAGGGCGCTATAGATACATGATTCGTAACGGGAAGTTTCAAACATAACTTTCTTGATGAGGTTATAGATTTTCCAATCCCAATTTGATGTGAACTTGAATATAATTGAATTCAACATCGAAAAGGTAACCCTGATATCATTCAATACTGGGTGTACAGATTGATTACCTATCTTTTCAGATTCAGAAACAATAACACTATTCTTGTGCTGAAGTTACCTATAATTATTGATTGAACAAAGAATCGCAAGTAGAAAATTGAGTGAAATTTGATAATTTCTCACCTGTGGGGTTCTGCACCCATGCAAACATATTCTGATGCTATTATTATATAGATTCCATCCAGAATGTTCTTCAGAAATTTCATTCCACGACTAGCAATACCAGCCAGATGAATTCGACAAGCGCGAGTGTGATTCATTAAGTTTAGCATTAGAAATCAATTGTTGTTTTCGATTTTCAAAAAATATTAAATAGTTTTTCATAATATTGAATCTAATAGGTAAACATAGCATATACCATCAGCAGAGTTATCATTCATCATTTTCAAATCGAAATATTTCGAAAATGGATCACAGTATCGAGTACTTTTTTGGCGTAGAACTAAATGATTTTCAAGTTCACATCAAATTTGGTTTGAAAGATCTAACCTCAAAAAAGTCATGTTTGAAACTACTTGGTACGAACCATGTAACTAGCGCCCTCTATGAGAGTCGGATATAAAAACGAATTCATGCAATGTGTTAGCTTTCAAAACACATCCACACAAAATTTCATTATACATGTTGCCAGTAGTTTCGAGACATTCGACATAATCGTGAAAGATGTGAAAAAAACATGTTTTAACACCTTGTATCTTAAAAACGGATGCCATTACGACATTCTGTTATACTATAAGCAATAGCAACTTATTTCGCAGTGTTCTACCTACCCTAGCAAGGGAGTCCGGTTTCTTAGAAACACCCTGTATATACTTTCATCTTATTCCCACGCATATCTGGGACCCACAAAAATGGTTTTTAAAAAGAATCCCCGCGCCATCGAGAAACAAAAGTCCATCGCCAAGGTCAAATCCCATCCGACCGGAAAAAACAATAGGGTATGCCCTATGGGTATGCCGCGTTGAATGCACCAAACCATAATGAAGCGATGTTGTCACTTTTTTCTTCGTTAGAAAATAGGTTAGAAGCACTGGTTAACCGACCGGCACTGGTTCTCGACCGTTTTGGCATTTGAGACAAAATAATAAGATGAATATCCCTTATACCATTGAAATTACTAGAAAATGTGTTTTCGGCCACTTCACTCAATTTCAAATAGCCGGCAGAGGGAGGAGAAAAGTCGAGCTTTTCGCACAGAAAATCATTTGATAACCGTCTGTCATTGACAAAGGTTGTGTTATCATCCATGTTTGAAAAGTGCTGGTTCCCTATATAGCGTTTTC